ACATAATTATCTATGTGTGGAAAACTTTCTCAACTAGTAGGTGTAAAAGTGCATGGTTTATCTTGCCATCTTGACCTTTTTTTGTTGATATTTTGTTCACGTTAAGAAAAGCTGCAAACATGATACGTGGGGCATGGCCGACTCGATTCGGGATGGCCGACCCGAGATTCACATAGTTAAATGATGGAAGTACGATCGAAAACTGATTTTGTTCGAACAGTTTTATTGGTTGTTATAGTAAAAAAAAAAGAAGTCTGTCACGAGCCACACACACTGTAAAAACGTTGGGCATTAAAACGTTGGGCAAAGCTAAATTGTCCAGAAGTGGGTCATTTTTAGTGAAGATGTTGGTCATTTTTCATAATATTTACCCAACATCGGGTGCTCTAATTTGGTGAAAGACATCAGACAAAACTTGTAGAAAATTTGACCAGATCATCGTAACTTCCTTACCCTAACTGAGTTGGGTATTTTTTTGTCCTCTCAATTGACATTGGGCATACAAACGTTGGTTAAAGCTGAATTGTTCAGATGTTGGTCCTTTTTAGTGAAGATGTTGGTCTTTTTTTTAATAATATTTACCCAACTCCGGCTGCTCTCATTTGGTGAAAGGCAAAGCTGTGTTGGGTATTGATTGTTGTCCTCTAAATCGGGTAACATTGGGCATTGAAACGTTGGGTAAAGCTAAATTGTCTAGAATTTGGTAATCATAGTGTTACAGTAGAAGTTGGTCATTTTCCATAATATTTACCCAACACCTAATTTGGTGAAAGGCATTAGACATGCACAAATTGTAGAAAATTTGACCAGATCATCGCAACGTGGGCATCGAAATGTTTGGTAAAGCTGTAATGTCCACAAGTTGGTCATGCAGTTTTAGTGTGAGTTGGTTGTCATTTCCTAAACTATTGGTGCTCAATTACTTGGAAACGGCTGTCTGATCATTAGCTGGTAATTTATATTTTACCCATCTTCTGGTCAAAATGGCCTGCCAATGACAGTTGGTCATTAAGTGACCAAAAGTTGGGAAGTTAACATTTACACCAATTTAGGGCAAGCACCAATTTAGGGCAATGCACTCCATGATGATCGTTATAACTGATGCGATATTCTTGAAATTCGGCCTCAATTTGCACAATCGGATAATGCCCGAACCGAGCAGCAATCTGATTAGGACTTATGGCACAGTCGACAGCAAAACATCGAATCAGAAAAATCAACAATTTAAGGCATTTTTTGACAATAACCATTCTTCAAGTTTTAAATTAAAATAAGATTGAAACACAGTCGCAATGTTTTACACAAGTTTAATGATATGTTTAAATGGAGACCAACTTGGCAAATTTAGAAAGTTTTACTGCCGATTGACAAAAACAATCTTGAACATCCGTGACATTTATGTTTCCATTTATAGGAATAATTGTGACAGGAAGACTAACGAGGACGAAAAATAACACGGGTGTTGAGCAACGGGAAGCTTATAGATTTACAAACTTGTATAAAAGAGGACACGATATCAGACGTTCTTCACAGCATTTCGAATTTGTGAACATAAAAAAATAAATGAATAAAAAAAATCTAAATAAAATTGCAAAACCCGTGCTCTTCAAAAATGGATTTATGTATTTTTTTCTCAAAATGATTTTTCAATTGATATGTTTTGTATTGAAGGCAATGTACAACATTTGCTTTTGCTGCAATTTTTTTAAATAAATGGATTTGGAGGATTAGTATGTCTTAGCAAATGTTGTTAAACTGACTTGTTTCACTTTTTGGGCTTGTAGATGCTGGAAAAATCAAGAAAACCAATCGTGTTCTTGTAGTCTGGTTCCCTGACCCTGCACTTCAGATAAAACGGAGCAATTTATAGACTTTGTGGAATTGTAAGGTCAGAGAATCAGTTTAGCAGGCTTGTAATCCTTTACAGGTGTGTAATCAATCGCAAAGAAAATGTGGAATAGCAAAATATGAAAAAATAGGAGCAGTTTTTTAAGGAAAAAAACAACATTTTTTGATCATTTCGGTTTTTTTGGCTGTTTGCAAATGTTGTGTCTTCCCTTTAACGGAAAAATCAGTAATTATTCCTATGTATTGGGCGTCAGCAACCCTATGACAAGGGCTTTCGTTTCGGGCACAAAATGAGCCCTCCCTGCGAGAGCCGAATTCTTGTCTGGCCGCTATAATTCGAATTTTGTGGAGAAATAATACAGAGTAATTAACGTCGGTGGCTTTTTTTTTGTTCGATGTCTCACTCAAAATTGAAAAGCTTTAATTGCTATAGTAAAATTGCAGTTGAAAAAGAAAAAAAAAACCTTTTTTTTGCGGTGTGAACTCGAAAATAGCATTGGGATTGCATCTTCTTTATCCAACGTCATTTTTTTGTCTCATATACTTACCTGATTTGTCTTGAAGCGCCAACCGAATGGAACAAAATATGATGACGTTGGAGAAACATATCAACCCGCCGTATCGAAGGATCTCTAAAGTAGTCGGCATCTTAACAAAAACCGTTGTTTGATGGATTACACTGAGAGTGTGCGCGTCCGTTTCGTCTTCTTGCCCTTATATATCAGCTATACGGTGGGTCTGACCAGACATCATCAGTGACTGGACATCACCAGCGCTACGTCACTTGTATTTGTAACGGATAGCGTCATTATGCTAATAAGCATATATCCATTAGAAACACCCACAGTAGCAATAAAAAAAAATGTTTACATTATAGTCTTGAATATTCACGTACAAGCGTAAAAAGTGATCTATTTAGGTGTTGGATGACTCTTTTGGGTCACCGGAGCTTCATGACCTAATGCACCCCAAACGGCGTATTATTCAGATACATATGACAGACATCAGTCTTTGTTCGTTGTTCCAGTGTGATTTGATCTCTGTCCGTTTTACCTACTATTTATGAGTAGGGGGGGGGGGGATGCAAGGGCGGATCCAGGGGGGGGGGGGCCCAAAGGGGGCCATGCCCCCCCCCCCCCCAAACGAAACCATTTTTTTTATTTTTTATGTGACATCGCAATAAAGGCAGGCAATGAGTACACCACCATCTTTTCCTCGAAAAAAATTGGTTAAAGTGGTCAGAAATTGCCTCAGATCGCACCACAGAGCATCTAGAATCCAAAAAAATTTTGGGGCCCTTGCCCCGAACCCCACGCCGTAATTTTTCCGACCCACTTTTTTGGGGGACCAAAATTTTTTTTGGCCCCCCAAAAAATTGTGTTCTGGATCCGCCCTTGGGGGAATGCAAAAGTGTTGAATGATGAAAAACACAACGCTTGATCGTTGCTTCTATGCTTGTAACGAAACAAACCATGGAGGTAGAAAGGCAACAACGTCTCTCGTAGAAATAAATACCCCAAGCCACGGAGCCTATTCGGAACCAAACTTTTTGAAGTAATGGTTCAATTCGCTTGGTCTGTACCATTTTTCTTCTCCGTTTTTGAAATCCAATTAATAAATTTGGACCGTTGGAAAGTTCCTAGATAACATCAAAATCGGGATTTTCCCCCTCAAAAATGGGAGGGGGGGGTTGATGGTCCAATGGCCCATCCCCAGTTAAAAAAAGGGATTTACGATCATGTGGTCGGGGATCGTTTCGCAGTGATCCCGGCTTTCACCACGGGACGAGGCCGGTTTACTTCTTCAGACGAAAATTGACAGCGACTTACTACGGGTTTCAGGGAAATATTTACTCACTAGATAGGCCTTCGTGCACCAAAACAAACCTGTTTTTTATATTGCCAGGTTCTATTTGCGTGTGATTTTTTGTGGCTGCAATTGGCAAAAACAGGCATATGCATGCAGAGCTAGTTAACGGTGAGATTGTCTTTGTCTTCAGTTCTCCCGACAGCTGGCCGGCACACCGAAAGCACCAAACTGTTCACGTGTTGACGTCATGTACTGTTTTTGAACTGCAAATGCTAGCTAAGAAGCACGCGGTTGTGATGGTATCGACCAAAACGAGGCTACGATGATGTCACAACTTTAATCTTAGTCCATACAAGTGTCCCAAATCATGAAGTTTGTCCTACGGCGTGCGCGCGACGCACGGCCGTTTGGCTCGTAAACATAAATCGTTTCCATGAGTAATTCACGGGTAATTCTGCATTAGGCCCAAAAAAGTCTCCGGTTTCTGGTATGCGCGCGCGTCTCCGTAGCCATACGCGTCGGCAAAATGAAAAAGTTTTTTTTTTCAATGAAAGATGATGTCTCAAAACCGCCAAACTCACTGGTTTGACTGGAATCCTGCTGCTGCACAATTTTAACGTGTTTTTAGATTGGGTTATGGTCGAGAATAAGCTTTATGTGGCCTCTCTGGACTCCCATATATTTGCACTAAGTTTAGTCGGGCACCATTTGCAGTCATCAGCCGACATTTGAAGCAAAAAAATCAGATAAAAAAAAAAAAAAAAAGCCGCGTCGCCGCACCACCACTTTTTGGGCAAGCTCCATACCAGAAACCGGAGACTTTTTTTTGGCCTTAGGTAAAAAAAACGGTAAAAAAAAATCTCCCACAACCTTAAAATAGTGACTTTAAAACAGTATTCGAAACCAAGGAAGGATCCGGGGGGGGGGGGCAACGGGGGCCATGCCCCCCCCCCCCCAAAAAAAATCCAACCAATTTTTTTTTTTTTAAGTGACGTTGCAATAAAGGCAGGCACTGCGTACACCACCAACTTTTCCTTAAAAAAACATTGGTTAAAGTGGCCAGAAATTACCTCAGATCGCACCACAGAGCATCTAGAATCCCAAAACGCCGTAATTTTTTGAGCCACTTTTTTGGGGGACCAACAATTTGTTTGGTCTGCAATTTTTTTTAATCTGCAAATTAGCTCTTAAATCTTGTCCCGTATTATGTTGTGTGGCTTAATGGCATTTTGTGCAAGCTGCATGACTCTTCTCACACCGACCAACTATTTTTTTTTACGGTGAGGGCGCTGTCACTTCATTATTTTCTGGGCACAGACAGAATAAATATCATGTTGAATGAGGGCGTTTGGCAACTTTAATTCAATCTGAAAATTAAAATTGTCAAAAAGTACGACTTTCGAATCATAGATACCTGTAAATTAACGTCAAAAACCTGGCATTCACGTCTTTTGTACTCCGACTCAGGCGTCGCTACAGCGCCCCCTCTCGCTAAGAATCGGCCATTTGTGAAGTCCAACAAAGGGGCGGGGCTAAGACGGGCAGTACTTAATAACTTCACACCGAGTTCCAAGTCGAGAAGAAATGCTTTATAACAAGAAAACCACACAAACCTTTGCAAAGGGTTTCGAATAATTCTCTTTTGCATTATACCACCTTATTTTAAATAAATTGAGCAGAAAAGCATCATTTTAACAGTGGCTTTGTCACCAGAAACTACTTTGACAAAACAAGAAAACAGGATTTTAACTACAAAGTAATGCTTTCAATACCTGTCAAGACATGAAGAATAATTTTATACATCTCTCACGTTGAAGTGTATTTCTTTTTTTTACTGTCTAGAATTTTTTTCGTATAAAACTACTGCACAAAATAAACATACGTTTTTTAACCATATACAACCTCATTATAAATTAATGTTTATCTCTCTAGGAATTAATAGTTTATCTCTAGGAATTTCTTGCAGCCTCAAATTTGAAAATGTATTATGCTAAAATTTGGGACCACATGTGGTTTTTAACCGAGTGTATTCCTTCCGCCCTTTCACATCTCCCAAGAAGAAGGTTTTGTCCGGCCGCTGCACAACATCGTTCAGAATCGCCTTGAGATGGTCAGCCACGGGCTTGAGATCTCTCCTGTCGTAGCCGGCCAAGAGGTTCGTTTCGGGGAGGAAGAAGTGAGGGCACGCCCCTTTTAACAGGGCTTGGATGACCGCCAGGAATAGGTCCACGAAGGCGCGGCCCAGCTTGTCTGGTTCCCAGTCTTCATCCTGCGGATACTGCACGCACTGGTGGAGGAACACCGTGCGGATGATGCGGGGCCCGACCGGATTGAAATCCTCGTGGTTTTCCTCCTGCATCGCCAGGATGGCGTCGAGCGCCCGGCGTCGGCAAGTAGGATAACCGCGTCCTTCATCCGCCTGTGCTGCTAGGAGATTCTCTCCTGGGTACAAACAGCTGCACCAGAGTTTACGAGCATCCTCAGTCCCTTTAGGCCTATCGATTGGAGGGGGAGAAAATCATTATGACTTTTGAAATTCATTCATGAAACTAGCGGATTCTTTAGATTTTACAACTGGAAAAGCCTTTTGTAACCACAGCAGCCTGATCCAGCATTGGCCAAGTGAAAATGCCCATACATAGTGGCCACAACCTCGTTAAGTTTTAACAAATAAATAAATATTTAAGGTGTTTTCTGAAATCCTATAATCCTCGTATAAACTATCGAGGTTTCCACTTTTCCAGGTTACATATTTTGTTTTGTACTAAACATGAAATCTTTAAAAAAATAGTGAATGAAAACATCATTCTAAACACAAAAGTGTAAAAAATTTCCAATTATGACTAAACTTCAATACAAATTCATTAAAAAGAAATTAGGAAGACAGACAATAAACAAAATGATTTTTCTATGAATAATTAGGAAAACTTCATATAAAAACATATATCCCCACTCTCCCGTTCCATTTTAAGCCCCATGTACATGTTGATCCACAAACCTGATTGCAAAGAGGTAGAAATGTGGCTTGACGGACTCGATTCTGTCCAGCGACATCCAGGAGCAGTGCGGCCATTGGCTCAACGTCCCCTCCGGCCAAGCGTTCACATTGACGGCCGGTAAGAGACTAACAGTGTATGAGTTGCCTCTCATAAGCAGGGTAAGTGCCACAGCCGGACCTGAAAGTAGAACATGAAAAAGGCAAATTTTTATCTAAAAACTTCCTCAGCCATAAGCATGCAAAATACAGTGGATACTAACAAAAAATGAAAGATTAGTTTCTATTTTTCCCATTTTCCAATTTAAGTTCAAACTATGTTTCTAACTCTATCTCCTTTTCTTTGCATGAAAAACTGCAATTTCAGACTTCTGCATACATTAACCCACTTTTGTTATCTTTAACCAAACAAAACAAAAGCGTCAAATGAATATTTATGTGAGCATGCACCGTTTCAGGCATGGGAATGAACTTCAATGAACAAACCGAAAACTTGTGTAAAAACACGAAATAAGATGTGAAATCAGGCAAAAAAGCCCCAAAACAGGCTCAAAATACATAAAAACGCAGAAATTTGGGCAATAAGAAAGCAGGAATTCCTGTTTAAACAGGAAGATCTCATGCCTGACTATTTTTAAAGACTCTGAACTGGTTTATTCCCGCACTGACCCTGCAGCTCGACTGTGACCTGGTAGACGGTCGGCTCTCTCTCCCAGAAACATTCCTGCTCCAATGCATTCACTGCCTCCTCAAGGAGACGACAGAAGCGACGCAGCACTTTACCAGGCATCAGCAACGAACCTTGCTCCTAATAAATGCATATAAAGACATCCATTCAAACCATGAGATTGGTCTAAGAGATGACTGTGGACTCAAATGAACTTCTGGACAGTACTGCATATTTTTTAAATCTTAAGTTTTTTGGATTAGGATAGGAATATAGTAGATTTGAGATTCGAGTCACAGTACATGAAGTTCTCTAAATATTGAAGTATATGTAGTTTAAATACTATTATAAGATGGAATTTTACGTCGGGGTGATATAAATCAAATTAGGTTTTTTGCCCTTCACCGACATTTTTTAAACACTGTATACTTAGTGTGTTACCTCCCGAGTGAAAGTTGGAAAAAAAATTTTAAAAAAAAACGTCGGTGAAGGGCAAAAAACCTAATTTGATTAGTTTAAATACACTTTTTAGGAACAAAATACGTTTTCCACTAGGCCCTATTGACTTTATTTCAGTATTTTTCAACATGATTTTAACACAATTTGAATTAAAAAAAAGATGAAACAGAAATTAAAAAAATTGAAAGCATTCAACAAATTACTAAGGACATTAGAATTGATTTAATTAAAAATCACCAAATAATAAAAAGCGAGTTTGTGAAAAAACAAATTCATAGTATCATACTTCATTTTTACAAAAAAATGTTTGTTTGAAATCTGTAAAGAAAAAATACAAAACAAAAAAACCGGACAATTTGACAGAAACTGTTGTTACTTTTTAGGATTGTAATTTTTTTTGCATAACTACAGTACAACGGTCACAGAAAATTTAATTAATTTGCTCAAAAACAAAAAAGCAACATCGGGTAACCATGGCAACCTACATCCTCCTCCCTGCCGCATAAATCCTGCAGAAATGTGACAGCCGGGTCTGTCCTCAAGAAGCCGAAACCCGGCAGGGGCGCGACGTAAGGATTGTCACTCTGACATGAGTCCGTGTAGGTGAAGCACTTCTCATCCCCCGAGACGTCTTGCCTCTTACGGGTGAGAAGGTTGCGAAGCGGGACCAAAACATCGAACCTATGTCCGCCCGTCGCGGTCACCCCGAATGTGCAGTCCGAAGTTCTCGGTACTTCGCTCTGAAAACGGTCGTCCTTTTCGCCGACTAGCCGGAGAAGCGGCGCCAGAGCCCTGTCAATGAGTCGTTGGTGACACAGCTTGATGTTCTTCTTTTCTGGATAAACATGTCCTTCGAGATAACTGGTTACATTTGCAGTTAAACTTGGTTGAGCGTTGGCCATTTTGAGTACAGTTTCATGCTGAACACATTTCATGCATTTTGTCAGTGGAATGTTTAGGTGACAGTAATTGAACTACTGGTGGCGCTATTTATCAATAATCATGTGTCAGTGAACTATTGGTGGCGCTATCACAGAAATTCAATGTCGTGTAAAGTTTATTTACAACCGACCTGCCAACCAACTAAAACTTACAACTTGCCAACTGAATGATCAAAACATCCCTGCTGGATAAAACGGCCGCTAATTATGGTTCGAAGTAAGTTTCACATTTTACCGTTTCACTTTTTACTTTCCCGAGTTTGGATCGGCATGATCGGTGGGATAAAAACATCCGTTTCTAACTTGACAATCAATCATGATTGCAATACGCGTGGGCAACAATCCAACATTTTCATGATTTTGAATGGTGGGGGGAGGGGGTGTGCTTGGTTGGAAGGGAGGGTTTACACATGGTTTACGGCACTTGGAACATGTGATAGTTAAGAAGCAGAATCTGTTAACGCAATAGAAAAAAAATCTTTAATCAAAACAAAAACTGAAGGAAAGCGTTTTTATAAAGGCAGTGTATATTTTGCCGGAGACGGCAAACCTTTAGTAAACGTTAGTTTGCCGGATATGCACTGAACATGCGCAGTTACTGGTTTTTTGTACTTAAACATTTTCCGGTGACAAATTTTAGTCTGGCTCCATGCCAAAATTATCGTTGTAACCTCGTATTCACAAAATGGGATTCAGACCATTTTATAATTTCAGATTTTATTTACCTTTTAAAAAAAATCCTCCAGAGCCACAAATCTGAAAAAGAAAATGTAATACTCTGCAAAAACATGTTTGAGACATGTTAAAATAATAAAAGAAGAATATTCTTATTTATTTGGGGATGAGAAAATGGATACCTGTGTGAAACGATCTATGGACAGTGCTTTTATCAAAATGAATCATTTTAAGCACCTATCCTAGTTTCCTAGTATCATGACTGTTTGTTTTTAACCCCCTCCAGTTACAGAGGACCTTATCCGCAAGCGAGCGGAGCACAATAACATGGAGATATCAACGTTGGAGGAAATCTCTCTCCATCAGCAGGATATCGAGCGGTAAAGACCAGAAATAATATTTTTACACTTCAAACTGAGTTATTTCGTAGAAGTCTTGTATGGCTCTCTGTTTCTAAATAATCCCTCCACAAGTCATGCCTATAGTTACCATTATTACCAAATGGTGCTTTTTCCCCCAAAAGATGGACATGTGCCAGTCTAATCAATCTGTTTAAAATTCTCTGTTGCAAGAGCTTTGAAAACTCCATTTCCGTAAAATTTTAAGTGGGACCTCATGTTTGGATGGTTAAAAAACTTCAGAGAAGTTACATTTTTCTGGAAATTTTGTGGTAATTTTGGAGAATTTTTAGTTTAGGTCATTCATCATGCTTTTCTGCACTCAATGCCTCTGTCTGGATTGGTTCCATTTGTTATGAATATTCATCTTGTTTTGACCAATAGGATAGAGCATTTGGACAAATTGGAGCATTTTGCTGGCTGGAGAGTGAGTGTGGACCCCTATTATGCACTTGTTGTCTCAGCTGTCTGGATTGGTTCCATTTGTTATGAATATTCATCTCGTTTTGACCAATAGGATAGAGCATTTGGACAAATTGTGCCGTGAGCTGAAGATTCTCTATCTACAGAGCAACCTCATTCCCAAAATAGGTAAGGATGATTCCAGGAACTTTAAAGAATAAAATACCAATAATCATCGGGTGTCATAGAAACATTAGCAGCATTCAGTTTGGACATGGTAATGTATTTTGCATTCATGAAATGTGATCTTTGCTTGGCCTTTTTTTTTTTTGTCAGAGAATGTTGGCAGACTGAAGAAGATGGAGTATCTTAACATGGCGCTGAACAATGTGGAGAGAGTCGAGAACTTGGAAGGTGAGGAGAATTGCAAGATTTTGAGGAACTGTTAGCCATGTTTTGATGATTCCAGTGTTGTCATGATTTTTTAAAATTCCTAGCCTTAAATTGGTTGGGCTTGGTTCAAACCCAACCAAGTGAACAGTAGAGTAGGCTACATGTAGGTTGTGGGGCCCCATGGTCATCCATAAAATTTGTTTGTTTCGTACAGCTTCCTATGTTCATCGATTGAGGGCAGCAATTTAGGTAAAGTATCATGCTCAAGAACACAGAATTATAATTGACAAAATGACAAGCTGATATCACTGCTGCAAAGCAAGTTGTCTTTGTAACCGCTGGATTTGCATAGTTTGTTATCATACTCTCTAAAATTTGTGGAATAACAAACCTTTAATTCTTGCTTTATTTTGCCCAGGTTGCGAGTCGCTCAAGAAATTGGACCTCACCATTAACTTTGTAGGGGAGCTCACAAGCCTGGAGAGCCTGAAGGAGAACTACAATCTGAAGGAACTGTAAATAAGAGGCTTGAATCGAAGACTATTACTTGATTATAAGAAGTAGTGATAATGGAAACGTTTTGGGTCAATTAGTGAAGCCGTTAGCTCTTATAACAAATCAAATTCTGGTTCAGTACTCATGAAATCTGCTGGCTTGTAAGCCAAACTTTAACTTTAGATTTGTATTCGAAGATGCAGTAGTACAATTGATTTTTTGGATTGTTTTTCTTATTTTCAGGTTTTTAACCGGTAACCCTTGCACAAAGTTTGAAGGCTACAGGGAGTACGTCATTGCCGTCTTACCACAATTGAAGGTATTCTATTTATTTGAGGTGGTTTCATTGAAAAAAGTTCAAATCACAGAAACTAATTGCACATTTGATTGCACACTCTTCTTACCACTGCTCATCAGAGAGTAGCAATTGTAGCAAAGTCTCTTGCCTAGGGACATAGCACCATTATCTGGGCTTAGTTTTGACCTACACTCGGAATACTGCTGTTGCGCCTTCCTTATCAAAATTAACCTTTTTAAATCTGCTACCTGTGGCTTTGTTTTGTCGCAATGGTCACATATTGCTGAGATAAAAATTAAGAATGTGTTGACTGCGAACACTCTGTAAGCACTCTGTGAATACAAAGGCTTCCAGATTTGTATTGCAAGATTTCCGAACTCTCCTTCATGAAAAACTCAAACCTCATTATTTTAACAGTATCTTGACGGTAAAGAGGTAGATAAATCAGAGCGGATAAAAGCAATCCAAGCTTTGAGGAACATCCGACCGATGATCTTGCAACAAGAAGAAGACTACAGAATAAAAAGAGTAAGTAGTCAATACAGAAAAATATTTCAAGCCAGAAAGGGGAATACTGCGAAAACAAAGGAATGTCCACAGTAGGTATGTATGGTAAACATGGGTGTCGGTCCGAGTGTTCCATTTTGGTTAGGTTAACTGTTTAGTGCTGTCATATGAAAAGTCAGACTTCAATCTCAACCAAACTTGTTGACAATAATCTTTGGGTAGGGGACTTCAGATGACTGGAGACATTTGAGGTCAAAGGTCATCTAGGGGTCCAATGAGGTCATTGTTGATTTTGGTTAGGTCAACTGAAACATGCTATCCTTACTAACGGACTGTATAAATACTGCCGGCATGCCAGGGGGGTCGCGCAATTTTCATTTGCAGTATTTCTTTGTTTTTAAACTTGGCCTCAAATATCAAGAGTTAATTATCAGTAGATTAATAAAAGCCTGCAGAGGCTGTCCTTGAAATGCTCATTTTTCTTCTTGTTCGCTTAGGAAAAAGAGAAAGAAGCAAGTGAGAAATCGGAGAAGCAATCAAAGGAGACGAAGAAAGGGTTTGATGGCCGCTGGTACACGGACGTGAATGAAGGGTAAGTTCTTGAAACAGAAAATGGCGGAGTTGTAATCATGCCAATGACAAGTCTAAAACAAGCTAAATCCAATGAACGGTGTCAAATGAATGCCTTTGATACAGTTCATTTGAATCCCTTGTCCTTTGACTTGAGACTCAGACGATTCATGATTGACTTGTTCTAAAGACTTGAAAACAGCAGACTGGGAAGCACATATTTTTTTAATTGGGAAATCAGCGGCTGTGCATGCTTGAATTGAGAGTAGTTCATTGAGTGCGCATTTTGATACCATAATAACCAGATTTATATCAAAATTCAATTGTTAATGATTGACTTGCTTCACAGCGACTCATCAAAAGAGCAAGGCAGCACAAATGGCCATGGAAACAATGAAGATGATGAAGCGGAAACCATGGAAACAGAGGAGGACACAAGCAGGTTGGTTCCCTCTTTTTAAAATTTTGGAGACTTGTCAGATGCCTGTGATTCAACCTTTTTTTCTTTTCTCTTTTGAAGTAGAAAGGAGACAAGTGGAAAATTGAGGGATATATTTTGTATAATGACTTTTTCTCTTTGTAGTTTTTGGCAAGAGGAAACGGACTTCACACCTGAGTCGAGAATAGCGGTCCACGACCATGTCAAGAAGGCAAGAGAAAAAGACGAGAAGAAATCGTAAGTTAAATAATGAAAGGTTTGCGAAAACACAGGAACGTCGAGTTTATACCTCTGGTTCTTTTCAGAACCATTCTCTTAGTTGAGAAATTATTCGCACATGGTGTTTCCGCAAACCTTTCATTATTTAGTATCTCCACCATGCAAAGCCTCAAATCTTACAAATCATAAGTTGATATCATTATAATTCTTCTTGCTCTGTCAAAATCCTGTAGTCTAGTCTTGCCTTAAAGCGGTATTTTTCATCAGTCATACCCTGCCATTGCATTATTCTTGCTTTTTGTTGTCATTGCCTCTGTTGTCCCTGTTATTGTAGGAAACCCGGTCCTGATGTGCCCAAGCGGAGGATCCGGTTGAAGACGGATGACGGGAAGCTGCTGAACGTCAACGAGGCAAAGTGAGGCCAGTCGTTACTTGTCAAATCTAAACTTACAGACAAATCTAGCCATTTTCTGCGGCAGCACCAGGCTTGCATGAGTCGCGCTCGGGTAGTACACACGCACTCCGGCTCCCTCGACCAATAGGAACACCAAAATGCGCATGCGCCTCGTCTTTAAGAACGCGTGCAGCAGACGCGTGGGCGTGACACCGCCGCAATAAAAGCTTCTTATTCTGGTCGCCGGATTCCATTATATGAAATCTGTGCAGGAACAATAGGTTGTGTGTCAACAAAGGGGGCGCTTTTTGACCACTTTTCAAAAGATCCCCTGGATGGGGCACACTGCGAGTGCGTACTGGTTTGCACGCATTTAGCGTGAAGTATGCGCGACTTCATTTTTTCTGAATGTACGCAAAGCCATAGCGTCTTCACGTCAGCATCAGGCATTGCCGGTAATGCTATTCGAATGTCTCTCCCAGTAGTCTGCCCCAAATTCCCCCTTTTCTTGCCGTTGAGAGGGTACTTCTGCACTGAGCCAAAAGGGTTGTATAATTTCTGCATGCACATGCTGTTTCATATGCTTATAGCATGAAGTACAAATGACCAGTTTTCATCTGAATGCAGAGAAGATCTTACAATCGCATTAGTCACTTCTTTGAGGTTTTTTCCTCTTTTTTTTTGCAGAATCGATTTCTCACTGACAGACGACGAAGAGAACAACTGTTTATGCCTGGATGTTGCGTGCTACAAACACCTGGATACATCACTCCTTGACGTCGATGTCCAACCGACGCACGTCAAGGTGGTCATCAAAGGAAAGGTCAATAATTATTTCTTCGTTTTTCCCCCCCTCATTGACATTTAATGTTGTACCAACCATGAACTTCAACAAATTTGGAATTTTTTTTTCTGACAAATTTTAAATCTGTAAAAAGTTTTATTTTTATCAAACAAATTGTTTTCCCCATGGTGGTTGTCTGCAACCCTCTGTAAAAGGCTTTTGCACTTAGAATGTATAACAAGATATGCCTTGATTACCGTCGGGTTGCAAATAATTTGAAATTTGAAAGGTAATTCAAAGTTTGTAAAGTAACTTTTTCATATGGAACTCACTTCCAAAATTGCATTATTTTTACACTGCTAGAAAACTAACTATTTGAAACTCAAAACTTGAACAAGGAGAGAAATTGTTATGTCAAGATTGTGCATTTATATTTATGTGTGAATTCCCTGTTTATAGGTTTTCCAGTTAGTTTTGACGGAAGAGATCATGCCCGATAGCAGCAAGGCCCAGCGATCACAGACAACAGGTCATCTGCTCATCAAAATGCCTAAGGTAAAAGGTCCATTCACAAAGGTCAAAGGTCATTTGCCATGAGGTCATCTTTTGAGGGGTCAGCAGGAACTGCTAAATTTACAAAGTAAAAAAAAGAAAATTTTGATTCGTCTCTATTTTGATTTTTTCCTTTAGGTGAACCAGGTCATAAAAGCCAAAGTTACCAAGCCAGCTAATACCTCGAAAGAAGTCAGACCAGCAGATGAAGGACAACAGAAGAAATCAACAGGAAGGTTGGTCCTTATTGGTTATCTCTGCACCTCATACATATTCATGAACCTAGCTCTGCATTGTCATTGGTCCAGTCATTAGAATAGATATAAAGTAGACGATGTAAGTTTTTCTTTCAATCTGAATGTACACAAAGCAATATCTTCACTTGAGCATAAGGTGCATGGCATTTATGCATTCGAGTCCGTCCTACCTTTCTCTTTGAAACCAAGCGAGGGGGTACTTGTGCACGGAGTTAGTTCAAACTGACAACTCAAGATTTATTTTCTCTCTCCCCAGCACTTATGGAGGCACCTTGGAGGTCGATCCCACATCAGCGCAGAACGTGGACCTCATGGTAACGGAACAGTCTGGCCAACGCAGACCGTACGAGTGCGCCAAGAGGAAAGAGGCCGTGGATAGACCCAACAGCCAGGATTTTGTGGATGATCCAGATGTGCCTCCATTGATGTGAAATAAACTGTTGCATAAATAATACATTCCAGCAGCATTTTGAACATGAATGTACATACTTATTCCGTCCGAATCAAGATTTTAAAGGAATTATACAGAACTTTGGAAATTGTCAGTCATGTATTTTAAAGTTGTATTTTTTACGTGCTCTTTGTATGTGCAGAGCCTATATCTATAGCCAGTTGGAAAAAAACATACATGCATGTGTACACACACACTTGTTCCGTAGTTGTGGGGACTACACACGAGTTGTTCCATGGTACTACGGGGACCGAAGATGCTGTGGGGACAGCAGAAAGTCCCCATAACTCGGTCCTAATTTGCCTAACAATAAACAACTTCCCCATATACATTTTGTAATGTGGTGACACTACTTCGCAAGATTTTATCGTTTTCATGAATTTATTCTCTGATGTGGAATAATAAATGTTTGAACAAAACAATCTTCTGAGGAATCAATTTTTTCGAAAGTTTCAGAAGATTTGGAAGAGAGCATTATTACAAATGAGGGGAATATTAAATAATAAGACAAAGTGAATACACGTAGTTTCAAGTAATACTTTTACGACAATTTTTTTTATTAAGATATTCATGCATTGCTGACATTAAACAATTATAAGATGCAGTATACACACAATATTTACAGTGCCAGAAATTGCTAAATTGCTCAAAAGTGCATGTGAAAATTCATGGACCATGGTGGATTTCATAAAAAAACATGCAAAAGTGGTTGGTTAGAAGTGTATGAAGACATATCTAAACATGTTCCTCAATCCCATCCCCAGAAATTGTCTTCAGGCCCGTAAAAAAAATGACACAAACAATATTAAAATTAGTGTTGCTTCTCCCTAGTTGTAACTTTCAAAGACCCTGTGTAAACAGAGCATATTAAAATAGTAACATTGGCCCATTTGCGACAACAGTCCACTGTAATTGCAGCAATTTCCAAATAGAATTTTTTCCTTCACTAAAGTTGGTTTCATGTGATTATTTATTTGAAAAAATACAGATAAATATAAAAATCAGCTATAAATGCTGGCCTGCTGCGTTATTGGACGGAATTTCCGGGACGGGTAATAGTCGGCAAAACCGCCTTATTTTGGACGGAAACAAATTACCAGATCTCATGATAGTTAAATACACAATGACTAAAACAGTCTTGTTGGAATTATTAGTTATTTTTATACAAAAGGTGAAGAAGTATCAGAACTTCCATCCAGTACATTTTAAAAAAAAATTATATTCCTTCATGACTGAATGCACATTAATCCGTCAACTTGGTAGCAAAGATCTGGATTTTTGCAAGGAAAAAGGAAAATTTATGAAAGAAATTAAGTGTCGGTCAGTGTCAAAATTTGAGCATATAAACAAGTACAGTTGACTCTGTAGTCGACTTTAGTTGTACTTTGCATTAAGGTTCGGACTGTACAAATGTACATGAATCTGAGTCTGTTTTGTACACGTTTGGAGCATTTCGTAAGCCCTGAATTAGCCAAATTTAGCAATATGCCATTCAAAGTGGGGAAGACATTAAAGCCAACATACAAGCTAAAGCAAAGCCCGGTGCTGATTCGTTTGCTACCAAGTCAAAGGATTTCCACAAATGGTTAACAAGGTCCCCTTGTTGAATTTGAACCCCACCCCCTCGCTTACAACCCCCTCAGTATTGAATGGCGTTCATGGCGGTGTAGACCTCCCTGTCGGTGCGGAAGGTGCCCAGGTTCTTCTGGGTCTGGGTGACGGGGCGTGAGGTCAGCTGCTCCCGGACCCTCATGCACTTGTTGTCCAGGTCCAGCGAGTTGTTCTTGAGAACCAGGTCCTGCTTGATGCGGTACAGCTGCTTCTCGTTTGCATCCCGGATGTTGCTGTTGGAAAAAATAGGCAAATAGAGGATTAAATGTGGCACGATACACACGCGAAGAAATAGATTTGATAGGAAGGTTGATTCCCAAATGATGAACAAATTAAAATATAAACAAAGGATAAACTTTGGCATGGAAAATCATCAACAATGTCGGACAAGTGACAACATTTTTGAGCTAACAAATAACGAAGTACTGTGCAATATTTTGCTATCTCATTGTAAATTTCCACATGACAACCATGCACAAACAAAAGGAACTGACTACAATATAACCATGGGGTAATCTGGGCAAAAAGGCAATTAATTGATTAAACAGGAATTTTCTTTTTCTTGAAGTATTTGTTAAGGTTGCATTTTACAACTCATAGCATTCCTTGACTTTTTGCAGCTTTATGGTTAAAAATGTAAAATCAAATTACCATAACACAGCTGGGCTAAAACTGGCATGAAAAACAAGCCAAAAATATTTGGGGTACCAAAAAAGAAAAACTTCTTTCTTCAAGTACATGTACTTGTTAGGAATATTGTTTTTAAAACTCCAAGCTTTCTGTTCTTCGTTTAAACACTTTTTACAACATCCAACGAAGAGCAACTTACTGTGCGTCCTGCAGCTTTTTCTGCAACGCCTTGATGGAATCCTGGATCTCATGCACCTCGCCTACCAGGCCGTACTGGGCGTTGTCCCGGCACAGCTCCACGTTGGGTCGGTAGGTGCGGTTCTCTAGACGCGTCATGGCCAACATCAAGGGGTTCTGCTTGTCCTGGATGGCCCGCTCCAGATCCCGAATGTTCTTCTCCTGTTTTGCGATCTCTTCTTCTGTCTGTAATTTGGAGTAGAGAAATCAATAAGCAATTTGAAAACTGTTTGTCCATGTTCTCGTAAAAAGTTTTGGTATACTCTGTACTCAAACTATCTCTGCTTGATCAATTTATTTTTGAATGAAAAATAGCATTAATTTCAGTCAACACTTAATTTGGTCCTCCAAAAAATATTGTTTTCATTTCATTCTACATTTACTCTCAACTACTACAACATTACTACTGGGATCACAAATATGACATCGCTAATTCAATGCTGGAAGACAATGGAATCTGTAACTCATTGTGCCGTTTATTTTTACACTTTATGACTTGTTGAAACTTTAATTCAGTGAATGCTTAAAAAATAGCAAGTCGGGGATGTCCCAAAAAGGATTGACAGTACAGCGAGTTTTAGCTTGAAACCAAAACTTAGCAGCTTGAATTTGATCATGGGCACTTGGCATTTTTAATCGGGAGATATTGTCTCATCCTTTCTTCAATGGATCGATTTACATATTGCAATAAGCCCCGCCCATCTTTGGTTTGTACATTTCTAACAGTGCTTGTAACCGAGTGTGATCAAGCTACTGTGGTCACCTGACCAAAGCTTGCAATCTAATTGGCCAAAGGGCACTCTTTGATTGACAAATAGGAAGCATTCATTCTACTTTATCCTGGACTCACATTTTTCTTCTGCCACTCGTCCTCATCTTTGGCCTGCTCCATCTCGTGGATGCGTTTCCGTAGGGCAAACTCCGACGCCTGGCGTTGGGCTTCCAGGTCGTTATCAGTCTGCTTGATGGTGCTGTTGATGGCCTCCCGCAGGTGCGTGGAGGAGCGGATCTCGGCGTTGGCCCGGTCCGTGTTGTACTGGCTGAAGTCCTGCCATGTCTGGGGGGTCACACTCCTGTTATGATAAAAATACAAATCAAAGTTGAATTAGCCTTTATTTTAATACATTGTTTAACATTGTATGTGCTCCTTGATAAATCAATAAATTATTCAGTATAAGGGGGCATTCTAGAGAGTTTTAAGAAGGGGCACTTCGGGGCGGTACGGGCCGGGAAGGAATGACTTGAAAAAGCTTGAATTGTTGGCTGAATTCTGCCCGAGTTATTGTTGGCTGAATTATTCTGTCTAATTAAGATTAGATAGCAGAAATATAAAAATTAAAAGTAAAAATTGCAAAACATGCCTGTGCTTAATGATGCACTGTCTGTGTGCGATTTTAGTGTTTCATCCTGAACAAAATCTATAGGCCTACTTTTTGAAAATTGCTATTTTTCTAGCAATAAGTTATTCACTTTTGAATGAGATTTCAAACCAAATTATAGGCCCCATTTAGTAATAAAATAATTACTTATCAAATTTAAATTATATGCGGCATGACAAAGGAGCGCAAAGGCAACCCCAAAAATGAACATTTTCTGGAGAGTTCCAGATGTCCAAACTAGTAAAAAAAAAATTGATTTTGGCAAAAACAGAAAACAAATTTAAAATCAAATTTGGACTTAAGATGGGCATGGCTGGAATACGCAGTGTGGCTCAGGGGAGGATGCACATGTTGGCTTCTGGTCAAATGTGGGGCGGCCCGTATTGTAGACAATTTGTCATAAAACTGACCCCTTGGGTGTGCGTGTGGAGTTTGGCTGCAGGCAGATATCGGGCGAGTCGATGCTCAGGTCCTGGCAGTACGTGTCAATCTGCTTGGCTTCTGTCTTGTCCCGCAGGTCGGCGGCTAGTTGTTGGCGGGCCTCCTGGAGTAGACAGAGCTGCTCAAAGGCCGAGGCTACTTTGGCTTGAAGGGCCTCCTTGATGCCTTCGATCACGTCCACTTCCTGCGGTGGGAAAAACGATTTACTCATTGTTTGGTGAATGATTTTATGGTTAAAAAAGAAAGGATTATTTGTTGTTTTGATTTTGATTTTTTTTCTTGCCTTTACGGGCCTACAAGGGAAAAATATTAGAGGAATTTATCAAACAGCAAAATGTTTTTTGGTTATAATTCAAAGCGAACCTGAAACAGTGCAAATAAGACTTTCTCGATAATTGATGATTTTTTTCCAAAACAGACAAATGTAGTCTCTTTTCACCTTATTTAATTGCGCGCTTGCTTCATCATCAACAACGTCAATTTTCCTGCGTCCATCTCGGAGCGTTACGCACTCTGTGGCTACGTCAAGGGGCAGCGCTTTGGCCTCTAGCGCCCTCTCCGCCTCATCTTTGTCGCGGGACAGCCGCGCAATCTCCTCGTCCGTATCGGCAAGTGTCTTCTCCAGTGTTTCCCGCCATTTTTCGATGTCGTCGATGCGGTTGGACAGTCGCGTGGTGCTGTCGTGGATGCCCCAGGCCGTGCGGTTGTAGGTGTCGTTGCGCAACTGATGGGAGCTCTGCCGTGTGTCGTGCGAGCCGTCTCGGAGCTTCTCGGCGTTGGTCGCCAGGAGGTGGTTGTTGGTGTGCCAGTCTGATGGGGCATAGTGGGTTGCTGGCTTGCTGGCTATGTCTGCTCGGATAGACATGATTGATTGTGCTTCCTGCAAAGGCAAAAGTTAAGGTAAACAAAAAAATATAAAAACCTTTAACGAATACTACATGCTAAATTCAAAATCTGGAAATCAAACTTCCACCCCCCCCCCCTTCAAAAACAAAAATCTACCCCCGAAAATCTGCCATCCATTCCCGGGATCCCCAACATTAACACACACAGAAAGAAACACCGGTGCAAAAAAAAATCTTCTTATTTTATCGACACGAATATTTATTAAATGAATTCGACCCATCAAACAAATAAAGCAATTAACTTACCACAACTGTAATTAACAGAAACTGTAGATCAATGTGACTTTCTGTTACACAAGTCTCTTGATATAAATCTGATTTCGTTGTGATGTTTCTTGTCAACACTCAAACCACAGCGCGACGAATGCAATAATCACAGAATGCATGCGGTCGTATGATACTGTGTGTGGTGGCAAGACCAAAACACACTCCCCATATGTTCGTCACTAAGCAACAACAACATCTACCGAGACACCACAGAAAGGCGCCTTTGATTTGTCGGTTCCTCTCTATACAGCATCACTTAACCAATCGAATGACAGTTTATAGACCACACGGTAGCGTGTTGGAAGGCGTCGTGTTAGTGCCATGGAAACCGTGACGTTTACTGGGTTGAGACGCAGTTGGACGTTGGTGGCGCTTTTGTATAAACAGCGTCGTCTGCTATTGACGCTGGAATTTTACACAACAAATTGAAGTCCAAATATTATTAATTTGAGCGATTGCCACACTGTTCAATCTAAGAAAATACTAATAGAATTCGTATTTAAAAGGTAAACACTGGTGAAATCTCTAAAAAAATAATGCAAGTGTCATTTTAATTATGTTAATCCCAGCCAGTTTGGAGTCTAATTGTAAAAATGTCAACACCAAGAACAATTTTTTTTGGGTCAAAATGTTATCAGTTTATTTTGATATTCTGCATATATACAATAATTCACAAATTTACAAACACAAATATAATATCCAATTGTATGTACACATTATACAACAGTTGAAAATGAAAATATCTTGAAATAAAACTCACATGGAACAGGGAAAGATTTCCATATACGAAGTTCACTAATTTTCCTCTGTATTGACTAACAATCCCCCAGATAGCAATTTCATGTCATCAAAGTCAATTTGAGCAGTGAGAAAATACAAGCATTTTCTTAGAAAACACTTAGAATTTTTCAGTCCAATCTCATAGGGTTTGTACACAGGGTGTTGAGTGAACTTCGTATATGGAAATCTTTCCTGGAACAGCTTTATGCACCATAGAAGAAATTATTTTTAAATAAAAAAAAACCAAACAGGCCACTTCCTTATTGGTGGAGAAATTCTAGACCACAAACATGGCTTGAAGGGTCAGATTCCGTAAAGGTTTGGAATTTGTGGCCAATGTTTTGAGAATTTGCTTAATTGTACAACAGCCTGAGGAAAAGTGTTCATGAAGGTTGATGTGATTTTTTTTGTTGGGGTTGGGGTGTGGAGGTGGGGGTGGGGGTGGGGGATTGAGATTGGGGGATGGGGGAGTAGCTATAAATGGGGTGTGAATGTGGACACATGTACTTTCAAACTCAATTTTGCACAAGTTAGTAAACAAAAATCCTTCCCATTTTCGTAAGAGCACATGAAGTACATTAACGGCCGCCACACAGAAATTTTAAAAACACAAGAAAAATTACATATATTAACTTGGTGCTGAAACCAAGTGGGAGATGCCAATTCATTGTTTCTAACATATCTTCGTACTCTGTTTCATCATAGAACCCTCAAAGAAATCACATTTTACCAGTGACAATAAACATGACCATTTTGATTGGATGGATCTGATAGAAATGGTTTCTATCGGAAAAGAAACTCATGCTGAAGGGAGGTATGTTAACAGCTTCAATGATTGAAGCTATATGTGTACATGTCGTTAGAAAATGTCTGGGGTTAAAATTTGAATAAAACCTGGCCATCCCCTGGCCTGTTGTCTTTGACACTACGATAAAGGACTCTGAACATATAAACCGAATACATGGAAGTTTCTGTTGATCACGGACAGACCCATTTCTTTTGGGCGTTGTACAGGAAGGACTGGCCCTTGTTGGTGGGCTCTGGTCGGTAAGTTGCTGTAGAAAGAATGAAAAAAACAATGGTAATTAGAATGAGGAGATTTAATCTTTCGTCGTGTTGGGCTCTGTAATGAGAAGTTTTATACATGAACAAGAACAGTATACATGTTCAACCTGGGTTTGCACAAGAATATAGAATAAAAACCAAAATATGTCAACGGGAAAAGGCCAATATTGAATTTACATCACCCCAACGCAAATTCCATCTTATGAATAGTATGTTCACATTAGCCGTAGACTGGGGGGAAAAACAGGACAGCGTACTTCTAAAACATTGAATTTGAAGAGTTGGTACAAACTAAAGTGTCCGCAACTGCCAAAATTGAAAGAAGACACCAGCATACCCCTCATCAGGCATGCAACTGGGAATTTGGAAAAAAAAATTAAAAATTCCAAACCACACAAGACTTTGTACAGTGTTTGAATTTGTAATGGCATTCATGAGAAGTACAAAAACGAGGAATTGGCGGATCAAAGGAAAAGTTGCTTGCCTGCCTCATAAGGCTACAACTGATACTGTCTGGCCTCACTTCCCGAAGACTGATCTAAAGGTCTCTCTCAAAGATGGCCATCTTTGTGGGAGAACTGCAACTGCATATTTTACGATATCAAGCACGCATTGCGCAGTGTTGAAAATGTTCCAAACACGCACACTTGTTGCTAGAAATGTGTTCAAAATACGACGCTGCCAATGCGCGTTATGCAAGTTGACGCTCAAAATGCCGATGCACGTGGACGGTCTGTAGGAAATGACGTCATTTGAGAGCGACCTATACAGCATTTGGGTTTGTCATTTCCAATGAAATTACAACCGTTCCAGCATTTATTTCACTATCTCATTTTTAAAAATTCCTCTCTGTCTTATTAATAAATTCTTTTCAACATAATCATAAACTTGTGTCCTTATTTTTAAGTTCACAAAATCACTGCAATTTGTTACTAAGCCCCTCCCTAAAAAAAAAGGAAAAGAAATAAAAAGGAATATTCATACCTGGTCCTGGGTTATCGGATGTCCTATGGAGGTTTCCCGTCCATCGGCTTGTCGTCGATACAAACACTGCACCGGACATGTAATGCTTGGGGGCGCCCTTGTAGTTGACTAGCTCATAGCTGCCTGGGCCGGGCTCCGGTAAGGGAGGGGGGAGGGGCATCGCAGGGGCGGATATGCATAGATAGTGCTTTCTCCTGTGGGAATGGACGAAATAAATGATGCTGATAGTGTATACTGGCTATGACTTACAGGGTTAAATTTAATACTTGAAAAGAACAACTGCTAAAGCCAAGTGCTTTTATGTAAACATACATCCTGTCATTAAAACCCTTCTGCTATCTGAACAGTCACAGACAGTCAAAAATCGTCCTCTTCTTCTGCCATTCTGCACAGGCTAGTCACCAACAGTCAGATCATATTTTAAGCAAGTACTGTGACTAGTCAAATTCAGTCAACAGACAAAAACAGGCAAGTGGTATTCATAGCTGGCGTATCAATCACCTACAGTCAAAGCATAGCTGTGTCAAGTTACATAAACAGTCACAGCCAGTCAATCCTGCTTTATGTAGGCTGGGAGCCCTTAACTGTAAAAACAGTCACTTGATTGATTTTGACTGCAATGGCAACTTGGCACAAAATGTATATTTGCATAGAAGGGTAAACAGTATAATAAATAAATGTTTTCCTGGGTTAATAGGGCCTATTTCGTGAAGCCTCTAAGCACTAAATTCTGCTAGGCACATAGTATTCACTGGTCCACCATGAGATACCTAAATGTGGATGCTCTCTAAAACACTGCATGCTGGTTATGAAAATAGTGGTTGCAGAAATATTTCAAAGAGATGGCTAGACTATAAGGCAGTATGATGTGAGTAAGGATATGTAAAATGTAATAGAAAGCAGCTGAGCCATTACACAGAATGAAATTTTTTTTTTTTTAAGAAGGAAACAGAAATGATAAAACTTTTTACTGCTTTGGACACTTACGGCATGAGTAGCCTGTTAGCTGGTTCTTCAACGGGCTCATGAGGCCTGTACTGGCCCGGACCAGGATTCTACAAAACCAAATCCAAGAAGAAAATCACATCACATTAAATGAAAATATGGGACTCTCGGAAAATTTGGGACTCTCAGTACTGTGTATGAGAGTCCCAAAACTTCAGATAGTAAAAACATGCAAAAACAAGAAAACAGAGTGGCACATGAAACAACCAGTCCAACATCCCTTAGTTCTGCATCAATCAGCTGTGTCAAAAGAAACATCTGGTACCTAGCTCTATTTCTACACATTCTCTATAGTCATGCCACCAGACTACTGCAGGGTCGATCTTTTCAAAAAGTTGGACATATACCAGTCTAGTCTTAGACTTCAAATTAAAAATCACTTGACTTCACTCTCAGGTGCGAAATGTTGCAGAAAAGTCTCCTTAAAAATTGAATTGAGACCTCAACTTGGCTGGTGAAATACTGAGGACCTTGTCTTAGCCTCATGAAAATTTTGGAGAATTTTGTCGGCTAAAGAGTGAGTACAGTTGGCCTGATGTTGTTTGGCATGTTTTTCTGCACTCAAGGTACCAGTCTGACCAAATGCATGCTCCTATCTTCCTTTTTACATTGTGTAAAATGTCGGAATTTGATTCATTTTACGCTGTTCAAACTTTCAAAAATTTAAATGTAGAGGCAGGCCACAAAAGGCTTTTGTTCCAATAGTATAACCGTGTGTTACATCCTCATAGCTTGTGAAATTATACAAAAATAAATTGAAGGACAGTCTTTCTTGTTTTGCATTCATGCCCAGGTTCAAACCTCTGACCCAAAGACACTAATAATTTGTCCATATTCAATGAAAGTTAGTCAATTTTGGTGTGATTGGTGCAGTACATTTTGTTTTATTATGCAACTGACAGGCAGAGGCGCTAATTGGGGTACTGCAGACCCAAAGTTCAGGGTCTTTTAGCACAACCTGTCAGTGAGAGAGAATGTATGACTTACGTCGGCGGGCGTGACGGCCATTTGTCGTTTGGTTGTTGATTTGAAGCTACTGGTGGGTGCATTTGCGGACGGTTTGGTGAGACTGTCGCTGATATTGTACTGGCCTGTGGATTGCGAGGTCAAAACAATTAATGAACAAGACAATTTTTATAAATATAGATATTTTTACAGTTAAAGGGAATGTACATCATTGGCTTTCGCTGTAATTTTCAGAAATGAACTATTTGAGGGGTTAGTATAATAGATCAAATATTGTTACACTGACATGTTTGAAGTTTTGTGTCCGAAAATGCTGGAAAAACCAAGAAAAACAAAAAATGTTCAAGTAGTCTGGTTCCCTGACTCCACTAAAGATAAAATGGATCAATTTATAGATGCCGGAAAATTGTAGGGTAAGGGAACCAGTCTAGCTGACCTGCACCCGTTCATGAACATGTAACCAATAGCAAACACAATTTGGACTGAAACAAATGGTAAAAATGGAGCAGTTGTTGAAAAATAGTTAGGTTTTTCCAACGGTGGTCGGCCAACCACTGTTGGAAATGTATACAAAAATACCATTTTCTTGAAAATGACTTCACACCAGGTGCCATAATTTTACAGAATGCTTTAGACTGTCATGTACCAACATCCTAGTAAGGTATTTCGTAACAACTTGGTAGTTTTATTTTTCGATGTTTGCAAATGTTGTATTTTCCCTTTAATACTTTTTGCGTTGTTGAGTATTGGTACTGGTTTGCAGTAACGCCTATGTATTAGTCTCTAAATGAGGTCCCCACATGGAACAAATAGATTTAGGGTAGGAAGGGGTATTTTCGACGGGTGGAGAATCCGACTAGGGTCTGACTAGGATTGATTATATGCTGCAAACAAAGTAAGTGCGTAGTCATGTTATAATAGTAATAACAGTTAAGATCTCACTCTCTCAGTTACACTAGGCAGTGCTGGTTTTACTTATTCGGTCGAATTCTCCTCCTATCCCATCTGTTTATCAGTAAGTTGGGGGATAATCAACAGGAGGCAGAATCCGATCAATCAGTACTAAGCAAAAACAACTTGGATTTACCCCACCCGTTGTTTTTTTAGAATTCACTAGTCACCATCAAGAAGAATTAAAGTTAGCAAATTGTTTGAAAGTTTCTCCACTGACTTTCTTAACGCTATGCTTATGTGCATTTTTACACTAAAATACTATAATTTTCTTTGGATAATCATAAATTTTGTAATCAGAATGGAATTTTTTTCTTCTTCATAAAATTAGGTTAACTGCAGAACGTCAACTTACAATTAATAAATTCTCAGTTTCAAGGGAAGTGATACCTTATAGACGACAAGTAATATTAAAAATAATAATAGTAATATTGAAACCAGAATTGCCTATTATTACTGACTAAATGAAGATCTTTGTTGGCCCATCTACAAACAGGTTTGGAATGAGGAATACTTTGGAAGACCATCAATGAAGATGAAGCACTTACAAGGAGCAGGCGCTAACGTCTTGGGCCCCTGGAAATCTATTCTCTTAGATGTCGACTTGAATGATGCTTGGAACTGACTGCCATGGTGCTTGTGTAATCCGCTGTCTGATATCTGGATTTGAACCCAAAAAACCAAAAAAAATATATATTCACAAAAACCTACAATCAGCATCCGGGACACGTTCTCATTCAGCCGATTGCAGCTACGCAACGTCATGCACTGAACTGATGAATAATGGCAACCGCAGGCGCGCGTGCGTCGTGTCAACGCTTGCGCGCACCCATTCAAGGATTCGCCGAATTGCAAACCAACTGCTAACGGAAATTTCCAAAAATGCGTCACTTGACCCATCTTTGGAAATGGCTTTCGAAGTTTATTGTTTTCTTCAAAATGACAGCATGCCAGAAAGAATAATTTCACAGGGAGTTTAGTGCCATTACTATCTTTTAACCAAAACTTTTTTAAAAATAATTTTGTAAGTCACGTTTTGGATAGCTGCAAATGATGTACTCTATCTTTAAGCCAAAGTGACAGGCCTGTAAATGATGCCGATGTGCTCACATTGTACTGATTTGGAGCTGGTTGGTCCCCGCGCTTGTCCTGTGCAACCGCAATGGGCTTGTGGAATGAACTGGAGGCAGGTGCCTGGTTGCAGTCAGTCTGGGTCCTGAGTAGACTGGGGAGATTGTAGGCAGCTGAGCCGGGGCCTGGCGTACCTTTCTGCCTTGGCATTCTGCGGGTCTGGTAAACAGGAAACGGGAAACTTAATGCCCTGAGTAAGGTGCGGATTTGGTTAAATACTTTTAAATGCAGTTTTTTGTTAAAATTCTTGGAGCATGAGCCATTTTGTCTTACTTATCAATCTGTTATGTGCCAACAGAGTTTTAAAGGGAATATACAACATTTGCTTTTGCTGTAATTTTCAGAAATGGATGGATCTGGGGGTTAGATTTTTTTTAGCAAATATTGTCACACTGACCTGTTTAATGTTTTGTGTTCGTAGACGCTGGAAAAACCAAGAAAAAAATGCTGTTCTTGTAGTCTGGTTCCCTGACTTCACTTAAGGTCAGGGAACCAGTCTAGCTGGCTTGCACCGGTTCACGGATGTGTTACCGATTGCAAACACAATTTGGACTAAGTGAATTGTAAATTTGGGGGCAGTATTAGAAAGAAAAATAAAAGCCAGTCCTTTTTCAATGATTGTCAGTTGACCACCATTGGAAATTGATATAAAAATCCAATTTTCTTGAAAATGACAGCACAACAGCTCCCATGATTTTACAGGATGCTTGTGGCTATTATTCAATCACCGTCCAGTAAGGTATTTCATTATAATTCGGTAGTTGTGTTTTTTATGTTTGCAAATGTTGTATATTGCCTTTCACCATGCAAATCACAAGTCGGGCCAAAACAAAAGTAAGGGTATAAAAAAAATAACAAAGGAATTGATTCTTCAGTTAATTTGAATAGCTATAAACCATTTGACTTGAGACTTGGTGATTTTTAACAAACCTGGAAGGATTATGCTTTAGTCCCCCCCCCCTCCCCCCCCCCCCCCTCTTATAAAAATGTCTGGCTACACAATGGGTGCAAATATTTGTGCACCACAGTTTCTGAGGGGCGAGTGAACAACAAACCAGAAATTGAGGGATGTCAATCATTCTCACCTTGGATACAAAGCCAACGCCCACCCCTTTCTTGGAGAATGATGAACTATCCCTGACAGCTGCCACTCGGAGGTTGCCATACGTTCCTGGACCAGGGTTCTCATTCTAAGCAGAATCAAGCAAAGAACTTGTATATTAAAGCAATGGAAACAAATTCACTTATCCTTAAACTTTACAAAATACTTTTCGGGTCAAAATAGCATTGCAGTAAACTTTTTCAACATGACAACGATTATTAGAGTAAGGACCGTTCAAGACGCCGTGCTACTTTCGCGCCAAACTTAATTGAAATGAAAGCGGCAATAGCTTGACTACAGCACGGCAGTTGCTCCAAACGCGGAATATCAATTGCATGTTTTCACTACCTTAACTTTTGGGACTCTCACTCATACACAGAATTGAGAGTCCCAGATTTTCGGACTAGGATTGTCCCGACTATAGTTGGGGCCATTGCTATAGTTGGGGGTTATAACAGCTTCAATATATTCCTTCTGTGTGGAATTTTAAATGTTCACACTTACAACATTGACATCATGGTTGAATCTTTTTGTTGTCCCACCAAATCCTCTTTTATCTGTATTCGGTGTGACGATGGTTTGATATTTGGTTGGTATTGACGACGTAGCAGCAACAACACCAGGGCCTGTGGAGAAAGAAAAAACATAAAATGACAGGGTGTGAGGTCACATTGTATTTAATTGACAAGAGACAAAGTCTTGTTAGTTGTAAAACTAAAAACATTCATTTTAACTTAAGTTAGAATAAAGTCAATGAAAATGAAAGTCATGCAAGTAAAAAAAATGTTTGAAAATAACATTTTCCAATTTTGCAGTAGGCCTACCGGGTAGCTGGTATATGGTTAGAAAATCAAGATACTACATAATTTTTCACTTTCTAGCTTTTTCAATTAAATTATTTACATTTAACCTTTTAATCACAGTCATTGTGGTGTTCACTTAAAGAAATCAAAGAAAACTAGAAATGTGTTTGTGGACAAACACTGAGCTGTTTCGACCGTTTTATTAATGACTGCCGTAAAAGGAGTTTCATCCAGGTCGAATGAACATGTACATGCGTATTCTATACAAAAAGTGTCTATCCTACGTCCCTGACTATGCATGAAAAAGTTAGCCGGAAATCGGCTGAAACGGTCACTGTGGACAGGATTTGACCTCAGCAACACGTGCGCTGCGCGCGGGCTGACTGACATACGATATGTACAACGTACGTGCATGTACATGTACATTGTGGACTGTGCATGTTTTAAAGCAGAGTTATTGTCAACCTGAAGTTTTAAGCGTGCGCAGGGCATGTCCGAGTTTGCTTATTGCCTCGAAGCTTTGAAATATTTTAGACCTACCCTTAAATAGACAATTATAGTAAAAACTAATATAAAAACTGCCATGGTTGATTTTTCAGGAATTTTTTAAGGAAAAAGGTTTTTTTCATTATAACTTCCGGTCTGATGACGTCATCCACCTTAAACTTCGCACACATCTTAAATGGGTCAAGGTCATCATATACACCAATATTTAGGCGATTCCGACAAACTTCGCCACAGACATCTATTCAAAATACATTTTTGAAAATTTTCAACCTGTCGCTAGAGGGCGCTCGAAGATTGCATGACGTCATCGGTAGATGATTTGAAGAATACTATTAGCCAAGAGACTAACACAGTTAAAAGCAAGTTCATATCTATTACCACTTTTAAATAATAAGCCACTTCCGGTTTTGGCCTTTTTCGACCGGAAGCAAGGGTCACGTGATTTTACGCACACTGAATGAAATAAAGACCTCAACCTACTCTACCACTTGCTGGCAACAGAATGCTGCGGACGCGTACGGTTGATTTCTTATGCATTCTTAAATATTAAAATTGTCACAATTTAATTGCCTATAAATAAACACCGGATGACGTCATCATGACGTCATCATTACACAATGTTGTTTGAATTAGAGTCTTTGCTTGGACAAAGATTGGTGTAAATGAATTACTGGCAAAGAGTCGAAAATGCCCTCTGAAAATTGACATTTTTTTTTTAATTTCTGTGTACAAAGTCTATGGGACAAATTAAATATTCAAAATTCTATAATAAATCACGTGATGACGTCAGCATGACGAAAAGTTTCGGGACACATCTTCAGATGGTGGTCTAAGTGTGTGCCAGGTTTGAAGTCGATCGGATTTGAAAAAAAGCCAAAAGTGACTTGTAGAACGAAAACACGTGTTATCCTATGAGAAAAAAGTCTGAAAAATAAAAGAGAAAAAAAAAAATAACAGAAACAAGAGCTGTTTCGGTGTGTACACCGAAACAGCTAAATATTTTATCACGAAATAGATAAAATAATCGACACACCGTACAAGTTCCACTGAATTTTGGACCTACCTTTATGAAGTCTACCGGATCTTTCCCCACCCACAGACCTCCTGTAGCCAGGTTCTAATGTCTGCACACTATCTGCCATTTTATTTCGGCATAAAAGATAATTTACAAGGAAATTTTAAAATTTTTGAGCACGTTCCCCCAACAATTCTGTAAACATTGTCTTGCACCGTTGCACGCCTAATAGTTTACAAATATCACTGCGCGAGAGAACTATGTTTTATAATCTTGTTCTCCAAATGTGGACAAAATCATCCAAATGTGAATAATATTTGGATAAACTGTAATCATAATTACACGAAAACGTGTTTTTATCAGAAATAAGTTGTGTAAATCCAAAAATTGCATGAAAACTTATGGGGAGCGGAATGATATCGTTACTATGACTACAAAGTTGTCTATGATGGTTAGCCTTTTCACAAGCGAATAAAACACACTGCGGATGCGACTGTTCGATGAGACTACTAAAAACCGCCTGAAGCAAACGATTTTCGGATAATCGTTCCCAAAGTCGCCCCGGCCACTTATTTCGGTGAAATTCGAAAACAGCAAGGGGAGTCATCTTGTGTGATCTTTGAAAATGATCTTGCTGACTGGATTGCCCTGAAATATGCAACAACAACAAAAATAAAACAAATTGCACGGTCTAATATTTCGATGTGAAACGCACTGAAACAGACGGAGCTGAGGATTTAAATAGAATATGTCATGGCGTAAAATATTCTCTCCCCAAATCTTTTCGCGAATTAATATACCCCAGCTAAGTAAAATCATATGAATGTATTAAACTGTTATGTTAATAAACTCTTGCAAAAGTAGTTAATTTGATTAACCAAGGTAGTCATGTGTGCAGGGTGAGTCTTTTTTCTGACTGAAAAATTAACCTATTATACCGACTGGACTTTTTGCTTTCATACTACTAGGGCCACGCTTTCAGAGAAAATATGGAACATTTTATTATCACATCGAACTTTTAAAGTGAAGTTAAAATTCGGTAAGAAAACATCATTCGATGTATAATTTTTTTTCGACAGCAAAAAAATGTCGAGTATGGGGCGACCATTGGACCCCCCACCAAAATCAATACCCGTACCCTGTGCGCGCATGCAACACAATGTACAAGTTCTTCAAAAGGACTATACCAAACTATCGAAATGTTTCAGAAAAGGTTATGCAACGTATTATGTAAATGTGTACAAAATAAATAGTACCAAATTATCACTCATTTACCAATTGAATCAAATCTCTCTTCGTATTGATGAATCAATTTTTGTTAAAAAAAAACTTTTACTACAAGATTCATTAACAATAATTGTTAAGAGTTTGTGAACACCCCTGTTGGTCAGTATGGTCCTTTCCATCTCTCTAATCACGGTACATTGCACTCTCTGTGGTTGCAGCTGTTATCGCTATGTGCGTGTAAGATATTATGCAAATTATAAATAACCTATCACAGCGAGGTTTATTGAAGCGGAATTAAGAAAGACCAATCATCGACTTCAATTTTGGGTTAGCCCCGCCTAGCCCCGCAAAGCTAAAGCAGTGACCCTGCCGGGCCAACCACAACTGGGCGCGCCACGTATATCCCATAACCCGCGAAAATCAATTTTGGCGTTTGGAATTGTTCATTCGTCCTGTTGCTCCCGCCCTGGCCACATCTGTTCAACTAGCCCAGTATTTACCCCCATTAATAGTAATTCACATCCTCGTCTTTGCAGCTGTAAAGTAGCCCTTCAAATCACTCAAAATGTTGTCGATGCACTCACCAGATTCCACCGCTAACAAGATGAAGACCCTGACCAATAATATGCAAAATTCGAGAATCAGCGACCAAGAAAACCAGGTGAGTTTTTACATCTTTGTCAAGTTTGTGTTCACATTTTGATTGGAGGGAAAATTACTTTTTGGACAGAGAAACAAAGTTCTTCAACTCAGTCCAGATAGGCCTGTATCATAAGATATTATCGATATTGAGAGCTGTTTTTCTTGTGAAACTGAATGCTAAAAAACAAGCTAGGCCTATGCAGATTTTGGCTCCATTTCATCATGTTCATTTGGAAATGAAACGGTGGAGAGTTTAAGTTTGTGATTCCTTTTTTCCCCATTTCCGCCACAGCATCCAATGAGGACAAAACAAGTCAAAGTTCTTGGAGACAGCCAAAAGCAAGTAAGTGGAGTTGCCCCTTTGTTTTCCGACCTTAGGTAACATTTCGGTTAAAACCGGTAGGAATTTTTTGTTTTGAACGGTTCCTTGTGTAACCAGCTGATATTTGGGGTTACGCAAGGGGTTATTGTTGGCCCCGAGCGCGGGAAGGCTAACCGGCACAATGGATCCCATTGTTTGCGTAAAGCTGTACGCTCATTGAATATTCAACGATTGAGGATCAGAAAGTGAATGGTTTGGCACATAATGACTAGCTGTGTGTTGATTGCCCTGCTGCTAGTGCTACTCTGTCATGCTCAATGGTGATTGTTGTTGAGAGCGAATAGGTTTTTTTTATGTTTTGTATAAAAGAATAAATTGAGTTTTTGTTTCGTAGCATGTTCAGCCTGATTCACTATGCTGCTGCATATCATTTATCATCAAATAAAATAAATGGCATTTCAATCCAAATTTTTTTTTTTTTGTATAAATAAACTTTCATTGGGGACTAATTGATGCTTGGCCAAGCATTACAAAAAAGAATTTTGCCATGTTTACCAATGACAGTCTACATTTTGGCAAAAAGGTTGAAAATAACTTTGAATAAAGTAGAAAATTGAGAAATATTTGAATTTGATTAAATACATTTTTACTTCAACTAACAAACATCGATAGGCCAAGACCGACTTCATTTTTCATTTTCTATTTTTTTTTTGCTGTGATAGGCCCAATTGCCTAACATTAATTAATGACCTAACTTCCTGAATTTCCAATTAATTTTTGGAAACAAATCATGAAACAAAAAATAGGACACTTTGTTTTGTTTTCCCATTACAATTAGTAGAAGCCATCTTCATGATAAAATTACAACTGCGTCTTCAACGCCATCAGTTGCGTGTGCACACAGTGTGCAAAGTGTTCTAAGCATGCATGCATGTTGCTCGAAATTTCTACAAAATGCAGTTTAGCCAATGTACATCAGAAAAAGTTGACTCAAAAAATGCTAATGTTGTGACAATCTGTAGGCGGTGACGTCATCTGAGGCCTAATTTGTTGTCTTGTATTTCCATTTATAGAATATTATTCCCACAACGAAGACCCCATCGAAAGAGGAGAAAAGGAAAGAGCTGAAGGTAAGTAGACAAAAAGATTGATTTATCAATTTATAAAAAGAATTCAAACAGTTGTTACTGTTTCAACTTGGGTCACTTCACTCTAACTAAGCAAAACAATCAGATTATCATTCCATTGTTCAAAGTTATGAGTAGTTTGAAGAGGTTTCCTACCAAAGAGTTGCTTGTTTTTAACAAATCAACTTTTCTTCTACAGGAATTTAAGAAAAAGCAGCAAGATTTGCTACAAGATGAGCCACTTCTACGCGAGAACCCTCATCGGTTTGTCATCTTTCCCATTCAGTACAAGGTAAAGCCAATTAACAATGGGTTAACTTATCCTTTCACCAAAATGATATTGTCATGATTTCCAACATTCACAAAATGTTCCCACTGCCTTATGTGCTCAATGTGAAATGGTTTTATTTTCTTCTTCTTTTCCTGATCTGAGCCTGGGAATAAAGTGACCCACACCCTCATACTAGTGGGCATTACAAAATCACTTGACTCATCAACAAACAACATGCTTATATTAAAAAACTATCTTATGCTAGCATACATATTCTGTGCAAAGTTGTCCTCTCGGTCAAAAATCAATCAAGTGATTGTTTCTAACAGTTAAGAGTTCCCAGCCTACAGGATTGACTGGCTGTGACTGTTTGTGTTACTTGATACAGCTTTGCTTTGACTGTAGGTGATTGATAATTCAGCTGTAAATACCAACTGTTAGATATCTCATCATTTAATAAAAAAAAAAAAAAAAAGATATCTCATCATTGCCTATGTCAATTTCAGGACATCTGGGACATGTACAAGAAGGCAGAGGCGTCGTTCTGGACGGTCGAGGAAGTCGACCTCTCCAAGGACCTCCCAGACTGGGAGTCCCTCAAGCCGGACGAGAGGCACTTCATCTCCCACGTCTTGGCCTTCTTCGCCGCCAGCGACGGCATCGTGAACGAGAACCTCGTGGAGCGGTTCAGCCAGGAGGTTCAGGTGCCCGAGGCGCGGTGTTTCTACGGGTTCCAGATCGCCATCGAGAACATTCACTCCGAGATGTACAGCTTGTTGATTGACACCTACATCAGAGACCCCAAAGAAAGGTAGGCGTCCCAAATTTGGCTGTGGACTAAGATCTGAAGTTCAAGACAAATTTTTGATGCGACTTAAGATCAGAAGTTCAAGACAAATTTTTGATGTCTCAGACATCACATGCAGAAAGTTACAGAAAATTGGGTATTTCTATTCCAATAAAAGGCATCAGGAAATGTCACACAGTAAAATCTCTCATGAGTTGACGATGGCTAGGTAAATCAGGAATCTGCCGTGGATATTGTGGTTTGAATAGGAATACAGAACAATAATTAAAGCTAAAATATTTCATCTTTTTTCTTAAAAAGGACGTTCCTGTTCAATGCCATTGAGACCCTACCTTGCGTCAAGCAGAAGGCTGACTGGGCGCTGAACTGGATCAACTCGGACATGTCCACCTACGGCGAGAGGGTTGTGGCCTTCGCCGCTGTGGAGGGCATTTTCTTCTCGGGATCCTTCGCCTCCATCTTCTGGCTGAAGAAGAGAGGACTGATGCACGGCCTGACGTTCTCCAATGAGCTGATCAGTCGCGATGAGGTACATCGTAAAATATTAACTCGACTAACTGTGTAGGGAACAAGAAATCGTTCTTTGTATCTTGACTCTCAAGTCCCACGAAAAGTGTTGCTGGGCTCCTCCTTAAAAAAAATTGCAAAATGTACAAAACCTGACGAATTGGGAGGCTATGGGAAAGGGCTAATCAAACACTGTGTCCCTTTTAAGGGATTGAATCTCGAAACTCTTTGTAGTCCTAAGAAGTAGTTTCATCAGAATTGCACAGTTGAAAAACTCTTCACAAAGACAAAGAATTTGTTAAAGACAAACTATAACAAAGGAGAATTTAAGGTTTTAGGATTGTACAAATCTGTACTGAACCTTTAAAAAAAATGTTCATCAAAAAGTCACAAAAAGTCCCACCATTTGGAAATGGTCAATGGTCACACTGTATCATACACCAAGAAAATGTTTTCAAACTTTATAAATTAACAAGGTCTTGACTAACATTTGATTAGGTGTTCCATACCAAACCTCAACATATTCGAATGCTATAATGCAACTCCTTTTTTTTTCTTTCCATTTTCCAGGGTCTGCACTGTGACTTTGCCTGCCTCATGTTCAGCCATCTCGTCCACAAACCCTCAGAGGAACGCATCAAGTTCATCATCAAGGAGGCTGTCAAGATCGAGCAGGAGTTCCTCACGGACGCGCTGCCGTGCTCGCTCATCGGAATGAACGCCAAGCTCATGAAGCAGTACATCGAGTTTGTGGCCGACAGGTTGCTCCTAGAGCTCAAATGCACGAAGGTACGTTCCAAGCTAGTGTGATTAAATAGCTCCTGGCAATATTTGCAAGGTAGTAAAGACCTTGGAAACATCTGTGAAAACATTTCAGTATCGAACAGCTGAATACTGAAATAGATACAATGTCTTAACACCACCCCTAACCGGATTCTTCAAAGTCAATCAGTATGAATGCAAGGATTAATGAATGCATAAGGCCAAATTAAATAACAGTTCTGCTTCCGGTTACCCTACCTACCCTATTTTGACAGCCCCTACCCTAATTACTTCGGGGAAAATGAGGGGGAAACCATCAAAAATCATCAATTACTACTGTTTACCCTTGACTGCACGCAGACACCTCCATATGATCGTACACAAAAAAATTGCCCTACCTACCTTATTTTCAAATGCCATGTAATCGGAAGCAGAACTATTTTTTTTTTGTGCCTAAATAGAAAGAATATCTTGAAGCCAACCCTAACCAAATTCTTCCAAGCCAATCGGGATGATTGCAAAGGATTAATGAATGTTCAACTCGTTGAAAGGTTTAACTGCATAATCGATTATTTTCTGGCACACTTGTGTATTTTGAATTAATCGGGAAGGTGCCAGCAAGACTGCTGAGGGTGTTATGAGAGAAATATTGCAAATTTATTTTGGATTTGCACTGTGTTCATGGCTTTGTGTTTCCCTGCCTTTCTCCTACAGATCTGGAATGTCGAGAACCCCTTTGATTTCATGGAAAACATCTCTCTGGAAGGCAAGACCAACTTCTTCGAGAAGAGGGTCGGCGAGTACCAGAAATCGGGCGTCATGGCGTCCAAAGAGGAGCAGGTATTCAGGTTAGACGCAGACTTCTAAATAAAGCACTGAAATAAACCAGATATAATCCTTATCCCTGTCTGGAATGTCGAGAAGCCCTTCGATTTCATGGAAACATCTCCCTGGAAGGCAAGACCAACTTCTTTGCTATGCAATATCATTTTGGAGAGCGGATATGAGTGGGTGTAGAAAATGACTTATCGAGAATCTATCTTAATGCAATAAGTTTTGGACACTCCTTACTCGTGGTGCTTATTTTTATCCGAATGTTTGTCCAATTTTGTGTAACGTTTTATACCTCATTTCTTACAAAAAAAATTACGAAACAATTGTGAGTTTTTATCAAGTGTGTCTGAGTGCGAGTCTTTTGATAACAATTTTCAATTTGAGTAGAGCTGAGCGTTGGAACTGAGCGTTGGGCAGAGACTAACAAACGTCATGGGCCAATGCATGCTGGGAAAACCAGTACGCAGGGCAGCTTTCGCGTTTGTTTCGTTTGAACAAAGAGAAACGTGAGCAACAGGGAACACATACTTATTTATCAATCCTGTACAAAAAGAGCATGTTTTACCAAAGTCGGACACTTTTTGAAATTTTTAATAAAAAATAGTTTAAATAGACGTGTACATTCCAATCGTACCTGTGACCTTATGTTACAAAAAAAACAAAATCTGTCCGAACTTTACATACTCTAAATTTGAGGTTACAAACAGTAATGTAGATGTTTTCCTAATAGTGCCTTCGTATTGTAAATGTTAACTTGATATGTTATAGTTTTATTGTAAATATCAGTCTTTGTGTAGCGATTTTATAAAGTTTGAGTTCATACTGACCAGCAAATCCACTGCCACAACGCAAAATATTACAGCAGACGAAAAACATACAAATCCTAGCTTGAAAATATTGCTCTATTAGTTGTTTACTTTGCTTCAGTAGTTCTTGTACATGTAAACTTTTGATAAAGGCTGGATATCGGGACCAAAACTGAATATTATTGCTTTTTGATAAATTTGACATTTTTTTATTGTGTACTTCATGAAACTTTTGTATCATGCATTTTATTTGTACTCAAATTTCTTTTTAAATGGTAGTGCCGTTTGTGCCTTAATACTGAAAGTAGAAATTTTAAACCAATAATTATATTTACTAAAGTAGAAGAGTTGAAACCACTTGTAATAAGCTATGATGATTGCATTAATTTCTGACTGAAATTCATTTTGTGCGGGTTATCATTTTTAGCTGTGATTTAATTTTAGTTAAATTTGTTTTTTATATTCCTGCTTTTGCCCATTTTTTGGGCCTGGCAGTAGATGTACATGTACAAGCCTATTTCTGCCCAACTGCCAAAGTTTGGTGTTGAAAAGACGACATAAATTCCGAATGTCTTCTCATCCTACCATTTATGGTACATGTAATTTGATTTTGCATCGGAGATGTAAATTATTGAAATACAAGGTTTTGCTCTTAACTGTTAATTTAACAGCCCTCTAAAAGCAATGTTACAAGCATAGCAGAGCGTACAATACAAAATGTATTACATGTACATAGATGAATGACAAAAACCTTGTATTTGAAACAATTTTTTTGCAAGTTGTTGAGTGTAAATAATTTGAGCCCATCATTCCTTAAAAATAAAAAAAAAATAAAAAAAAAATAAACGTGATTGTGTTATGTGTTGCTGTATTGAAGTCTGTACGGATTAGGCACAAGCTTATTGGCCTTGCTTGGATTAGTAACTGATTTATGAATTATAAACGGCCTCAAAACTAGCTGAGCTTCTGAACTTAACAAAATTAAAGGGGCCATGAGATGTAATTGTCTTCGGAACATTTTGTGCAACTTTCTACTTTCATGAGGGATGAAAACTCTGACATTCTTTTTTGGTTAATTTTATTGAAAAGTGCACTTTAAACTTAAAAAAAATGCCCTTGTAAATGGAAAATTGAAAATAAGGTTAAATAGGAAACAAGCTTTTTTAACAATTGCATTAACAATTAAAAAATACAAGCCCTTTAAAAAGATGTGAATTAAAGGGAAAATACAACATTTGCAAACATCAAAAAATAAAACTACCAAATCATTTTGAAATACCTTGCTGGACTGTTAGTGAATGACAGTGTAAAGCATCCTGTAAAATCATGGCACCTGGTATACTGTCATTTTCAAGAAAAGTGGTATTTTTGTATCAATTTCCAACGCTGATCGGCCGACCAGCGTTGGAAAAAAACTGGCTTTTTTCAAATACTGGCCCCAGTTGACCATCGCACTTGTTTGCAATCGATTACATACCTATGAACGGGTACAAGCCAGCTAGACTGGTTCCCTGACCTTACAATTCCCCAATATATGTAAACTGCTCTGTTTCTTCTTAAATTGAGTCAGGGAACCAGACTACAGGAAAATGATTGTTTTTCTTGGTTTTTATAGCATTTTCGAACCCAAAACCTCAAAAAAGTCAGTGTAACCATATATTTGCTATATATTTCTAACCCCCCAATTCCATCCATTTTTGAAAATTACAGCAAAAGCAAATGATGTATATTCCCTTTAAATGAGCAGATATAATATGCACGAGGTGTTAAAAGTTGTAATTGTGCTTTGGGGAAAACAAAGGAGATGACATGTGCATGTACTTTCGTCCAATATCATGGCATCACCCAAAAACAAAAGTTTTACGCTTATGTGCGCATTAATTTGCCTAAGATTTAATCACTGAAGAAAACCCGCCAAGGTATTTTTGCTTTGAGATACATTTTGGGGTGTGCAAAAAGACATCTAGAACCACTGTGGCTATTAAGATCATCCTTTTTTAATAAGATCGCTGTTCTAAGTTGAAAAGTAACACTAGAGAAGGCTAAAAAAACCTACAATTTTGAAAACAGCTACAGGGAGAATGGACAGTTTGAACTGTAACTAACACCTTGCTAACATTTTCATTTAGACAAAAAAAAAGTGATATACATGTACATGTACTGTACATGTACATGTACAAGTCTTATCTTTTTCACGACTGGTTAAGGAGCATAAAATTAGAGACACTGTTTACGTACCTGTCCAATTGCCCAAGGGTCAAACCACAGTGCTGTGCTTTGTGCGACACTGAAGACGCTTTCTCTTTTTTAAATCCTCACCACAAAAGATAGGGAAGTGCGGCTCTCGATTTCACATCTAATAACAAATTCATCTGCAGAATGACACAGTCGTGGCAAAATTGTCCACAGTGTAACACTGAGTTGAACACTATCAGTGAAAGGCAGTGACTGTCGGAAACAAATAATTAGTAAACAAATTCAACACGCTTAATACAAAAACTCAATCTTTTAAAATACTGTGGCAAATTCTTTAGTCAAGTTTAAATATAGTGCTTTATTTGACAATCTGCATTTAATTAATTCACAGTTGTGTGTTTTTTCCCCCTCTACACGCGTGCAAGATGACAGTTTTCATAAAATGTTATATTTTCCTCGACCTCGAATTACCTAAAAATGGAGCAATACATCTACTGCTCATAACACATTCGTGACTGGATTTGGGATAAACAGAAATAAAAAATGCAAAAGAAAAATTGCAAAGAAGAATTGCAACTTCGAATAATTGGCGTACACTCGAGTTGTCGTAAATGTCATTCACATGAAATTGACAAAGAACTGGTTGCAATGTTTATCGCAGACCTACATTCAATTGAAATTATCCCTAACTTCTGGTGGTTTTGGTTTGTTTTAAATATCAAACACCATTAAATCCAAACCACAATTTGGTGTTTACCTTGGTCCCTATTTATACAAAAATACAAGTATTGTTGCATGTACAATACATTTCATGGTAGTTTAAACAGTTTGCATGGGTATAGCAAAGATACAAAAGAACACCGATTTATGGATCACATATCTGACCCGGCCACCACAAAATGGGCATAACGTTGGACAATTGAGTTGATTTTATTTCTGGATTCTTCAGAACATCATGGAGTTAATAGCTCCATGTTCAGAACAAGCGCTTTCTAATGGACTATGGACTCTTAACATTTAGGGGTACTGAGTTTGGTAACAGAAATATAGACCGCCTACTACATTTAAGTTGTAGAACTAATTTTTGAGAAAATGGCATTTAAAATCCCGCCGTTGTGTGACGGTGAATGAACAGTCAACTAATTAAACGGGATGAAAGTAAGGGTTAAAGATACTTGATGGAACAAAGAAACATGGGAAAGCTAGGGCAGAACAGAACTTGAGGTTCGTCTGAAAACAAAAATCTACTACCCCTTCAAATTTTGGCTTTGTCCCACTGTCCTGCTGAAAATGGCAACTTCCAACATAATGGTCATTTTGTGATGACAGGCAAGGGTGGATCCAGAAAGAGAGGTTACTGCCAGGAGGCGAAGGTGTGATGGGGGCAGAAGGTGGGGGGGGGGGGGGGACAAAAGGGTTCTCTCAAGTGAAAAATTTCCTTATTTGATGAAGGTTTGCGGAAACACCATGTGCGAATAATTTCTCAACTAAGAGAATGGTTCTGAAAAGAACCAGAGGTATAAACTCGACGTTCCGGTCAGTATGCTCTGACCGTCTTCAGGAGAGTCGTGTAGGCGGTCAGAGCATACTGACCGGAACGTCGAGTTTATACCTCTGGTTCTTTTCAGAACCATTCTCTTAGTTGAGAAATTATTCGCACATGGTGTTTCCGCAAACCTTCATTATTTAGTATCTTCACCATGCAAAGCCTCAAATCTTACTTTCCTTATTTGAGAAAAATTGGGTCACTGCCAGGGGGCAGGCGTCCCCTCTGCACCCCCTGGGTACGCCACTGAACAGGTCACATCATACAGGGAGTGAATTTACTATTCACCCTATGGTATAAAAGACTTAATACATCAGAACCCTGAAGCAATGCCAAATGGGGTTCCACATGCGTTTTTCTTGTAATAAATTTCTTACCACGTTTTCGCTTATCCAAATTTTAGTTTGGTAAAATACTAGACCGAGCAACAAAAGGAAAGTGACTATATTTTCATGTAGGATTTTCCTTAATTATTATCGGACAGCGCCCTAAAGTCCAGTAAGTCGGCTACGCTACTCTTTCTCGTGCATGTACTTATGCAATGCTGTAGGTTCGGCTACATTTTTTTATTTTAACACTTTTGAAAGACACAATTGTGAAGTGCGAGTCGTAATTAGAACTCAAACATATTTCAAGAAAGACTATAAAATATAATTGCAAAGAAATTGAAAAGAAAGAAAAACATAATGTGTGTGACAATTAGCCCGTTTGCATTTCCCGCGTTTGCATTTTGTTGTTTTTAGAAAGTGGCGTAGAAGTGATTGCTTTTCACACAAAATGTAACAATTCAAGGAATGTATATGTACATGTTTACAGTGCAGTAGGGATCAAAACATTTGCGAAAAATTAGACATATATGACCAAAATATACACATACATGTTCATTAACAACAACAAAACAAAAACAACAAAATAACATTTTCAAAAAAATAAACAGAAGTATGTACAAAACACAATACAAAGGAACATAAAATTAAATTTAATACGCAAATTATATTGTATTGTAATATTGTGCAATTTAGGCATTATGTGGTTGAAATGTTTACTAACAATGTTGAACAACTGGTGGCATGTTTCTTGGATGAAAAATAATCCTCCGAAACAGAAAAAAAAACATTCTTGCAATGCTGTATGCAACATTGATGTCAGATTAAAATATACACAAGAAATGAAATTAAAGATATAGTCCATCATTTGTAATTTGTGCATTTTGTTCGTTTGAAGCAACAAAAGTGTTCAAAATCTAATGAATGATACTGAACAACTAACCTGATAAAGTTTCAGCTCAGCTTCAGCTGTATATTTCGAGAAAAAACAGCATTCTAGGATCTCAATTTCAAATCAAAAGTTGCTGAATCATGTTTTGAATTGTTTTGAATTGCAGCTATACGCGATGTTGCGCACTGATCCGACGAATTATAGCAACCGCGGGCATGTGCGTCGTGCCAATGCTTGTGCGTGCTGCGCCGAATAACAAAACGAACTACTAATTTAAATTTTCCTACAGTGCGTCTTAAGACGCACCGTTGGAAAGGCCTTCTTTCGTTCATTACTTCAAAATGATAGCTTGCCAGAAAGATTAATTTCACAGGGAGTTTAGTCCACTTACTATCTTTCAACCAAGTATGTTTTTCAACAATAATACGCCAGTTACTTCTTCGGATGGCTGCAAATGATGGACTATAGCTTTAACTCATTTTTCATTCAATTAATTCATGCGCATTAAAACTTATAATGGCCATGACAAAACTACTGCTTTCCCCTCATCCAATAAACATATAAATAAAAACAAAAGCATATATACATATATAGATATATATAAATAAAAGAGTTATTTTTTTGTCAAAATTACCCATGAAGTTGCTCAAGAATAGTAATCATACACTTTGTGTACGATTTATTTTAGGAAATAGAAAAGGCTATTCTGGGGATATTATGGCAGTGAGTGAACATGTATTCAGAGGTTTTGTAATCAAGTCATCGAAAAGTCCATCACAAGTAAATTCTGACACAAGTCCGGTGAAACGTCACTATCGAAGTGATTACCGAAGATCTGCCAAAATCGGTCGTTGGCACAGCAACAGGATCACGCCGATGCAAACATGGCCGCCACTCACTACGGACTTGTATACTCTCTGAGCATTTTTGTGTTGTTTCGTTAGGACATTGGACCAAAAAAATCCACAGGTGTGTTTTTTATTTGTATGATTATAGTCCGCAGCGAAAGAGTTGAACGTTGTGAGGGAGCATTTATTGACCAATTTTCCGAACGGTTTTACTTCGCTTCGAATACACATGCAGTACCATTCTATTTTTCCCTCGGCTTTCGCCTCGGGAAAAATCAAATGCTCCATGGATCACCTCGGGAGGCTAGTTTTACTACACCACTCGAAGCAGTCACTATTTGTATGCTGTGTGGTATGAGAACAAAATGGCGTCCTGTCAATCAAACAGAGCTCACTGACCAATTAGGTCACAACTTTTGATCAGGTGACCTAACATCGTGATGCAATTGGTCAAACTCGGTCACAAGGGGGTGAGAAATGTACACAAACCATTGGGGCGGGCCTACAGTCAAATCTAGAATGGTCCATTGGCTTTTGATCACTTCAGGGGTTTTTTTTGGTTGGGGGGGGGACAAATTTTTCCAGACCTCCGTTACGCCGGGGGTAGGTCATCATCTTCGTCGCAGCATCGACACCATTTGCATTTACAGCAGAGGATGCAGGGGGCGACGAGCAAGAGAAACGGGGAGGCTAACAGGAGGAGGAGACCAAAGCCGGCAAAGATACCAACCACCTGTCGGGTAAACAAAACCGACCAATCACAAGTCAATAACCAATACAACGTAAACAAATCTGACCAATCACAAGTCAATAAACACGACGACACCTGCTTCATGACACTGTTCTTGCATTACATACAGGAGTGCTTAGACAATTTTTTTTTGGAACATATTCTTTGTACACTTAAAGTAGCTGTGGCAGAATGTTTCTGTAAGGAAGGGGGGCCACAATATGCAAAAAAATCTGCAACTGCATGGTACCACACTTGATGCATTTTTTCTCTCTTGTGAATCTGGCTAAAAAAAAAAAATTCAATCAAACTAAATTTCAAGTCAAGCTCTATTATGTCAATTAAGGTCAAGTTTTATATAATTCAAATATGACCTGCTTAACTCTTGGACTACAAAACTAATTGCCTTAATTAAACAGAATGATCTTCAAGCCGATATAGGATCACTGTCTCTAGCGAGTTTTGTTTCAAGCTGAAAAAAAAATGGCTCATGGACGTTGGACACAAAGTGTTCCTATTTTGTTTTGGAAAGATAGAGTCTCAATTTTGCTCTTTATATACCTGTGTTCTGTGCCATATAACTGACGCTCTGGAGTGACCTAGCTTGTTTTTGCACGGTCCTTTGTCGTAGTGTCGCAGTAAAAAATCATCCTGTAAAAAAGTACGAATAGAAAATGACCTTCACAACCCAGATAATTTTTTTTTTTTTCGAGAGGAATCTTTTTTATCAATTTACAAGAACCCAACAGCAACATTGGAGGATTTTTCAGTTCCCTATTAATTTTTTCCCCTGAGTAGCTCATCAGAAGTTTTCCAACCACAAGTCTTAACTGCATTTTTTTGTTTATATTCTCAAAGTATTTCTTCAGGATTGCAAACTACAGTGCTTTGGGGAATTTTGGAAAGACAAAATATTTATTAAAAAGACAGAATATATCGGCCGAATCTTAAAATCAGGTCAAACACAACAAATATTGACTCTTGACAGTCACTTGTAAATCATTCGTATGATACTTCTCACTTTAAATTCGTGTCTTAATTTGCAACATCCGAGGCCCAGCCAAGGAGCGATATTTGCTTCGAGGACGGGCCGTGTACAGTGGCCAAGTTCACGTTCAACACACGGTGTGTACAAAACCAATGGGAACCCCTGACGTGTATACACGACCACCGCCAGACAATCGGGGAAAGTTTGACAGTTAAAAAGAACAATCGTCACCCGCCCCTGCAACATATATTGCCCGATCGTGTTTTAACGTCCTAAGGCAAAAGAACAATCGTCACCCGCCCCTGCAAAATATATTGCCCGATTGTGTTTAAACGTCCTAAGGCGTTAACTGGTTAAAAAGCGTAAAGATGGTGATGGAATACTTACGTCAAGGTTTGCAAGGCAGTACCAGCAGAAGACGTGCTTGCATCGTTTGCACATCATTTGCGCGCACCCCTCGTCCCGTTCGATGGGTATATGGCACATGGGACATCGCTTGATCTTCGCAACCTCTTCGTTGTCAAATGGTATGCTGGAAACAGAACGGCGGGCAAAATTAAAATGTGGCTGTAACTTTCCGTAGAGGCGCTCTCCCTGATAATTGTGGAACTATTCAGTACATTTGTATACTTTTTAATGGTAATCAAGTTGGTGGTGAATTTACATGTAACTACATGTGACCTGAAATATCAAGGTGCATACCTACATGAATGATCCTACATATTACATGTGCATCACGTCTGAAGTGGATGATAGTTCTCACGATTAGTGTGCGACGGTTAAAAGAAGATCTATGGCAGCGAGCTCGTCACAATGTGCTTGAAATTTTCTCCATTTTTCAAGACACCTTACATGGACAAATTTACGATTCTGGTGAGCTTTACTGTATATTTTATGAATGTCCCAACTCTCAGGAATACAACGGTGTAAAGGAAAGTGTTCAGCGATATGCATTTCAGGAGATATTTGGAATCAAAATCTATCAGGCATGCCTTGTGAAGCGACCCTTCGCGTATTTAGCCACCCCCAAAGCAGGGCTTTATTAGCGACAGTTCAAGACCGATTTTAAAAGTAAAGCCAAATTACAGCCCTGTTTTGTACGGCTACCAAATACTATACTTTAACCCTAACCGCCCCAACTCCATCAAAATCAAAATCAAGTGGATTTTGGAGGACTTGGTCCAGATGGCGTGGAGTGACTATTGATGGAGTATGATGGACTTGGGCCTAATGACCTGAAGCTGTGCTAGGGGTATCCGATTGATTTTGCCTAGCTTCCTGTACTGCTATTGTGAAAAAAGCCATGTGATAAAAACCAGTGCGTCGGTGGTGGGTTCCATTATGTCATGTACAGTTTTGTGGTAGACGCACAGTGATTGATGGATTTTTATGAAATTGGTCCAGTTCCCAGTAAAAGACGCTAGGGAGTTGGGGTAAAACAATTTGCCTTTTTACAGACAAGTGACAATCTATTCTGCTTACAAGCTCTGTACATAAAAAACACCACAGTTACAAGCAAATGTCTACAGCAATGTAATACTACTGAGCCATTCTAACCTTGCGACTAACACATGTAAGCAAATTTGCTTAGTAATTTCTCCGTAAGCTTCCATTCTTACCCTAAAGCCTCCAAGACCTGAGATGAGCTGGAGCCGGCCTTGTGTGTCAGCGTGCCCATGTACTCCCCACACGACAGATTGGCGTGCCAATTCGACTTACATATCGAACAGAAATTTGTGCCACACTGTTTAAGAAACAAAGAAGTCAAAATGAGGGTTTGGTTTTTGAAGAAGCTTGGATGGCCAATGAGACTAACAAAACAAGTTGAATAGTAATTTGTATTAAGAATTATGGCAAAGTCGAAATAAGACTTCGATTTTGAGAAAACGTTGATGTTTAATTCCTTTGTCCAAAAAACTGCCATGCGATTTTGAAAGAAAAGTTGAAGAAGTTGACCCGACCCAACATGCCGTGCGTGATGCCATTGAAGCTACTTTTGAGTTACAAGTCGTTGAAAACAAATCTTACACAACAGCCAACATTTTCAAAATTTCAATATTAATGAAAGATTTCAAACTGACTAGTGTATCAAAATGAAGGGCTGATTATGTTCGCTTTAATACAAATGAAAAATTAATTTCAATTAATTAATTCAAATTTGATTTCAATTTTCGACACTTACAGTCGGGCAGTGTACTGGTTTAGCTTTAGACGGGTCCCCGGTGCAGACATGACAGATAGTCTCACAGCCGACTTCAGGGCACCAGGTTCGATTAGGATCTAGGTCTACCTCTGAGGGACAGAGTACAAAAAAAACTGGAGTTACCATGGAAACATATATTTAATTTTTTTTTTTTTTTAAATGTACGCTATAAATTAAAACTCTTATCGAAAGCGTGTTCTTACCTAGTTCAAATTTGACATGCTTGTATCTTTCAAATACGTCATTCCCAACAAGGAGTTTGACCTGAAATAAATAAAAGTTAATAACCCGTGGATATATGTAAAGTATTAAAGAGTGTAAGGTTATACACCTTTTTCAGTTTAAGGTTATACAGAAGAAAGAAAGAAAGGTGTTTAACCTTTTCTTGGCAGTGTGTCAAAAAACAAAAACAAAACAAAACAAAACACCAAACCAAACCAAATCTGATGCGATTAAAAGCAGGGTGACCATTTTAGTCGAATTTCGGCTAAAATTGACAGAATTTTTCGAAAAAAAACCACCAAGTTTGACAGAAAATTTAGCTGAATGTACTTTTTTTAGCCGATTTCTAGCAGAATTCTGTAAATATATGTCAGATTTGAAAAACATAGCCAATTAGTTTTGAAAAAGCTTCAATTTGAGGTTCCCTGACGTGTATTAGTGCACAGTAAAGTACTTTAGAACACTGCAAGCCAGGCTAGACACGTGCACATTTTTTTATTTATTTTTTATTTCATTTTTTAAAGGAAATTTTATGATTTTTGTTTTTGTTGAAGGAAATTTTAATAACATCTGCATGTGATTATAAGTGTTCATAATGTGTTTCGCATAATAATAGGTGATTTAGCAGATTTTTGTAAAATCTAGCAGATTTTTGAAGTGCATCTAGCAGAATTTTGCCATTACCTTACGGTCATTACCTTAAAAGACTGAAGTGCAGCAAAATACATAGAAATGCGCACAAAAAATATACTGTTACCAAAAATTTTACAAATCAGCAGTTCTGAATTCATTAATTTTTTACGATTTTTTTTCTCTTCGCTGTGCAAGTTTATTCTTGCAAACCTGCTGATGACAATGCTACATGTGTTTTCAACGTTACTTTCATTTTTCATTGATCTTACTGCGTTCAAATCTACAGGTACCCACACTGGTCTCAATGAAATTTTTTTTTTCTGCATGACAGTCCTTATAAACATGGCTTACATTAATCGTTCCGGTGACACAAGACTTACTGGTAATTCCTAAGGCCGATAGCGATATTTTGTTTGGGACAGAACAAAGCCACAAATTTTGCTTAAAGAGAATGTACATCATTGGCTTTCACTGTAATTTTCAGAAATGAACTAGTTGAGGGGTTAGTATAATAGATCAAAATATTGTTACACTGACGTGTTTGAAGTTTTGTGTCCGAAAATGCTCGAAAAAACCAAGAAAAACAAAAATGTGCAAGTAGTCTGGTTCCCTGACTCCACTAAAGATGAAATGGATCAATTTATAGATGCCGGAAAATTGTAAGGTAAGGGAACCAGTCAAGCTGGCCTGCACGCCCATTCATGAACATGTAACCAATAGCAAGCACAATTTGAACTGAAACAAATGGTAAATATGGAGCAGTAGTTGAACAATAGTTAGGTTTTTCCAACGGTGGTCGGCCGACCACCGTTGGAAATGTATACAAAATTACCATTTTCTTGAAAATGACTTCACACCAGGTGCCGTAATTTTACAGAATGCTTGTGACTGTCACTTACCAACATCCTAGTAAGGTATTTCGTAAAAACTTGGTAGTTTTATTTTTCGATGTTTGCAAATGTTGTATATTCCCTTTAAGATATAGGATCATTTTCAGTTCATGCGTTTTGATCGTTTCCAATAATGGCACCACTCAAAATCCCAAAGACGAATGTTCAAAACCTAACCTGTTGAAGTTTCAGCTCGGTGGACATTACACTGTTCGAGAAAACAGTGAAAAACTACGCAAAACCTTTTGATCACAAAACAGGATTTCAAAACCGTTGAAAACCGCAGATAACGGTCGGCGTATTTCACAGATCAGTAAAGATATATTTGTTGGCTTTTTGGTACGCATTTTTGCAACTAATAAGGATTCTGTGTTTCAGGCCGAATTTCTGTGCTAGCATTTTAAGCACAGAATGAAGACTTGAACCAATATTATAGAGCTGCCAGAGAGAATATATTACTTACCAAATTCACATGGTAAGCACATAACAGATTAGAAACTGTCACAATGTAAATTGCATGAGGCATTGGCTGGTATGCTGTTTTAGCTAAGGAAGTATTTTCAGTGCGTTCAAAATTGGATTTTGATCTCCACCGACGTGTTTTTTTCAATAAACACTGTATACTCAGTGTTGTACCGAGTGATTGCAAAAAACCAAAATTCACAAACTTGCCGGTTGGGACTCGAACCCACGACCTTCTGCATTACTAGTCTAGACGTCTTACCACTCGACCACCAAGCTTACCAGGGTCGGCTGGCTGGCTCTGATATAGCAGCGGGTACCGCAACCAAACTATTCATAAGATGGATTTTTCAGTGCCAAGTAAATTTGTGCTTAACAGTCCCAAAAATTCTGTGGTATAGTAGAGCCATGAAAACAGGCTCTGAAGTTGTCCGTGGGTAAAACAAAGCACTCCACTGGCTGATCTTAACGTTGCACAGTTTGTGAGTCTCACCTCGTTGCCATGGATTTTGCCTTTTTCTCGACACGCCGCGTCCGGGCAGGTGACGCTACTCACGGCACCTTCTTGGATCAGAATTGACAAGTACTGACGAAGACACTGCACGTTGGAAGGAGAAACAAACACCAGTTTAGAACAGACTGTTGCCATTTCAAAAACAGACTCACCAAACTATACGCAGTGAGCTCGTCACAAGATTTATAGTTAGCTGTGAGCCGTACATACTGCATGAGCCCATTTTTTTCCCACAACGTGTAACCAACCATTACGTAAAGCCCAATTTTTTTTAAAAAATTGTGTTGTGTTGCCCTCACATAAAAAGTATCAGGCAGGTCGGTTGGTCGGGAATTTTTATTTTTATTGGGGGGGGGGGGGAGGGGGAGAATACATAGAACACATGCTTTTAATTGACGAATAAATGGAAAGAATGGCCACTTGTCGGTTACCAGTTCTCCTCTACAAACATACCCGAAAAATTTAGGCTTACATGTACTGCACGACTAACTATACTGTGTATATGTATTCATGCGATACAATGTTAAGTACACATGTATATGTTGTATGCAGTATATCACACCATATGCCCCAGGCCACATTTTTGAAAGTAGCGTTTTGAGAAAAAAATTCAGGTTTTTGACCCCAGTGATGACCCTTGACCCCAGTTTGGTCATGTGACATGTTGGGGTTGGGCTACTGATACTTATGACAAAGTTTGGTTGAAATCGGTTAAAATATGTACTGAGGAGCAACAGACATTGTCAATGGTTGCTACTACCCAACTAACTAAGTAACGGACTAACGGAGAGACACGATGATTTGTTGAGCTGCTATCCCGCAGCTAACAAAAATTAAGTACAACTTATTTTGCCTAACAATTGTAACATGTTCAGAATAGCTGCCAGGCATGTAACTCCACAAAAAAAAGAGTAAATTCAAATCTTTCCAAGACTTTGTACAGTGTTTTTCTATTTTTAATGGCACGCATGGGAAATTATAAAAGAGGAAATCAGCTGCTCTGAAGAAATGTTGCATGCTTGAGCATAGTTACTCACCGAAAGGCAGTACACACAGCTACACCCCTGCATCTGATGCAGGTCCTTCATGGAGTATTCACACAGGCAGAGTTTGCAGGTTATGAGGGGGTCCAGAGCCAGCTCCCCGCTCACCGTACTAATCGCCATGGCAATGATGGTTGCTACGTGCAGACAGTGACTACTTCTGGGACGCACGTCAAAAGGTTACGTAAATCTGCGACAAAGACAATCTTCAGTATTTAAGCACTTTTTTTTATGGAGCTAGTGAAGGTTTGCGGTAACACCATGTAGAAATCTCTTTTGGGAAGATGTGTGGTTCTGAAAAGAACCGTTGGATTGTACAATTAAGCACTTGAATTACGACTAATCTAATACTAGTCCGAAAATTTGGGACTCTCAATACTGTGTATGAGAGCATTGAAAACATGCGCTACAAGAAAATAGACTGGCACCTGAAACAACTAGTCCAACACCGCTTCAGTACTGCATCAATCAACTGTGCCAATAAAGAAACATGCGGCACGAACCAGGAACTAGTCTCTATTTCTACATATTTCTCTAGTCCGAGTAACTTGGACCCAACTTATCGCCTTTTATAACATTTGGACATGGACCATGTGACTGTCCAAATGTTAAAAGAGGCGATAAGATCGGTCCAAGTTACTCGGACTAATATTTCTCCATAGTCAGCCATCAGACTAATGACATGAAGGCAGGGGATATTTTGCCGGAGACGGCAAACCTTTAGTAAACGTTAGTTTGCCAGATATGCACTGAGCTGAACATGCGCAGTTACTGTTTTTTTGTACTCAAAAACATTTTCTGGTGACAAATTTTAGTCTGGCTCCATGCCAATATTATCGTTGTAACCTCGTATTCACAAGATGGGATTCAGACCATTTTATAATTTCGGACTTTATTTCCCTTTAAAAAAAAATCCTCCAGAGCCACAAATCTGAAAAAGAAAATGTAATACTCTGCAATAAAATGTTTGAGACATGTTAAAATAATAAAAGAAGAATATTCTTATTTATTTGGGGATGGGGAAAAAAACCTTTAAAATGTGGCGGGGATCGGGATCGAACCCGAGTCATCCCGCTCACTAAAGCCTTTGCTTAACCACTACACCAAACGTGCTACACAACTTTTGGTGGGAATTTGATACATCTTATAATTCAGCCCTATCTTAAAGAGTACAGCGCCCTCTGTTGATATGGATTGCCGCCGGCAAACCTTTAGTAAACGTTACTTTGCCGTCATTACATCCGGCAAAATATCCACTATCTATCTGACATGAACAGAATGACACTGAATAAGAGGTCAATCTTTTGAAACAGATTTCCCATTTTTCATCCTTGCTTTTACCACGTTTAATGTCTTAGGCCTAGAAATTTACATTAACAAATCTCGGACCCAAACTGACATGACCGACTCGGTCCCAGTTCAGGCCTGTACAAAATGTCATCACAATCCCACTTGCAGTTGTTGCACTGCATTGTTTTGCACCACTGCACTGCATGACACACGACGGTGAATCCACACACGACCAACGAACATGATCGAGATTGATTGCAGCAGTATTGCACATAAACAAGATAAACAAAGCCGACAAAACTTTATCAAGCAATCAGTATAACACTCCTTACTCATCGTTTAAATTTATATTTTTCCCCCCGTCAAAACAGCTTGAAAACATAGACAAAATCTGTGATTTACCAAGCATTATGCACACACCGATGCGTCACACACGTACGGAACATGTACATTCGAAAATACATGTACAATATAATATGTACAAGTTCCGGGGGTTTTAATGGACGGTACCAATTGATGTTAGGGGTTCCAAGTATACAAGAACACAAATGATCACTCCATTGCACTTAATTTTTGTCCATAATTCATAATTTGCATAGCTAAATACTTCAATAGAAAATCATTTTCTATAATTATTTTGTAAAAAAATATGTTTTCAGACAATCATTACTGGGATACTTCACATACATCTAGAGTTTTACCCTCATAACGAAAGTTGGACGATGCTGTATCCATTTTTTTTCTCGCCGTGAATCTAAAGAGGGCGCTATGCAATCTGAACGTGGGAAAAATGCGAGGGCCAGTGTACAAACGTGTCATAACCGGTTGGAGGGGGGGGGGGGCAATAAAAACAAACCAAATTCGTTTATTCAATCCCATAGGCTTAAATCAACATCAGAAGATCATTCACCTTCCTCTATACATTTTTTCAGGAGTGTTTAATTTTGTCTCGCAGTGGTTATAAAGTTTTTAGATACATAAATGTATATATTTATGTTAACATTTCTCTGCTGGCATGAGGGTTTGCAAGTCTAAGGGTGCATACCTGCAAATAAACTCCCATAGACACTAGTGCTAAATGCCCGTACTTCAAAATTCTTTTAAAAATACTCAAAACTCTCACAGGTATTCAAGCTGCACAGAAAAATGATGATCAATGTGTCATCTTTCATTTTCTTTTCAATTTATGGTGGGTTGACCATTGACTTTTCGAGATATTTTCACGCAAAGAAGACGACCCCTATTTTCCCCAAAGCGGAAAAGTAGCCATCTTGAAAAACGATCCCTCCACAACATGGCAAAATAGCGCCACTTTCGAGCCCAATAGCATCCAAAATGCTCAGAATTGGAAGCCCCAAGTCCGGGCTAGAGGTTCACTACCATATCTCTTCAATTCCCCAATTTTACGGCGCTCAGAACTCTCTAATATAGAATATTTTGAGGGTATAACTTTTATTCATGAGCTTGGCGGATCGATTTACAGGTGTGTACCCCTAAGGACTATAGTGATTTTTTGTTGCTTTTGCCAACCCTTGCCCATGCAGGTTTAGGTTTGTCCTGTAATTTGTTTTTTTTTTTCTTGTATCATTTATGTCCTTTTCAAGTAGTGTTTGTATTATATTTTTTCGACTATTATTGTTTTATATCAATTTGTTGTTTTTAAAGGCAAAATAAATAATAATAACAAATTTAAAAAATGAAGAAATTCGATGACGCCTACCCGGCCGCCACATCACGGTTTTATTAGTACCTGTACAAACAAAAGATTATTTGTAAGGGTATATTCAGACACATACTCCCTTTCGCAATAGGGATATGTATATATATAACCGGTGAGCACCGTTGTACTTTTAATATTCACACTTTATAACAGACTTGAGATTGGCTGTTGTTAATTGTAACAAACTGCCAGAAAGTTTGCCAAAAGACAGTTGACAAATCAGTGTAGCAACTTCATAGGCCAAAAAAGAGAGAAAGTCTCCGGTTTCTGGTATGGAGCTTGCCCAAAAAGTGGTGCGGCGACGCGGCTTTTTTTTTTTTTTACCTGATTTTTTTTGCGTCAAATGTCGGCTAATGACTGCAAATGGTGCCCGACTAAACTTAGTGCAAATATATGGGAGTCCAGAGAGGCCACATAAAGCTTATTCTCGACCATAACCCAATCTGAAAACACGTTAAAATTGTGCAGCAGCATGATTCCAGTCAAACCAGTGAGTTTGGCGGTTTTGAGACATCATCTTTCATTGAAAAAAAAACTTTTTCATTTTGCCGACGCGCATGGCTACGGCGACGCGCGCGCATACCAGAAACCGGAGACTTTTTTTTTTGGCCTAAGGAACAAACCAGCCAAAACACAAACCATTAATTTCATGTCTTCTTTTTACAAATCCTTTATTACTAACTTTAACTACACTAGCTACCGGGCGATGGCCTGCATAATTGACACAAATCAGGCCAATAATAATGGTTACAAGTTTGAAAGTAATCATGCTTCTTGCGAAAGGGGGAGATTTATACATCAGGCTATTAGAAAAAAATGTGGACAAACTGGACACATGATTTTGGAATGGCATCAATGTACAGATTCATCTAAAAAAAGTTGAAGGAGGTAATTTACATTTCCAGAATTAAAACAGAGGTAGAAAAGTTTTTGTTGTTGTATTTTTGAGGTATATACAGGGGGCGGATGTCACCAATGTTTATTATTTAAAATACTGTGTACGTGGCACTCTTACAAATTTGGGGTCAGAGACTTCTGATGTTAAACGTGCACCAAATGTATTCTCTGTTTGTACACACAGTGTCACTTTGGTCTTCGGCAACAATATTACGAATGTCCAAAATGCACTTACAACATGAACACAATTCATTATTTAGATCAAAGCCCACTGAATTCAAATTACTTTTAATCATGAAATATAACAAAGATTTATGCAAATCATGAAGACAATATAGTTCCGTTTTCCCGCTGAAACATTCGCAGGGTCTGCCACACTGGATTTTCAGCGTTTCATGAATAAAACTAAGTTAAAAACATCATAAAAATGGAATAAAAACTACTTGGGATATTTCTCGGAATAATTAGCATCTTGATTGTAAATGCAAGTTGACGCAAAAATGGCTAAAATCAAATAATTTTCTATATGTCCTTTTTTCGATGTGGTAAATCTACCAAAATACGCTCCATCACTTTAATTATCGTTTATAAGTGTGGAGGCCTGAAAATACCAACAAAATAAGGAAATACAAACAGAAACGGGTAATCGGGGAATTGTGATGTCACACAAGATTTTTTATGTGAAAATTAAAAATGAAAATAAATAGAAAGTAATAATTACCTGAAAATAAATAAATAGTAATAATTGCCTGAAATAAGCGATGACGGAAATGAACACACTTTAATATTTTGGTCTTCTGTCAAAAATCCAAAAAATCCCTTACCTTCCATCAATAACATAATCACTCAATATTGCAAATAACACTTAGCCAACCATAACACCCCCTTTTTGAAAAAAAAATCCCACCTCATCCTCCCCTCCCCCTTTGGAAAATCCTGGATCCATCCTGAATATCATCAAGATTTATAATTTGATCATCACGCCTTACATTTCACTGCTGCCTTGCCTTCAAGAATTTTTTTTATGAAACCTCCAATTGTGGAAATTTAGGATCCAAAGTGCGACATTTTTCCTGGACAATTATGATTAAGAATGACTTCAAGCATTTCTTTTTAAATTGTTGGGCGGGTAGTTTGCTATTCATAATCACTCTTCGAGGACAACTGCATCAGAATTATCAAATTCATAGATCTCAGATGCAAGTAACTAGGGATAGGAAAAAAAAAAAGTGGACCCCAAATTTATAGAAATATAACCTATGTCCATGTTTGCTATCTTTAATAGATGATCTATTATGCGATGCAAAATATAACCCAGAACTTTTCCCCCCAATTTTTAAAATAGAATAACCCACGTCCATGTGTTTGCCATCTTTAACAGACGATCGCATGATGCAACATATAACCCATAACACATTTGTTTTTCATTTCAATGTTCAAAGATCAAATGTTATCTTCAATAAACATATTTATAGGTTGGAAGGCAATATTATATAATGTACAAGTACCAACACTGACATAACTTACATGACAGGGGGGGGGGGGGGGGGGGGGTTAAAGAGTAGAATAAGTAAGGGGGGGGGGGGGCATTAAAGGCCTTTTCCCCCACTCCCACACCCTTGTGCCCTCCCCACAAATTTGGGGAAGGTAAAATTAAGCTCTCTATAGTTTATGCCAATTGAGTGCCCCACCCCCAACATTGCATGTACATGCCCCAATAACGCCTCTGTTCATTAAAGGGAATAAACAACATTTGCAAACATCGAAAAATAAAACTACCAAGTTTTTACGAAATACCTTACTAGGATGTTGGTAAATGACAGTCTAAAGCATTCTGTAAAATTATGGCACCTGGTGTGAAGTCGTTTTCAAGAAAATTGTATTTGTGTATACTTTTCCAACGGTGGTCGGCCGACCACCGTTGGAAAAACCTAACTATTTTTCAACTACTGCTCCAAATTTACCCTTTTTTTAGTCCAAATTTTGTTTGCTATTGGTTACATGTTCATGAACGGGTGCAGGCCAGCTAGACTGGTTCCCTTACCTTACAATTTTCTGGCATCTATAAATTGATCCATTTTATCTTTAGTGGAGTCAGGGAACCAGACTACTTGAACATTTTTGTTTTTCTTGGTTTTTCCTGCATTTTCGAACAAAAAATTTCAAGCATGTAAGTGTAACAATATTTGATCTATTATACCTACCCCTTTCATTTCTGAAAATTACAGCAAAAGCCAATGATGTACATTCCCTTTAAGAAACAAATCCAATAAACTGCATTCAATGTGCCTCACTGACAGAATGTGTGCGTGAAGTAATTCATAAGAATGCGATAAGAAACTGCCCAAACATTTATGATAAATGATAAAAACATGCATTGCATGTATATTCAGGCGTAAAATTGCATTAAATACTTTTACAGTTAAAAGTCACACAACCACATACACACAACAAATTTTTTGAAATAATATCGTTTCCTCTTTGCCGCATAAATGTCTTTCTGGTTTTCTTCTGTTTGTTTGGTTTTTTTTTTTTAAACAATGAATTCCCTGTTTAAATCAGGCTGTCCTGTGCATACACTAGATGCAGCATTTTTTGTGTTTAATTTATTACATAAAAAGGTTTGTTTTTTCGACCATCTAATTCTGTAAAAAGCAAGATGCGTATACTTCCGAGGAAGTACTATAAACATATCCCCAGCACAGCCCTGTGAATATATGTGCGGCATTCTGGCAAAATGAGACAGAACTGGGCAGAGATCGAAATAAGGGTTTGCGGGTGATAGAAAAGAGAATAAAATCCTCCTTACATTACTGTTTGCTGCACTTTAATCGGACATTCCGTTGAAAAATTATGGCTGATTAAGAGTTTGCATTTATCGACATGTCAAGAAAGTAAATTACTGAGGAAAAAAGTTCATAAAAGTTTCGAGTTATGCATTAGTGAAAGTGAAAGATGCCAACTGTTTTTCCTTAAAAAAAAAACATGTTTTTCCCCCCACATACTCTATACTTCATGTACATCTTATGATGTGTAGTTGACATCAAATTATCAGGCATGCAACTCGTAAGTCACACAAAAAAAGAGGAAATTAACATCTTTCCAAGACTTTGTACAGTGTTTTTCTATTTTCAATGACACACATGGGAGGTCAAAAAAGAGGAAATCAGCTGATCCGAGGAAAAGTTGCATGCCTGAATTATACAAATCTCTATAAATCTGAAAATCAAAATAAAATCACCCCCTTTCAGTTTTTTGCATTCGTCTACACTACAACCAGTGCCCACTTTCGTCACAATTCGCCAGAACGCCTCGCATGTCAAGTACTCCTTAGGAAAAAAAAAAATAATAGTTCTGCTTCCGGTTTCCCTACCTACAGTATTCTGACAGCCCGTACCCTAATTTTTTTTATTGGAAAAGTGAGGAGAAATTACCAAAAACCATCAATTTCTACATTTTGCCCTCGACTACATGCAGACACCTCCATATGATTGTACACAAACAAATTGGCAAAAAAAAAAAATTCCTACCTAAGGAAATTTCCTGTCTGACATAACATGTACATTGAACAGTTTGAAACATAAGGTATATAGTTCTCCGAGCCACTAATAACTCGCCACAGAAATTTCGTGTCGCAGTGTCACTGCAAATTTTCACATAACTCAAACCAAACCAAGCATACCTAATATTACATACCCATTTGTACATTAATATTTGCATTTACACTATAAAACTGCATTGTTCATTAATAACATTAATGACTATCTAATAGTCCACATTAGGTGTATTTTTTTATTTTATAATTTATCTTTTTTTTAGAATTTAGATTTTTTGCACCGTTGTACTTTTGCTAACTTCTCAACTCTTCTGCCCTGAAAAACCTTCAGGATAAACAGTGAATATTGTTTCCCACAAAAACAGTGTCGTGTCAAATTATAGATACTGGTAGGTACATTGAAAAAAAGTCTGATACCTATGACATCACCGAAGATTTCTTTGAGATTAACATCTAGGCTTCAGGGAACTCTGCAAAGATGTCCGCCTCGGCAGGACTCGACTAGCAACAGTCTGTGCATCTGTTGGTCGGATCGTGCACGCCCTTCTCTTCACAGCTTCGCTACTGAAAATATCAAGTCACATCTATATGTGTAAGTGTTCACAGGCATGTACATGTAGTAGAGGGGCCGTGGGGTGGGGGTCAGAGGGCTCTATGCTATGTCCGTTCATTGTTCATGTGGGGATAATCATATTTGTCAGAAAAAGCTTTAAAAAAACTGCACAAGAGCAGAAGTAATTTGGCCAGTGTTTGAAAGAAGTTTAACAAATTCCTCCTGCCAGGGCATTTTATTATTCGATTCTTGGTGAGAAACACAACTTTTTTTTTTCACGTTATGTAAGGCCCAAATAGTACTTTGAACCTGCACCAGTTACACAACAATGAACAGTCGTAATCTTTCAATGTCAAGGTACATTCAACAAGTACTTTAACAGAGATTAAAAAAATAATGTACATAAAGATGTGCGTGTGCAAGGCACCAGTGACCTCAACAAAACGGTGTCGCAATACATAAGTGTAGTGGTGGTGAAGACATTGTCACAATTGAGTGGCGCCACAAAAATAAAAAAAAAATGCAACAGGATACTGGCGCTGCTTGATACTTTTCTGTAATTACTTTCTTTTGATACTTTGTACAGCCTTGTCGTTAAAAGTATGCAACAGTACAAGTGCATTTTATCATTTTCCAGCACTATAAGCTCTGAAAATACAACTATTTTGTCCTTATCTAAGTCAGCACAGATTCCCCACTTTCAGTGCCACGGAGACAGGAAGGCCAATTCAAGGGGGCTCCCTAATTTTAAGCACCGAAATTTGGTAAGCACAGATAAGTTTTGCTATAGCAAAGGAGCTTACTGACAACAATGAGGTACTATACGAGGCATCGCCTCTCCCACTTGGTGGGAGGTGGCTTCGGGGATTAACCCCCCCCTCCCCCCCCCCCCCCAAAAAAAAACCCCAAAAAACTGTTGCATTAAGATATGTACTTGAGGTAAAAAAAAAAATAAAGTGCACAGAAGAGAAGGAGCAATGCCCCAACATAAAAAACCCAAATGCTGTTTCTAGCTGGTAAGTTAAAAAGCCATTCACTTATTCAAGACCAGGGCCCATTTTTCTTTCGGCTCTGCTTTACCGTTAGCGAAAAAAACCCTGCTTACTATAGCAGAAAATTCCATGCTTACGGCAAGTGTATTTCACGGGTTAGCGAGGAATTATGGCCTATGCGCATGCGTACATCCAGTAACTAAGGATCGTCTTCTAAGCTTACAGGGTTAGCACAGAATTTTTCTGCTAGCAGAGTTAGCACAGAATAGAGACAGTAAGCGCGGAATTCAGTTTAGCAGAGCCTTGAAATCGGGCCGTTGTCTACGTGAAGTGCAGCTGAGTTTGTAAGCAGTTCAAGCAGTTTATATTAGGACATTGCATGTACTCATAGGCTCGGGGAGTCTGCGAGTCACAATCAGTAAGTCAGCCAGTCATGGTCAGGTCAAGGATTAATGTGCCCTCATCATGCTGTGCAAGTTACGTGGACAGTTTGTTAGTAATGTACACATACCCATGATACATGTACCACATGTACGCATAATAACATGCTATCTGATGCTGGTTGCAATTTGGTAAAGTTTCAGGGACCTGTTCGGCACAATTGCAGAATACCCCGCCACTCGATCTATCCACCTCGTAGCCGGCTATGAGGTCACGGTTGATTGACCTCAATAAACCTTCTCAGTGCTACATGCATGTGCAGCGTCATGCTCCACTGCACTCTCACTCCATATCCGCGTAGCCGCCAACAGGGTGGTTGGTTCGGACTTGGAATTTTTTCAGCAACTCCCATTCATTTTGTGTTGCTTCGTTCTCAAATAATGGACCCCCACTCAGTATCCGCGTAGCTGGCATGGAAGTTGGATTGTTTCTTTTCCAGTGATTCCAATCGCGTAGCCAGAGATTTTAGGGGTGTATTTCCGAGTGGCGGGGTATTCTGCAATTACTCCGTTTGTTAGTAATGTACACATACCCATGATACCACATGTACGCATAATACCATGCTATCTGATGCTGGTTGCAATTTGGTCAAGTTTCAGGGACTTGTTCTTGTCCAAACTTCAAGAGACTGTGTATGTGTTTCTGTCTTGTATTACGCTCGAGGACAGACACACAAAGGGAGAACAAAAGATCCTTTCAGTCCTTGAACGACGGTGCTTTTGTTCGAAACTGTCCTCGATCGAACGTTTACGTGCTTAGTCTATGGGAAAGTGTTAAAGTACAGGGACAAAGGGAAACACAATAGGTGGTCCTCAGGCGTATAGTAAAACACGACTGCATGTACATGTATGTGGTTTGGTCGACATTTGCATGGTACCATGGGTGAAACTGTGCTGTGAAATTTCAGACCCTGTTCGGGAAAGCTTATCAGGGGATGAGGGATGGGCTAGAAGAATTGTTCTTTGAAGGAGGACATTTGTAACAAGTGCTTCAGAGAAAGTGCAGAAAAACATGTTAACTTGCACGTTACGCATGCAGACATTCCAACACCTCAAAACGAAAGAAAATATTAACTGTATACATACCTGTATCGAAGGTTATTTATAGGGTGTTAACAGAAAATCTACAGAAAGGCTAGTCAGACAAAAGTAATAAAAAAACAACACAGGTGAGTTTTTGGAAAATCAAGATCGTGAAAATTAGAGTCACAGTGGAAGGGCGTGGGGGGGGGGACAGACAAATAAACAAACTAGAGAAAAATCTGACTTGTTCACATTCTTGCCAATGAGATTGCATCGATTGTTTTTATGTACATGCAACTTACGCCACCTGAAATAATTACGAAAGTTACACCATCAGTATAAGTTGGGGACTTATTCACTGTGAAACTTTCTATGAAATGCATCAGAGCTAAAGAGTCGTGCAATGTGAAATGTTGCACAACTTGGGCGATAAATTGTGGGGCGAGTGGAGAGTGGAGTTACGCCGTGGCGTTATAACTTTCGTGAAATCGGCTGCAGGGCCCAATTTTCTTGGAGATTGTAAGCGCAGCGATTTTGCGAAAAAAGCACAGAAAATATTTGCCAAGTTAAAACCGGACTGCTGACCTGTCAAATGTCATATGAATGACGTGCTCAGTGCGAACTAGTGAGAACCAGGCACGGCTACAAAAGTTTTGGCAATTGCGTGCGGCCAGCAGCCGATTTCACGAAACCTCATGCAACGGCACAACTCGGCAACTCCGCTTTGCGCCACAATTTACTGTGTAAGTTGCGCAACATTTCACGCTGAGCAACAGTTCACTTTTGACAGATTTCTTGACAGTCACAAAGTGCAATAAATTATACGCATGACGCAAGCAATGCACTTTTTTTTGTGTGAAATGAGCTGCTGGCCTTGATGAGGTATTATTCCAAAGATAAACAGTAGACACACACCTTCCTTAAAAAGAACTTAATACAAAAAGCAAACAGTTTAGGGATTGACATACAAATGTATCAGATAAAGGTATCCATCACCCATGAACATGTGTCAACATTATTACGTGTATGTTAGATAAGGCTGAAACATTAGGCCGAAGAAAAAAAAAATTCTGCTTCCGATTACATGCCTTTCAAAAATAGGGTCGGTCGGTCGGAATTTTTTTTTTTGGCCAATTTTTTTTATGCAGAATGGGTTTCAATTATATGCGAAGTTTTAGCCTGAACTATTTCCATTGCACTACGAAAGCTATACACAAAATGACCACAAAAAAAGTGAATAAAACCTACCTTAATTATTGTCAATATATTTGCGTTCGATAATTCTTAAAAAATAAAGTCACCGTGACATCGAATTGCGAGGTATGATGACAGATCGCGAAAGCGAATTTGGTTTCTTTTGAAAAAAAAAAGCGAATGTAAGTAAGAAAACAAATAAATACAAGCATTTTTTGACGCAAATGGGTTGTTGAGAGGTATTTTGTGAAGACAGAAAAGACAACAAGCTTTTATTTATTTTAGAAAGCTAGGTAAAATCAATGGGATACCCCTAGCACTGCTTCAGGCCATTAGGCCCAAGTCCATCATACTCCATCAATATTTAGTCACGCCAGGCCTCCTGGACCAAGTCCCCCCAAAATCCACCCAAATGGGGGATGGATTTTGATGGAGTTGGGGTGGTTAGGGTTAGTGGAATTCAAAAATCCACTGCCCAGGGTGAACAATAAGGACATGTAATGTTTGTTAGTATACACATATTGAGTGGCTCAGAGTGGAATGGGAGGAATATTATCGTAAAGTAAAATCTGGACTTTTCTATTTCACGAGGCGTAATTTCACAATCTAAAGCCACTCAATATTTAATTTAAACAACTGACATATAGATCCTTGTCATTTGATTTACAGTTAAAATGAACTTCTATTTCAATACAAAATTGGTGGGAAACCGAACCTAACTCTGTAGCTACTGCCTCTTGGGAACAATACGCGCTACGCACAACGCTCAGCCTCAGCGCGCAGACCGGCATGCATTTTCCCACAAATACCACGCCATGGAACAAGGATGATTAATAGTAACTAGTGTTAAATATTAAATCCCATTCACATGGGAATGGGCATTGTGGGAGCAACAATGAATGTCACGTGATGTGAGTTCCACCAATCAAATAACAAGGATCTGTATTTTACTTTATACAATAGAAAATGTTAGCTTTATCATTAATTCAATCGACCGATTGAAAGACAAGCTCACCATGCATGAAAATCGCATACTCAGAATGCAGTGCAACTATAATAAAAGGTTCATTTATAAAACAGTTACCAATTCGAGAATGTTTCCCTTCTTTGGTAATTTCAATCCGTCATCATTGGTCCAGTCTAAACTATCCGTCTCGGCAAAAACTTCATGCAAAATTGGTTTTGTGCTCAAAATACCTTCGATTTCTTTGGGTTCCTCATCGATGGACGATTCGTCCTTGTTGCTATCTATAGTTTGTTGGTCTTTTTCAGGTGGCGTCCTTGGCATCTGATCCAGGCTTATCTGGACATCGTCCGCTTTTGTTGCTTTGTCCTCTTGGGTTTTCGTCGTGAGGTCTGCTGGAGGCTTGGGCTTGGACTTTCCAAGGCGCATGCAGGGTCTGAGAAGCGTCAGCAGCACAGGGAGAAAGAGTATACCGTGCAGGAGCCCCAGGGTCATGACGAGAAACATGGTCTTGAAGAAACTGCGGAAGATGTAGGCCGGGGACGTGGCGATTGCGGCGATGCCAAGGATGGTGGAGGACGCCCCCTGGAGGATGGGCATGCCTAGGCTGTGCAAGGCAAAGATGGCGGCTTCGTTGCCGGTATCGCACGGGGCCGTGACAAAGGAGTAGGTGATATGGGCTGAGAAGTCCACACTGAATCCGATGCAGAGGATGATGTTGATCATGGAGACTCCGTCCATGCTGACGTCCCACATGGACATGAAACCGATGACGCCCAGCTCGATGGAGATGACGCAAACGGTGATCATGACGGCTGATACGGGATGGGGAATGAACACCAGCGAAATGATACACATGCAGACGGTAGCGATGATCAGATTCTGCATGGTGTTAGGGAGAACCACCAAATACTGCTCGAAGAATTCAAAGGGAGGGGAAGAGACTATGAGCGGCAGCTGGGCACTGTCTGCAGTCGCTCGTACGTCCAGCATCAATTTGCTCTCCTCCGTTGTCGTGCTGACGTTCCCAGGCATGAAGATCAAGCGCGAGGCGGAAATCACATTCCGACCGGAAATGTTTTCAAATTTCACATCCAGGACAAATGGTTCAAAGAGGGGGTTCGTCAAAAAGTCTTGCTGAAGTGTAGTAAGAAACGTCTGTTCATCTAGCCCTGTAGTGTTATCCGAGTCACTTTGGGTATTCTCCGTCTTGAGATACTCGAGATATTTTCTCAACCACGAATCCGTGAATCTCGAATCGTAAATGTTGTCAAGGTCCTCAAAGTTCCTCGTGACATTCTCAATCTGCTCTTGCGTGTCCTTTTCCCAGTACGCCACCGGCTCGGTAATAACCACAGAAATCGGTGCAGCGAATGCTGTGAAATACTCCGCTCGCTCGATCATGTAGTGGTGGGCATACGAATCATCGGAAAAAATATCTTTATACTGCATCCCTTCTGTCATGTGAAGACATCCGAATACGGCCCCACCAACATAAACGCAGTACAAGACAATCGTAGCGATCTTGGCGATGGGTGTAGTGATGAGGGGGCCGTAGTAGTCCTTGAAAAATCTCATGACAGCGTGGTCTTTGGGTTCCCCTGTGGGAGACTGCTTGGACACCCCTCCAGCACACATGAGACGGTAAATCTTCGAGGGGGCCTCGTCCCTGGGTAGTACGGGTTTGAGGGTCGTGCAGTGCTTGCGTTTGGCCTCCCTCCGTCCGGTGTAAACCATACATGCTCCGAAGAATGAAATCTGCGGACACGAATATCAGGGGTTTTAAGTGTCACAGTGAAGCATGTTCGGTAAGATAGAGGTAGAGGGGGTGTTTGCAAACCTTGTCTACGGGATTGTGGTCCAAGGCCATCACAAGTCAAATCATAAGTCAATCACAAGTCAATCACAAGTAAGGTTCCAGTAACAGGAAACTCACAATGAGACAGGAACGCTTTTGTGACATTTCATTTGACGCTTGAGACTGCCACTGGGCTTGAGACTGGACGACTTGTGATTGACTTGCGATGACTTGCGACTGACTTGCGATTGCTTAGACTTGACGACAATTGAACCTCGCTTACCTGGTACAGATAATCAAAGATGATGGCCACTCCGCTGTACAGACAGAACACCCTGATCGCCGGTAGTGTGGTGATGGAACCGATGCCGAAGGCCAGGGCGTCAGTGATGCTAGTGATGGTGATGGACACGGCTGCCTCGGCGTACGTCTGGCCAAGCCGCTCCTCAACCGGGAGCTTGATGGATGTCTTGCGCCAGGCAGCCAGCATGATAAACATGTCATCGATGCCGATGCCTGTGTGAACAGAATGTGCAATGAGAATGAAGGCTGCTTCAGAATTTCACGGCTGCGGCTGGCAATTACACATGCACCTATAGAAGTGGCTGCGTCCTCCCATAGACTCGTGTTTTACATCAGACACGGCTTTCATAATATACATGTAAGGCTGAGCAAAGGAATGGACGTAAACTGGTTCTGAACCTGCAACCTCCAAAGTACAGTACCGGTGTAGTGTGCAATTTGGACTTAATAAAATACGGACTCCTTGGCTGTATTGCGTATGGCCAAGTGAAGAAAAAGTTCCAAAGTGAAGATAAAACTGGCCATGTGTACTGTGAGGGTTATAGTCCATATAAGGTAAAAGAGACCAGATAACATAGGAGCCCAAATTTCATAGGACACCGGTTCACAAAGACCTGAGCTTCATGAACGTGTATCTAGCCCTACTGGTCAGTTGGTCAGAGCACCGAGTATGGCATTGCAAAGTCACAGGTTTAAAGGGAAGATACAACATTTGCAAACATCAAAAAACGAAATGATCAAATTATCACAAAATATTTTACTGGATTGTTAGGGAATGACAGTCCAAAGCATCCTGTAAAATTGGGGCTCCTGGTGTGCTGACATTTTCAAGAAAACTTTTATTTTTCCAACGCTGGTCAGCTGACCAGCATTGGAGAAAACCTTCCAAGTGAGGGAGTACCATAGATCCACTCACCTATTGCAAGAAATGGCATGGATGCTGAGACCTCGTTGAAGGGCAAACCGCAGTACGATAGTAGGCCCATGGACGATGCTATCGCTAACATGGCCGATATGACGCCAAACTGTCCCAGCCATGGCTTACTGAACACCCAGTCTGACATCATGCATGAGAACACCGCAAAGCATATCAGGAGACTGAAAGTGAGGCAAAACCGAGGCATGACGCGGGTTGCCATGGCGATGAGCTCGTCTGACAGTGTAGTGGAGGCGAACACCGCCACCTCGATGTAAAGGTACTGGCCGTATAAGGTCTGAAAGGCACTCAAGAATGCTCGCTCCCACTCTTCTGCCAAGACACGTTCCTCCTCTGTTCCGGAGCGCAGGAAGTACATGATGTTCAGTGCCTTGGCAGACTTGATGATGTCAGAGTTTTCGTGAAGGACGACACCCCCTAGCGATGCACCGATATTGACACTGATGTTCTGTGGCCCGGTGGGAATGAGCAGGCTGAAGTCAGGAACACTTTCCAGGTCAAATGGGAAAATGTTTGAGCTTCCGTCAAAAAAATCTGGAAATTCAAAGGAAATATCCGACGGAGAAAATGAGAGGTCGGTGAGATCGAGGTAGGAGAATGGATACGTGAGGTTCTTGGTGGTCACGCTCTTGGACGAGTAGTTCAATAGTTTCAAGACGGGATCTTCTAGACACTCGTCGTGGGTGAAATGACAACATATGTCAGCATAGGTTATGCTGGTGTTGGCACCCCAGGCCTGTAATTCCAGGGATCTTAGCACGTGGTCTAAATGAATGATCTCGGCCATGACCTCCTCCCGGAGAATGTTACTGTTATCTCTCGCGGTGACCACAACGCTGCCGCCATACTCTTGAGTCGTCAGGACACGATTTGGGAGAAACTTCTCGTAGTTGACGGGGAACAGCCTGGACATCTCTGCCACCTCGTCCCGAGCCCGGCTGTTGTCCGGGGTGAAGAGGTACGCGGCGTCAGTCTCGATAGTCAGGAAAATCATCCCCGAGCTCAAGCAGCCCGCAATAATGAGCGGAACGATGAGGAATATGCCCGGGCGCCGTGCAATCAAACGACCGTATCGGTAGAAGAGTCGACTAATCAGTTGGTTAAAACAGTCCCACTTTGCCATTTTTTTTTAAATTTTCTCGTTCAATTTGTATACGAAGCTCCACTTAAACTCTTTTTTTTCTGGGTCAGTTTTAAGGTGCACGCTCACTGCATTTTGGAATCAGAATTGGTCCGTGCATTTTACCACGTACTCTTATAAAACTAGGCTGTGCAGTATGCAATACAAAACATGCTTTTGCACAGTCATGTCTTATCTTGTGTGCATTGTACATACAATCAAGTTTTTGTGTACACAGTTTCAGAAGCATTCAGCAAGTGTGTAAACAAAAAACCATTCTTGTCTTCCAAACACATCGATTGTTTAAAACAGTTCAAGGTTCTTATTCCTCCTTGGCCTAACTGCCAAACGTGCTTATTCTCTGAACAATTTTTTTTGCTGCCCATTCTGCAGTCTGAAGATATTAAAGAACTTGGCAAGAGGTACAAGAGGGGTAAACTGTTTAAACATTGCACAATGCTGTACAGTCATGACATTAGTCCATAATGTTGTTATCGCCACTGGAGGCCTTGTTGCATCAACTGAATTCTAACATCATCTGATTACAATTTACATTCTGAGTCTGAGAATGTGGAATGGCAATCATGTTTTGACTCATACATCACATGGATGGCGATCCAAACTTTGCGAGGTCCGTGAACCCAGTTTCCTGCAGGGCTGATGATTATTTTATCACATGTTTTTCCTCATCTGTTTCCCTGACAAGGGTTTCGAAAAATCAGTCACCGTGTGCGGTGTGACTGTCCCTGGATGGTCAACAAGCAGGAAAACGTAAACTCCATATCCACCACTGCATTGAGGAAAAAAGAACGATTTCACACTTGTTAAATCCACCTACTTGGATGTATGGGCTGCATGCAAAACTTGACAAGCATGACAAGTACATGAGGAATTTAACTTTTTCGTCTCTAAAAGTCTAACTGCTACTTTGTACTTAGTGCTACAGCAAAAGTTTTACCTCAAATAATTTCACAGTAACTGAAATTTCATCAAGCTTTAAACTTTCCCGTTCATAACTTTTGGGACTCTGACCCATACAAAGCAATATAGGCCTACACTAATACAGCAATCGAGAGTCCCAAATTTTCGGGGAAAGATTCCCATATATCTGGCCATCACTTTCACCCTGTTGTACTGCATGAGACTGGTCTGAAAATTTTGTAGGGGGCCTAAGTATTTTCTCAGTAAATATTTCAATATTCTCCCTGCTAAATTTGACTTTTTAGGACATATTATCCCTTACTGATGGCTGATACTAGCGATAGGTCACTGAAGGGAAAAATTAGAAATGGCAAGATTGAAGATATGAGAATCTTTCCATTTTGGGACCAGGAATAGGATGACCGTAGACCGCGCCACGACCCTATGTGGCCAGGTAATGGAGCTAGGATTGTTGTGCCCATTCTTGAAAATCACGCATTCTCGAGAATGGGTATGCACATTCTTGAGAATGTGCAACTGGATCCTTGCTCAATCTTGGCAAAAAATAACTCTTCCAGATTGAGCGCACATTCTTGAGAATGCGCGACAAGATAACGGTCTTGTCGATGCCGAGCACCGGCTGCGCTTGGCAAGTCTAGCTGCATCCTCGTTCACTGATTCTTAATAATTATACTGTTGCAACGCAAGGCGCTGAAAAGTAGAGTGGACATGAAGAGTATACGCGTATTGGGGGAGGGGACCGGGGGAAAAAACAAGAATAAATAAGAAAGAATTCCGATTTTTGGGATAATAAAAGAGGGGGGGGGGACGTAAGAATGAAGAATGTGAAGAATGAGAATGAATACTGCGACATCCCATAGTGCTAATGCTATTTCCCATTTAAATTGCCACCAATTTATTGTTCACACCCCACCATAACGTCGCAGAGCTGGATTCTATCTAGTCAAAAGAGCAATTTTGGCAGCTTCTGGACATCGTTTTTTTTTTCGTGGCACCCATATGATACATACAGGGACTTGTACTTGTCTAGCCTAAACAAAGCACTTCCCAGACTAGTTCCCAGTCCTCCGTTATTACAAAACTTCCCATAAGTAGCTAGTAGGCAGGTAAAAAGCAATAATAACAGGTTTAATATGATTCAAATTATCGTAGTTATACGAGTACAGAAGCATAGAACATTTCTTTCCTCTTTATATGAATTGTTTCCCTTTTAACCGCTATACAATTCATTTAACATAATTATGTCGTGCAATGTTTGTTATGATTGGGCAAAATTCATAAATTGTGCACGTGATATTCCCACCCAATCTTAAGAATGAGCGCTCATTCTTAAGAACGCGTGCTCGTTCTTAAGAATGGGCGCTCATTCTTAAGAATGCGCGCCCATTCTCGAGAATGCGTGATTTTCAAGAATGGGCACAACAGGATCAATTCAAGGATTGACCATTATTAGTAGAGAAAGGACCTGGATTGACAGACGAGACTGCCTTTGTTTCATTCATTCATTCATTCTTTATTATTTTTACCACATCTCATTTCATTATGTGACAAGGCATATTGTTGATGTACCCTAACGTGGCGCGCCCCCTAACGTGGCGCACTTTGATTTTTCGCCTGTAGCGCCTAGCTAGAGCAAAAGTTTTAACTGAAATTTCACAGAAAGTGAAATTTCATCAAGTTATAAACACTCCCGTTCATAAATCGCAAATTTATTTACCCGCTACCAAGTTAAAAGAAAAACTTATTTTGGCGTGATTTTCCGATTTTATTTTCAAGTGCAAAGTGAACCCTTTGAAAATGCCCCGAAAAATAAGAAAATAATTTTGTGACAAACATCTGGCTGGGTATGTAAGTAGAGATAATAATGATTTATCAGAATTTATCAAGTTTTCAGAAATTCTTAAATGTTAATTTGGAATTTCCCGAGATTTATTTAAGTGCGCCACGTTAGGGAACACTCCGCCAAATTGTGCCCAATTTCCGGACGCCACCGTTTTTTAATTTCGGCTTAAATTTTATGAAACCGAAATTGTTCACAGAGGTTAAACAGCAAGCATTAATAAGGTAAAAGTACCAGTATTTCACTGCATGAATTTGAGGTTTGTCAACAAAGAGGTTTGGCAACACTACACGAGGAAATTTGGGTATGCTTCGAAGTGCGCCACGTTAGGGTACACCACCATAAATACATAACATAGGCCTACATGTAGTTTTGGGTATTATAAAGTTCGAGCTTGTTTTACAAAATATATTTATACACTTTGGACGCATTAATATTATTTTCTAATAAATTAGAGATGGTGGAAGGGGATCCCCAAAAAGCGGAGCTTGTCGAGTAGAGATCCCCTTTAACATGGATTAATTCAAAACTTACCACTAGCACTAGCAGTAAAAAACTAGTGACTCCTGACTGCATGTTAACTTATAATTTAGGTTCTTTCGATTTCACGAATTCGCCATCTAACTAAATGACTGCATACAAATTACAACTTACAAGGCGCGGCGCAGCAGGCAGGCCGGGCGTCGAGTCGATGCATGTCATACACTGCGCACTGAATCATGTGTGTCGTACGGCCCGGAACCTTAGCTACGTACACAACAATGTACATTTGCACGGTGTACAATGTAGGCCTACATTACACATTTTATGCAGCCCCAGTCCGTACGACTACATGTACATGTCTGCATGTACATGTACACATGTACGTGACCGCTAAAGCCCGGTTCGTTCATACATGTACTTGTACTTCACGCGAAAGCGAAATTGAAAACGAAGCGAAATTCGTGACGTCAACAATACGGCGCGTCCAAGGGGGCGCTCTCCGGGTTTCACATGCTGTTTATGACCAGTACCAAGGAGGTTTGGTTTTTCGGCGTATACTTGTTTGTTGGTTGGTCGGGGTATTAATGTTTGTTAAAATAACAAGATAACTCAAAAAGTTATGGACGGATTTTCATGAATCTTTTTTTAGGGGTGGTCCTGATTGGTACAAGTACAAATCGATTTAGATTTTGGAAGTGATCCGGATCTGAGTCTGGATTGGGATTATAGGGCCAGATTCCACAATTTTGCTTTTAACTCCACATTAACCACTTGACGCCGGGATTTTATCATGCCTCACTTTACCGGCTTACACGCATGACTGCACAGTGGCCTTTGTCCGGTAGCTGCACGGCGTGGCCCGCAGGCCGCATAACACGGCGTATGACGGCTTAAACAACATACCAGGACGGATCAGCGGAAAGTCGCCAACATTGCTAAAGTTTTAATAAATTGCAGAATATGAGCAATCCTGTTGACATGTTAAAATGTGCCATTAAATGAAGTTCAGTGTAATTATGTGCGACTGCATGCGAGTATTTCTTTTGTGAACTGACATTATGGCGGGGAATTGTTCAGACTTGGCGGAGGTTTGCGCTCTCTGTATGCTTTCTATTGGGAAGAGCTTCACTCATGCAAGGGTCAGTAGTGTTGTTGTTAGGCACCAATAAGGCACCTTAAAGCCTAATATAGAAAAGCTGGTCCTGTAGTTCACCATATTATATTAGTTGATTGAGAATGGCCATTCACTGGAATCTTTTCATGCATCAGTCTATGTACACACAATGGGTACAGCGCTAGTGGTGTACGGGGGGGGGGGGACAAAAATCTTGAATTGCACACCAACGATATAAAAGTTTCCCTCAGCACCCCTGGTGCCCCCCCCCCCAGAAGTTTAACCCTGGTTGTACGACAATACTGAATGGGTCGGATTTGGCCCACAGTTGGCGTTTTGTTTGTTATTATTCGGGATGACCGGCAGTTTCAGTGGCCGGGATAACCTCCGAAAGTCTTTCGACTTATTTCCAGTGGGGTCCTTTGGTAGATGTGGACCTATAGGACATTACAATTTGGCAGGAATTATAGTTATACAGGTTGGAAGAAAACCGCAGCATTAATGATAATCGAGGGAAAACCGCGGGATCAGGCAGGGACTGAAAACCAAATCCGCAAAAGTTGGCCCAGGCGGGATTCGAACCCGGGTCACAGAGGTGGAAGGCACTTAGCCTACTTAAGGTTATGGCCGACGCAACAGTAGGAGGGCGCTATTTGCGCCCTCCTATTGTATTTGCCATCAAATAGGCAAAATTATATTACGCCAATCTCATCCCGTGCACGATATATAGCACGTGCATGCCCAGCTCCATTATGACATGACAGTCGGTGAATCGGGTCCAATTACAAAGCTGACGGAAGAAATAAGAAAGAGATGATATTTTCAACACGATATATTAGCGATGTCTGATGTACTGCATTTCTAATATACAAGGGCACGGGCCTATTATCATTTTACATTAATATTTCGTGTGCTTCTTTGACGTGCATGACCAATATTTATTATCATAACAATAGGTTTTCGCACAGTCACGATCGCCGCTATTATTATGCTCCTGACGGCAAGATCACGACCGGACGGGCGCGGCGGGCAGTACAGGCCCTTGGCCTAAGTTCTTAAAATCACGCACGCGACGCAACCGCATAATAGGGGCCCGTCCTATACGTACTCGATTCATGCTTATTAATTATGCACGATCACATGCACATCCTTCGCAACATGGTCAAGAACAGTAACCGGCCGGCTGCAGCATTTTTAACAGGGAACAACGAGCCTTCTTTTCATGACCAGAAAGGGGAGAAAAATTGTGTGTGGCTTTGTTAAGGTGAGCGATTCATTTTGTTTGTATAGTGTTGTGTAGGTTGGTCTATAAAAGCTCCATGGTCAATAATGGAGCTCCACCGGCGTTCAAGACTAGAGCAGATGCCATCGGATCACGGTCACACCAGATAGTACGAAACACATGGAGCTTTAGGAGTCGGTCACGCTTAACACGTGGACTCCGAACGCGCTGCTAGCTAGCTACTACATGTACAGCCACGTTTCCTGCCGCCATTGACATTCATGGACAACATTGTATTTGTAATATGCCTATACGCACGTGGACATGATTTTAATGGATTCGTCACAGACGGAAAACCATGAGGTTGGTGTTTTTGTACGTCCGGGAGTGAAAGAAACGCTTGTGTGGTGCCCTGACGATTGCACGCGTTAGTCATGTCAGTCAAGCACCGGCGACCAGTATAAACCCGCACTGCAGCCTAGCACACGTCGGACAAAAATGTGCCTGTCAGTGTCAACAAAAGAAAACTGCCAGTCACGGTGAACAATCATGAAAAAAAAACCTCGATCACGGCTGAAGGAACGGTGTAAAAACATATTTTCTATACTAATGTATCCAACATTTACAATTACATGTACATCGAAACTGCAGTGCAATATCGAAGTTCACGGCGGTGAGAGGTTTTGTCTGTTTTCCTTCCTATGAATGAAAATAAGAAACCTTTTAAGGAGATGATTTTCACGCTCTTTAGGCACTTAAATCTGGCCGCTAATGTACAGACGTAATACTACAATAGTAATACAAAACATTTTGGAAAGAATTTTGCAACCGGACGCCAGTTTTTCTTCATATATCATCCCAATAAAGGTCAGTCATTGAAAAAATATAAGACACGAATCTAGGACTGAGAAACATTTCCAATTTTGAGGAAATACTTCAATTGTTCGATTCTCTCTAGCAGTATAGGCTTTGTACACAACCCCTATAACGTGGCGTCCGGATACTACATTCTTTCTGAGATGTTTTATCGTTATTATAGAGAAAAGGGTCCACTTTATTAAAGACCATGCAGATGACTTGTATTTGTGGCTTATAATTGTTTACATGACGAAGGTCTGCGTTCATCATGCACGTTCCTAACAAAAATATGAAACAAAAGAAAAAGTCTGTACCATACATGGGGATTGTGCAATTGAATTGCTGATTTGACAAAACGAGTAGGCCTTTATAATAAGGCATGATGAGAATGTGACCCAGACACAGTAAGTCACAATTTAAGCCTCCAGAGTTGTACAGTTTCAATAATTATCATGCAGATATCAATTATCTGCTGGAATTTAGTCACAACATTTATATCAATTGATAAATTCATATTATACATTAAAAAGTGTATACATGTATACAGCCGTGTGGTTGCGAAGGGCGATTTCTAAACACTTTATTTTGAATTAAACTATGCACACAAGACATATGTTCACGTTGGCGGGCGAGGTGTGAAAATTAATTTCTCCCCTTTGGAAGACCGTATCTTCATGCAACTTTCAGGGTTTCCCTCATAATGATCCGAGTTTGTGGTAAAAATCGTTGTGATATGTTCATTACTTTTCGTTGAAATTCGAAAAAAAATAAGCCTATTTGAAAGTTGTAGCACTGGCGTTTGCAATATCTGTCAATCTTTTCAAGCCTCATGGATATTAATGAGGTTCCTATCTATTATGGTGTACAGCAACAATTTGACTAGTAGCCTCCTTCACGAGTTATTAATTAATAAATATCTCCCTTTTTGCCGGTTTCCATTGGTCGATACCGAGACCCGCGCCAAGTCACGCCTAGTGACGCTAATGAATATGCTAATATGCCTTTCGTCACTGTGTTGCCGGGCCGATATCGGTCAACCGTAGCGCCTATACGGCGCTTCGCTGAACCATGCACGTTGGTTGGGTGGCAAAAACATCCTTGACGAAATTTTCCCTGGAGTCCAAAAAGTTACATCAATCTTCAAATTATTTTTTCTACCGTGTATTCCCGTATTATTCCCAACACCACCACTTAAATTCCACAAATTCAACATCCGGCCCATACTGCGAGGAATGAGCGTAAAACACGTACAAAATTTTATGACTGCGAATAGTCGTGCATGTTTGAGCAACGTCCCTATATAGTCAGGTGGCGCCCCCTCGGCCTCCCCCGCACCGCTATTCGAATTAAAGCTACCCCCCCCCCCACAAAAAAAATGAATGTTGACAAGAAAGTGCCGCCGCTTTGACATTTCCGCAATTCATAATCACCCTCGTTTCTTTTCAATGAACCGTTCATGCATGATTCCTATTGTTAATAAGAACAATCGCCTCCATGTTTCAACTGGCTGACATGAACGGGACGAAGTCAATTCACTAGTACCATATAAAGAGCTATTAATTTAAACAGCTAATCGCTCCCTGGTATAGTACATCATCTGCTGTCGAGTGGCGATCATCGGACGTGGTAATAGTCTTTGGGGATATGTTGCCAGCCTAGTGGTTAGGGTTTGTGACTCATGATCATGAGAGTCAGGGGTTCGAATCCAGCTGCTGGTCATAGTTGTGTCCTTAGGCATGCCACTTCACCCCTAAATGTCTCTCTCCACCCAGGAGTATAAATGGGTATACCGGCTTAGCTGCATGGGGAGTAAACCTGCGATGGACTAGCGTCCCATTCAGGGGGAATAGAAATATTCTCAGTCGTTTCATGCTACAGAAACTGGAGACAAATGCCGGCCGGATATGGGCCATGCACATTGGCTCGTGACAGAATACTAACTAGTCTCTTTACTAGTCTCTTTGTTTTAGTAATTCCGAAGCACTGCCCAAAACTGCGTGCGGCATGCATGCCAATGAACGCAGAACTATACCGGTACACTACGGTTTTGCCATGTGTGTCGGAGCCTACAGTGTGACTAGGTTCAAGTCTACTCTATGACATATGTAATAAAATGCACGTGACCGGCGATTACATATAGCATGGGTTCGATTAGCTTCCCCGTGTATGTAACCACACACGAGGAAGAAACTAAATGATGCTCAGAATCGAACGCTGCGGTAAAGCGTGTGTTATAACATGCATGTAACCGTATAGGCAGACTTGATTCCTGTCACCGTTTTATAAGCTTTATTTTCTTGAATTATTTAATAGGAATCTCACAAAACGTTGTAGTGGTGGGTTTGTATGCAGATGGATATACTTTGAGAATTTATAATGTACACACTGATAACTGACGTTGTCATTTCAGCTCAGACTACGAAAGGAAGATGATGTCACTCAATGGAACGAAGAACGGCTCCGCCGGTTCAACTTGCGATTGCAAGAACACCCATGTATTGGTGACTGGAGGGGCAGGCTACATCGGGTCCATTCTCGTACCCCTCCTGCTGGACGAGGGGTACATGGTCACCGTCTTTGATAACTTCAGTTGGGGGATTCAGTCGCTTTGCGGCCCCGTCGCAGCCAACCCCAACTTGAAAGTTGTCCGGGGTGATGTGTGCGACCCGGAGGCACTGTCCGAAGTGATGGCTGACTGCGACGCCGTCATTCACTTGGCGGCCATCGTCGGCTACCCGGCCTGCGAGAAAGAACCCAAACTAGCCCGCCAAGTCAACGAAGACGGCACAGCGCACGTGGCCAGGCTGTTACGGCGAGATCAGAAGCTCATCTATGCCTCCACCGGGTCATGCTACGGAGCGGTCGACGGCACCTGCACGGAGGATACTCCCATTAGCCCGCTGACCCTCTACGGGAGCACCAAGGCAAACGGGGAAAAATCGGTGGTGAGTGTTGGTGGGGTTGGTCTCCGTCTAGCGACTGTCTTCGGTACTGCTCCACGCATGAGGATGGACCTCCTAGTCAACGATCTGACGCACCGTGCGGTCAGCCAGAAACATTTCAGCTTGTACCAAGGCAGTTTCAGGCGCACGTTCCTCCACGTCCACGACGCGGCCACCGCGTTTATCTTAGCACTGCGTAACTACGACAAGATGCGCGGGAAGGCCTACAACGTGGGCCACGAGTCCATGAACATGACCAAGTCAGAGCTGGCCTCTCTCATCCAGGCTCTTGTACCGGGCTGTAAAATCACCCACTCTGATGAGGGAGAAGATCTGGACAAGCGCAACTACGAGGTCTCGTACTTGAAACTCCGACAGCTCGGGTTCTGGCCGAGCATAACCGTCCGGGATGGGATCCTGGAACTTCTCAAGACAGTCCCCTTCATGTCCGATGAGGAAGTGGCTCGAGCCCGGAATGCCAACCCGGTGAAAATCCTCATCAAAGACAATGGTGTCTGAACAATATTCCCATGAAGGAACGGTCGAATGAAATGCATGTAAGATGAAATATTACACGAACGAAATAGAACGAAATATTACAAGAACTAGAGCGATAGAAATATTCTAAGCTATAAATATGGCGAGCCAAAGTAGCATTTATATAGCATCAGCAAAGTCTTCAAAACAGTTAAGTGCTATCGACGATGTCTGTAATGTATTAAAAGATATCTTTAAATGATTTAAAGATATCTCTAAAAGATTTAGAGATATCTTTTAATCAATAAAAGATATCTCTAAATCTTTAAGAGATATCTCTAAATGAATTAGAGATGTCTCTAAATACTTTAAAGATATCTTTAAATCATTGACAATAAAGCCCATTCGTGTGTCATTTATTTATCAAAACAATTCGTCTTTGAAACGATTGGTCGAAATCTAATATTCAGAGATATCTCTAAATCATTAGAGAATATCTCTAAATCATTTAGAGATAATCTTTAAATTGTTTTAAGACTTTGCTAATGCTATGTAAATGTTACTTTGGCTCACTTTATATAAATAACACAACGGGATTATTCTGATAAGACTGGAATAAAAATAATTACGCCGTCTGAAATATTTTTGCTTTTGAGCGTAAACAATACCTTCGATCAAAAGGAGGGATTTTTTTTTAAATTAAGTTTCAAGAGAGAAACAAGAATATTATACCATTGGTGAGATATATTAATAGGTGTGTATATAACTATTCAGTTGAGCAACAGTGCTAGTATGATTTGAATAAAGTCATGTAGCTGCAAAATATTATCCAGTGCGCACAATTAAAGGTATGTTTTCTTTTCAACTCGTATTATATTTTTGAAATGTTGGAACATCGTTCATAAAGAGTTTAGTATGCACCTTGTGCACTATAGTTTTCCAAATGGATTTATTTTTGCTGATAAGTTATAAAGGACAAAATATTTAAAGATGTCAGAATAGTGCAACTGAGGGAACTGTACAATTTGTATGGGTCGTTTGAATGTGATCAGTTTTTGAACCACAATTGTCCTTCATGTTTGAAGAAGTGTGATTCTCCTTGTAGATGTATTGCAAAGGTTTCGTGATAACATCCCACTTTAACAATTCACAAAATTAGAACGGATATTAGCGTACAGTATTAAAGGAGCACTAGGTCCTGAAATCCCCGAAAATGTCATGTTTTGGATTGTTTACTTAGCCTATTTCAAACATCTGGTTGAAAGGAAACCAACCTAATGTCTTACAGTTCCCGAGAAAAGACGGAAAAAAACCCGCTAAGCTTGTTTACATCGGACACGACGGAGTACGAATACGTTTTTCGTGTCGCTCTCAGTGTACGATATACACCTTGTGTGTCTCGGGAACAGCGGTGACAAATCACCAACTGCAAAAAAAGTGGTTTCTTCAACGTCCGCAAAAGGCGTTCAAAGCGCGTTTTGTAGCCCAATTGGGCTGTTCCAGGACCTTGTGTCCCGGCTTAAACCTTTATGTTAAAATGAAATAGAAAATTGTCGAAATGTTATTATAAAGGTAAAGAACATTAGGAATGTATATTAACGCTAAAGTATAGCGGCATTATATCTGTAAGTTTTCATCAAAGGAAAACTCAGTCGCCGTTTGCTTCTGTGGGAAAACAGTTGATTTGTGAGTCGAGTTTTGTTTGAGTCGTGTTTATTCACTCATTTTTGTTAATCAGTGTTAAAGGTACGTCCTATATGAACCACTTGTTTTAAACTAGCTAATCAACTAAATTTAATGGTAATTTTTCTTCCACGGTTTTAGGGGAACAAATGCAGAACTAAGATGTGGTTTTCTCGTATCAAGGAAACATAATTAATGGTGATGGGAGGTCAAGGTGTGAAAATATAGAACCACCGAATGGTGTGTGATTCTTTTGGACTATATTCTGTGAGACTTGTGATTGTGTGAAATATCTTTGTATACAAAGGGGCCCGTGGCCCCCTCCCCCCCAAAAAAACCCGATTTTTTTTTAGTGACTTCGCAGTAAAGGCAGGCAATGAGTACACCACCATCTTTTCCTAAAATAAACATTGGTTAAAGTGGTCAGAAATTGCCTCAGATCGCACCACAGAGCATCTAGAGTCCAAAAAAAAATTGGGTCACACTTTTTTGGGGACCAATTATTTTTTGCCCCCCCCCCAACAAAGTTTGTGTTCTGGATCCGCCCTTGAAAAGCACATACCTCAAAAAAGGATGTTTTTGACGCTAGAGGACGCTCTTCCGTGTTCTTACCAATTCATTCACATTTCATAAAGCCGTATAGGGTCAACAGAATTAAGGGGATTGGAATAGAGATTAATATAGTCAACTTCCCAGGTCCTCTTCTGTTTCAATACTAAAAAAAACCAATACTTTAAACAGAACTTCATTGGCAAGCGGCAAATTTCAGGGTTTAAGTTTTTTTCGTGGGGGCCATTATAGTCTTTGTTATAGACCATGGCTCCCCAACTTTTTCGTAGACCCCATATTGTTCGTAGGCTGGGCCTTGAGTTAACGTCACAATTCTTAGTAATACCGTCGATATTCTTCAACAATCCGTCCATATTCTTGACAAACTGATGTGGTTCGTATAGAGAAACATTATAGGAATAGTCGTGGCTATCCATCCTGAAACCATAGTGCATTCTTAGAGAAAGTCGATTTCTCCACGAACCTTGACGCCGGTTCATTGTGATCGATTGATTCTTGGTAAACCGTGGCCTATTCGTGGCTCCCACCGTGAATGTGTGACTGGGGCTTTAAGGATTTTTATGAGGAAAAACTTCAGGGTAAAGCATGCATAGCTGTTTTATTATACGAAACACACTGGAATTTGGCGTAAGGCATGACTAGTTTCAATGAAAGCTGCGGTCCCACTCCTAACTATAGGTTGGGTGTAACCGCAGGATGAACCTTGCTATTTGTTAATGTTGAGTACGGAATGTTAGTAGCAACGTCAATGAAACTTTTAAATGGAAAAACACCTTCAGGGGAAAGATATGAACAAGTGGACCAACCGTAACGTGACTATCTCGAATCTTTGTTCAGACAGTGAAATACTAAATTCGCCTCTTTGTGACTTTGCCCCTATTGAAAGATCGAATGAACAATTCCTGGCAAGCATAAACTACTCTGCCACCATTGTCATGGCCGAGGTTATTGCTTTTTGTGGCGTAACTCCACTGGCGCCACGATGCATGCTGTGCACTGAGCTCATAAAAACATAGACATGTCATGATTTTAGATAGTTTGAGACAAATATCGATTCTGCACTGCCTGAAGATTTAGAAAATACCTCCTCTGAATATTTTACAGTGTTTGTGCTAGACGTTCGAAGCGCCGCGCTTAGCTAAAAACGCAAAAAAAAAAAAAACACGAACAATACGGAACGGGACATATTTTTCGAGCAAGCAAAACGCTGCTGGCTGGAACACATTTTTTGCCCGGGAGTAGGGGGTGCTGAAGCATATTCCAGCACCCCAATCCAAAAAGTTGGGTGTGCTGCAGCACTCCGTCGGCACCCCCCGTTCACGCGGGCTTGCATTTTTCTGCAGTAGCTCGAGATCAGCGCAATTTGGTCTCTACCTAATTCACAGGTAGGCCTACCCATTAATACTCCTGGGTGGAGAGAGGCAATTGTAGTAAAGTGCCTTGCCCAAGAACACAAGCACCATGTTTCCCGCCAGCGTTCGAACTCAAGTATACCACAGGCTAAAGCGCCCCACATTTTCAAGTATACCAGCAATGTTCACTGAGTTTGACAGCGGATCAAGCTCCGTGTCAGGCTTGAATAAGACGGCTTTTCCCAAGAATAAGGTATAATGGCGAAGCCAACTTAAAGAATATTGTTGCAGATACCGACCCTCGTATCTCCAATGTAAAATACTGTTAAGTTTTTCCTCTACCTGTTTGACAGATCATACTCATAGAGTTAGAGGTTATCCTCCGCAGGCATCCATCGCATGACCATTGATAACGGATACGCCGGGATTTTCAAAGCTATTGGTAATAAATGGCGTCGCTAAAGAAATTTCGCAAGCGCCAGTATACAAATATATACACTTAACATGGTTTGAGGGTGAACAGTCGATATTAGCTCCCCTCGGCCTCGGTTAGTATTGAAAATTGACTATATAGTTCCCGCACTGCATGGTATTACATGTATATTGTTGATGTACCCTAACGTGGCGCGGCCCCCAACGTGGCGCACTTTGATTTTTCGCCTGTAGCGCCTACCTAGAGCAAAAGTTTTAACTGAAATTTCACAGAAAGTAAAATTTCATCAAGTTCTAAACACTCCTGTTCATAAATCGCGAGTTTATTTACCCGTAACAAAGTTACAAGAAAAAGTTATTTTGGCGTGATTTTCCGATTTTATTTTCAAGTGCAAAGTGAACCCTTTGAAAATGCCCCGAAAAATAAGAAAATAATTTTCTGACAAACATCTGGCTGGGTATGTAAGTAGAGATAATAATTATTTATCAGAATTTATCAAGTTTACAGAAATTCTTCAATGTTAATCTGGAATTTTCCGAGATTTATTCAAGTGCGCCACGTTAGGGAACACTCCGCCAATTTGTGCCCAATTTCCGGACGCCACCGTTTTTGAATTTCGGATTAAATTTTATGAAACCGAAATTGTTCACAGAGGATAAATAGCAAGCGTTAATAAGGTAAAAGTACTAGTATTTTACTGCATGAATTTGAGGTTTGTCAACAAAGAGGTTTGGCAACACTATACGAGGAAATTTGGGTAAGCTTCGAAGTGCGCCACGTTAATAGGGAACACGACTATATATTATGAGATGACATCATTTCTAAAAATAGTGATAACAGCAGGCAGGTGAACCAGTCTATTTACAGTCTTGTCTCCAAGCGTCTACATCAGATTGTATGGCTTAAATTGTAGATTGGAACCAGACTGTTGTACGCGGCCTAGTTGTAAGGCAAAATTTGACATCGGACCTAATTTGCAATTGCCAGTAGATTATTCCAACAATTTTCCAGTGTTTACTGGCAAACAGACGGGTTTACTAATATCGTTGTAGTTTAACACATTTTTAGAAGCCATCTTTTGTCGAAGAAGAATGTTTTCTACGGTGCCTACGACACAAAGTTCGCAAAATCAAAGTGAGTACACAAAGTCATAGCCCGACTGCGTCTGGCCGTACAGTACTATCGCAAGCTCTGTAGTACGGCCAGACGCCCGATGCTTCCACAGAGACTGAATTTTGTTGGCCGCCGATGTAGCGATTTTGCTACATCTTTCGATCGCGATTATCTATTCATCCAGGACACAAATTTCCAAAGTTAAGGTTCGTAGTCGTAGAGCAACTCATACCTTTTCGAAAAAAACGTTCTTTGGTCTCAATATTTTTATCCATCTGGCCACAAGACGAATTTCAGTCATCAGATTCCACAAATATCGTCCCCCATGCGATCCCCCATGCGATTTCAAAATGGCGGCCGCGCTGTAATGTATGCAATATGCAGGCGCGGCGCGCCCGCGCAAATCATGAATATGCATAACAGTCTGTGACGTATGACCTCGTGTTTTTGGACGTGCGTGCGGCGGGGCCGTACGTCCAAAAACACGAGGTCATACGTCACAGACTGTTATGCATATTCATGAGTTTGTGCGGGCGCGCCTGCATATTGCATACATTACAGCACGGCCACCATTTTGAAATCGCATGGGGGATCGCATGGGGGACGATATTTGTGGAATCTGATGACTGAAATTCGTCTTGTGGCCAGATGGATAAAAATATTGAGACCAAAGAACGTTTTTTTCGAAAAGGTATGAGTTGCTCTACGACTACGAACCTTAACTTTGGAAATTTGTGTCCTGGATGAATAGATAATCGCGATCGAAAGATGTAGCAAAATCGCTACATCGGCGGCCAACAAAATTCAGTCTCTGTGGAAGCATCGGGCATCTGGCCGTACTACAGAGCTTGCGATAGTACTGTACGGCCAGACGCAGTCGGGCTAACAAAGTCAGTAGTAGCCCCCAAAAATGTGGCCAGTAAAAGGCCACACTTCCACCATCATGTACAAAACATGCAGAACTTTGTCAAATTTTGATTTTCACATTTAGGCTTAGTTTGTAGTTTATTTTTGCTTTAGAAGCATACTCGGAACAACTATAGAATGCAGGGCCACTACACTCTACATCCGCGCCTCCGTACGGCTGCGTGGAGGCGTGGAGCCGCAGTCGACCTACCTCCGAGAATTGCCCCCTCTATCGGCGCGCGTCTCTGCGACTCCACGCCTCCGCGACTCCAGTGCCCCGCGTCTCTGCGACTCCGCGACTCCGCGCCTCCGCGACTCCAGTGCCCCGCGTCTTCGCGACTCCGCGACTCCAGTGCCTCGTCGCCCTCCTCCCTTCCTTTGCGAGGAAATTAAAAATGGATATGGATGCTTCGTTCTCAAAAAATTACCGCCGAGAATTGCGCCCTCTATGGGTGGCGCGCGTCTCTGCGACTCCGCGCCTCCGCGACTCCAGTGCCCCGCGTCTAGTCTCTGCGACTCCGCGACTCCGCGCCTCCGCGACTCCGTGCCCCCGTGCCCCCATGCCCCGACACATTTACAAGCGCGCCCTCCCTTCCGATCATTGATGAGAAGACAAGTGCATTCGCTGTACTTAGCACTTTTTGCAGGTTTGCATATTATTATATTGTAGCCTATTACTCCTATCCTCACATCGCCGGCCTCGATCCACACCTCCAAGCAGAAAAAAAACCCTTGCTCCGGCGTGGCCCTGCATTCTATAGTTGCTCCGCATACTCACCCTCTTTATAGGCTAATCAGAAAGTGCTGCTTTTTTCAGATGTCTATTTTTCGTGAAATTTCCAGATTCGTTTGCACACGTTTGTGTATCAAAATTTCAACATGAAATTTCACAAAAATTAGACATCTGAAAAAGGCAGCACTTTGTGATTAGCCTATAAAGAGGGTGAGTATGCTTCTAACGCAAAAATAAATTACAAACTAAGCTAGTCCCACTAACTGGGGCGCTAGAACTCCTTTTTTGAAATTTGAGATGTTGGTCTGTCGTACTAGCGTCCCACTATGGAAGTATTGTCAATGTTACAATTTTAAAGTTCACCACAAAAATCACGCAAAATACTTGACAAAATACCTTTAAAAGCACCTACTGGCATTTCCACTTGTCAAGGACGAAGTAATGGGGCTTCAATGATACTCACGAATATTTTTTTGGTTGAAAATCCGTGAAATTCAACCACTATTGCACAGGGGGGTCAGACAAGTCGACCGTTGAGACAACTCGACTCGGGACAAGTCGACCGTTGAGAAACTCGACCGTTGAGACAACTCGACCGCATGTGCGATAAATGGAAAGACAAGTCGACCGTTGAGAGTTTTTGTTGTTGCATATAACAGAGCCGCAGCGTGATTGTCCGTGCACATCGTTCGTTTTTTCCCCGGTCAATTAATGTGGCCGTACCGTGCACGGTGGCATCGTTTGTGCCGGGCCTGTGCGCCCACTTGGCGCGTGCGCCCACTTGTCGACGCCCCACGTCGGTGCCGGGCCGGGCCCGGTCCTCGCGGGCGGGGCGCGCCGGCCCGACGCGACGGCCACCGGATTGGAGCGCCCTCTGTGCATCGAGTATGCCCGCGCCTCGCCCGGGACCGGTCCTGCCACAGATTTTTGGAACTTTTTCCACTCCACGTGTATACATTACATTTCCATTAAGTCGAGCTGTCTCAACGGTCGAGTGATCCCGCGTCGAGTTGTCTCAACGGTCGACTTGTCTCAGCGGTCGAGTTGTCTCAACGGTCGACTTGTCTCAACGGTCGAGTTGTCTCAACGGTCGACTTGTCCTGAGTCGAGTTGTCTCAACGGTCGACTTGTCTCAACGGTCGAGTTGTCTCAACGGTCGACTTGTCTCAACGGTCGAGTTGTCTCAACGGTCGACTTGTCCTGAATCGAGTTGTCTCAACGGTCGACTTGTCTCAGCGGTCGAGTTGTCTCAACGGTCGACTTGTCTCAACGGTCGAGTTGTCTCAACGGTCGACTTGTCCTGAGTCGAGTTGTCTCAACGGTCGACTTGTCTCAACGGTCGAGTTGTCTCAACGGTCGACTTGTCTCAACGGTCGACTTGTCTCAACGGTCGACTTGTCCTGAATCGAGTTGTCTCAACGGTCGACTTGTCTGACATTCATTGCACAGACATCATACAGCGATCATTCAAAAATGTTATGGCTGTGATCTACTAATGCCTTGTCTATGGTAGTATGGTCGTACATCATGTACACATACAAACACGTACGTGAAGCAGGGGCCGGGACACGACTGTGACCAATGCCGAAAAACAAACTCTGCATGTAGATCAGGGGATGCGCCTACGACTGTATTCTTGTACCGCGCCTTGTCATGAAACAGTCGTAGGCACATCCCCCGATCTACATGCGGAGTTTGTTTTTCGGCACTGGTCACGTGTCACTGGTCACGGTCCGGTCGTGTTTTAGCCTCTTGCAATCTCTTAACCCTGGACAGCGTTTACAAGAAATATTTATCAAAAATCGTCAACGGCTTCCCTTTGGGAAGCAGGTACTTCCCCGCACAACGCAAGACCCTATTCATAGCAATACAACAAAAAGCCATGTGCCAGACAGTGTCCAGGCAGTTGCCAGATAGTGCCTGGCGGCTGTGGTTTGCAGTTATGAAGGGAGATGGCTGTGTCAAGTTACAGGTGTTTGTTAATGTTTCAATGAGACTTGGCAGGAGGCCTGGTCGAAAGTTTGTTGACACAGCTTGGGTGAAGCCCTGGCTGCAAAGTTCATTGAACCAGCTGATTTTGCATGGGTTGAATGAGGATTAGATGGGAGGTGACCTTTATTGGCCCTCAATTTTTTTTTTCTCCAAAAAATTGGGATACGCGATGCTCAAGGGGCATCAGGTCACTCTGCGGAGGGTTAATTAACGTTTGTTTGAATTGATTTTCCCTCTTTTATCACAACTGTTTGATTTTGTTATAATTACCAGGTTCATCAGCCAATAGACCTGAGCTTTATGAGGTGAGTGAGATACGGGATTAAAATTTGATTCATAAATACCTAAGACAGTTTTACCCATTCCTATTGGTCGAGATAATTCCTATTGGTCGCGGATAATGACCCTCGCCTTCGGCTCAGGCCATAACCAGTGTCCATTCCCCAAACCGGTCTTTAACGGACTTGTTTAAAACCGGCCAAACATATATTTATGCCCTTAATAATGTCATGAAATACTGGTGTTTTGTACCATCCTCACCCATTGTAAACATTCTATGGATGAGTATTGCGTAAGTAGAACTATGCCAGAGCTCTGCCAAGAACTTTGATGACCTTATGAAAAGGCAGCTCTAACTTCAGAGTTAATATGTGTCAAATATTTACAGGGGACAGTTTTACAAATTTTACATTTAATTTGTCGGGTTCTACATGGAGGTCTCTCGCATATGACTTAGCTGGCCAATGGTCGTGCGATGATTTTTTTTAACCTAAAAATGTTGTTTGATTCACTCTGTGGTACCCTTTTTTTGTTCTCCTCAGGAGGTAAAGCTGTTCCGGAATTTCCGGGAACGAGAAAAGTATGACAACATGGCAGAGCTTTTCGCGGTGATAAACACGCTACAGTGGTTGGAGAAGGCCTACATACGGGACGCCATCACACCGAAAGAGTAGGTTTTTATCCCTCCTATGCAAACATACATTCTGTGACAACTGGTCCTTTTCGTCAAAATCAATCAAGTGACTGTTTTCAACAGTTAAGAATTCCAAGCCCACATAAAGCAGGATCGACTGGCTGTGACTGTTTTATGTAACTTGATACAGCTTTGCTTCGACTGTGGGTAATTGATAAGCCAGCTGTGCCCACAACTTGCCTGCTTTGTCTGTTCGTGGTCTGTTGACTGAGTTTGAATAGTTTCAGTACTTCCTTGACATATGATCTGACTGCTGGTGACAGCGTGTGTTAAAAGTATATCATGGGGAGTGGGTTGACATTTTGACTGACTGTGACTGTTTAAATAGCAGGAGGGTTAAGAAACAAGTATAGACTGTTTGCATTGAGCAGCCATCTTTGAGGTGCATTGTGAAATGTTATGCCAAAAAGAAAAGTCTCCGGTTTCTGGTATGGAGCTTGCCCCAAAAGTGGTGCGGCGACGCGGCTTTTTAAAAAAAAAAATTTTACTTTTTTTCTTCAAATGTTGGCTGATGACTGCAAATGGTGCCCGACTAAATTTAGTGCAAAATATATGGGAGTCCAGAGAGGCCACATAAAGCTTATACTCAATCGTAACCCCATCTAAAAACACGTTAAAATTGTGCAGCAACAGGATTCCAGTCAAACCAGTGAGTTTGGCAGTTTTGAGACATCATCTTACATTGAGAGAAAAACCTTTTTCATTTTGCCGATGCGCATGGCTACGGCGACGCGCGCGCATACCAGAAACTGGAGACTTTTTTGGGGGGGGCCTTACTTCATAAAGTGACTCTTTTTGTTAAAAGATCTTGCTTGAAAAAAAAATGCATTAATTGTAAAATAATTTTGTTCTCAATTCAGGTACACAGCAGCCTGTTCCAAGTTATTAGTGCAATACAAAGCGGCCTTCAAGCAAGTACAGAGTGATCAGATACCAACAGTCGAGGCTTTCATGAAGAAATACAGGGTAAGTCGACGAATTTGATTTTTTAGTTAACCCACAAGTGCGTGTAATACATTGGTTTTATTCTCTGAAAAATCAATAAAACTACAATAGTGCTCATGCCGTTTCATGCGCTACAGTGAGTAATAAAACATTTTGAGAAGCATACTAACTTAAAGAGGTTGTGGAATGCTCGAAGACATTTCCGTCATTCTTCGGGTATATTTAACCTAAGGTGTGATGAAATAAAAATGACTATTGTGTCTGTCATGAAATGAGTACAAAAGGTACTTTTGAGAGCTGTTTTTCAGGTCCTGTTTCGACCCAAATGTGCAATTTGTGTAAAAGTCGTCGTTGGGGGCAGCAAACAAAACATAATAAATCGTGACGTTAATAAACAGGACTCGTTTATACTACACTGCATCGGGAGTCCTGTTTATTACGTCACGATTTAATATGTTTATTTTGCTTTTGTTTTTTTGTGCATTTTCTTCATTTCCAATAATAACCCCCAGGGCTCGCGAAATCGGCTGCCCAACGTCCCTGGACAACCAAAATATCTTGTCGGACGACCAAAAGTTCGAGGTTGCCAGCCCGATGGGCAACCATTTTTTTCACCAATACTCACAAATTTTTACACTTTATTTTAGTCCATGGGATTTTCGAAAGTTCCAGAATCCCAGCAACTGATCCTATGCCTTAAGTTAGATGACAAATGCAAAACTCCCAAGATGTGTTAAATTCAAAACAGTATATTGATATAATCTTGCGCATAATTGTTTTGAAAATTATTTCAGATGGATTGCCCGGCAGCTATGGAGAGGATCAAGGAAGATCGGCCAATCACAATCAAGAATGACGACGGCAACACGAGTGAATGCATCGCGCAAATCGTATCGGTAAGATATCTCCAAAATCAGTCAAGTGCGTATGCTGTGTGCTGTTGACATGAAAAACTAAAGCCTGCCGCACCCCTCTCCGATTTTACCAGTTAACCAGTTTATTGGGCCATTGCATGTACAGATCGGAGAGGTGTACGGAGAGGATTAACCCTAACCCCCTAGGCCCTTGTTGCTTACAACCATCCTCAATCCTCCAAAATCCTCCAACATTTTGCAACTCCGCCTACATTTTTCAAAATTGTCAGACAGTCCTGCCTCAACATGCATTCATCCTCAATCCTCCACAAGGGCGGATCCAGGGGGGGCCAAAGGGGGCCATGGCCCCCCCCAAAACGAAATCATTTTTTTTTTTTTTTTATGTGACATCGCAATAACGGCAGGCACTGAGTACACCACCATCTTTTCCTTAAAACAAACATTGGTTAAAGTGGTCAGAAATTGCCTCAGATCGCACCACAGAGCATCTAAAATCGAAAAAAAATTCGGGGCCCTTAAGCGGGCCCCGAACCCCACGCCGTAATTTTTTGACCAACTTTTTGACATCGCAATAAAGGCAGGCAATGAGTACACCACCATCTTTTCCTTAAAAAAAACATTGGTTAAAGTGGTCAGAAATTGCCTCAGATCGCACCACAGAGCATCTAGAATCCAAAAATTTTTCGGGGCCCTTAAGCGGGCCCCGAACCCCACGCCGTAATTTTTTTGACCCACTTTTTTGGGGGACCAAAAAATTTTTTGGCCCCCCCCAAAATTGTGTTCTGGATCCGCCCTTGATCCTCCAAAATCCTCCTCATCCCAAAACTTTGCACTCGTGTTTAAATGAAGGATAACCAACGCCAAATCCTTCAAAATCATCAGACAGTCCTGCCTCAAAATGCATTCATCCTCAATCCTCCAAAATCCTCTTGTGCTTCATTCACCATTCATCCTCAATCCTCCAAAATCCTCTTGTGCTTCAATCACCATTCATCCTCAATCCTCCAAAATCCTCTTGTGCTTCAATCACCATTCATCCTCAATCCTCCAGAATCCTCATTTGATTCAATCACCATTCATCCTCAATCCTCTAGAATCCTCCAAAACCGCCAGGAGGATTTTGGAGGAGTGAGGTGGGTTAGGGTTAAGTGCTTTGAGGGTACGATTTTTTTAAACACCCTGTAGCGTTTTTCTGTCTTTTTTTCACCCTCCTCAGCTGTTCATTACTGTCATGGACAAACTGCGACTGGACATGAAGGCTGTCGACGAGATTGAACCAGAGCTGAGAGAGCTCGGCGAAACCATGAACAAAATGAACTTACTGACGGAAGACTTCCAAGGGAAAGAGAAAGTTAGCTCTTGGTGAGTAGAAACATTTGCCATTTATCCGGAAACGTACCTACTGAATTTACGAGAAAATCCTGGCTCAAAGTGAAGATAGGATTAGTACCAAATACCCTGTGAAATAATGCCGCCTGAAATTTGGATCATTCGGAAGAAAACAATCACTGAATGTGGTTTTAAAAAGTGTGCCGGTGGGCACACTTTTTTAACCTACTTTAGCAACTAAGCTCCTTCAATATATCAGTATTACTCGACTATTCGATTTTATTTTGATAGCGATAGCAATTTTTTAATCATATCGAAATATCGAAATTTTCAATACTGAGGAATGATATCAAAAATATCAAAAAATGCGTCAGATTATCAACAAAATAAATCTCCTGTTTGTGCTTTTACTTCGTGTTTATCGTTTGCTGTATAATGAAATAAAACTTGGCAGCAACTTGGGCTTGTGACTAAAAATAAAAACATCATGAAATGCCGAGTGCCATTGCTTTGTGCTCTGCGTTCGCTGGAATTCGCGGTCTCCCCCAATGTAAAACCTCAAAAGAAACCGCCCATTCTTGACAAACTTTTAGTGCTGAGATTGGTTTTAAAATGTGCGAGCAATTAATATGCTCCAGAGAAAGCGGTGGAAAATTAGGATTTCAGATTTTTGTTTTTTGTTTTTTTGTTTAATCAAAGTGTCATCTTTTTGGTCTTTAACTTTTACATGGGATAATCGATATATTGAATATTCTTGGTGTTGGATTTCCGATTTATCGATTATTGAAAATTCTGATATCGACGGAGCTTATTAGCAACGGAATCCAGTTACGAGACCCCAAGAAATGTGCATATGTTTTTCTCTGTTTTTCTCATTAAATGTACAGTATCCACTGAGCCGAAACTTCAACAAAGTTGTTTGGCACCTTTCTCAAGATTTTGAGCAATTTTGTTGTTTCAAAATTGACTTTTCAGGGTAATATTGCTAAAACTGTATGGCGTCGTACAGAACTCGGGAAAAAATCACTTTTTTTTCCAACAATAAATTTGGGTTAAAAAATCTGAGAGAATTCTTGTATCCAATTTGAAAACATTGAAAAAAAAATCTAAATAAAGGTCAGATATTAGGGATCCCTCGAGAAAAAGTGTGTTTTTATTGACTAGAATTTTTTTATAAAATTAAGGACAGCATATTGTACGGGACGGGCCCAAATGTGAGTCGTACGGGACATCTCTGAGAAATATCATAGTTTGGACTGAAACAGTGCACTAATCAACCATTTCATTTTCAGGTCACGATGTCTGCAGTTGATCACATCTACATCATTGATGTCGTAACATTAACAGTGCAATCATCTTGTGTTACCTTAGTTCAACAGAAAAGTACTTGTGTGACAGTGTCCTGTGTGTCATATGGGACAAAGCCATCTGTCGTTCGGGACGCAACTCTAATAATGCATTTGAAAAGAGAAATCCACAAATCCCTTTAATTTGACCCAAAATACCACATTTCCATTAAAACCCACTCATTTCATCGCTTTAGCTGGATTATTCAGGTATGCAATTCCCCCATCAGCTGATATTTCAGAGAATTTCTAAAAAAAAAAATATTTTTTTAAAACTTTCTAATATGGAATCAACCTCACTGTGACTGACATTACATAAAAGTGACACAGCAAAAAACACTTACAAAATTGCAATTTCTCTTCAACTGAAAGGCTCAGTAGATACGGTTCCATTAATTAATCATAGTAGATCAGTGTGTACATATGAGGAAATGTAAAATGAGATTTTTTAATTAATTAAAATAATTAGAACAGACCGGTATATGCAATTGAGACTCTGTGATTGACATTACCGTGACTGACATTACACATCCAACTGTGTGTTGAGGCACAGGGCTTACCTTTTTAATTTCCAAAAGTGACCATATTCAACAATAAAGTAATTTTTCAGCATCAAAACGCAGTCAGAAACAAGTAATCACAGCAATTAAAAACCTAAACAACATGTACATACTTGTTTGTCCATAGGCCCCCCCCCCCCCCAAGTTCTGCTTCCGGTTATCCGACCTAACCTATTTTTACGGCTGTGACCCTAACATTTTTATCAGCAAGTTAAAACAAATGGATACTCCATTATTTTGGAGAATTATCGACTGTAAATATATTTGACTTTAAAGGCAAGTTTTCATCACTTTTTGTGGCATTTCTTTTTATAGCTTTCGTAGCGCAAGTGGAAATAGTTCAGGCTGAGATTCGCATCTAGTTGAATACCCCATGCAATCAGCATAAAAAAAGGCCCCCCCCCCCCAAAGAGATGGTCAAAATAACCCGGCCCTTTTAGGGTTAAGCATGTCACTGTGCTGCTGTCAGTAGCATCTGTGGTGGGGTGGACCAGCAGATTTCACAGGTTGTGATCAGCGCCACCTTGCGTCGGCCGTGGAGAGTAGGGTTCAAAATCTGGCCGTGGCTGAAATCAAGTCTAATACAGTTCTTGACACCACAGCAGGTGTCGTAAGCCAACTGGAGAAATGGCTACTGTGGACAGGTGGCCACATTTTCTCCGAAAATAGGATGTAAATTAGCATTTAGATCATGAAATTCTGGCAAAGACTATCCGCAGGAGTCATTACGACACCACAGCAGGTGTCGTAAGCCAACTGGAGAAAAGGCCACTGCGAACAGGTGACCACATTTCCTGCGATCATTTACATCATGAAATTCTGGCAAAGATTATCCACAGGAGTCATGCAGATGGTGCTGATGGTTGCACATGCACTACGTTGTAATATTACATTGTAATTATTCCCCGACATGCCTGAAGAATTTGTAAAATCAATGATCGCTCGGCCGGTTTCAGACGCTACAGGAAGTAACAGTCAGCATGGTTTCGGCCGCTGCAGAGACTAATCGGTTAATTGCTTAAAGGGAATATACAACATCCAATTTTCAGAAATGTATGGAATTGGGGGGGTTAGTATTTTGGTGACTGCTCTATGTTCCGACACCCTATGTTCCGACAACCTAGATTGTGTTACTCCCGGTTAGGGTTAGGGTTAGGGTTAGGGTTAGGGTTAGGGTTAGGGTTAGGGTTAGGGTTAGGAATAGGAATATGTGCAGTCGGAAAATAGGGGTGTCGGAACATAGAGGTGTAACCAGTATTTTATAGCAAATATTGTTACACTGACTTGTTTGAAGTTTTGTGTTCGTAGATGCTGGGAAAAAACAAGAAAAACAATCATGTTCCCGTAGTCTGGTTCCCTGACCCCACTTAAGGTGAAACAGAGCAATTTATAGACATCGGAGAATTGTAAGGTCATTGAACCAGTCCAGCTGGCTTGCATCTGTTCATAGGTGTGTAATCAATTGCAAAAAAATGCGGACTAACTAAATATGGTAAATTGGGGGCAGTATTTGTAAAATCTGTTTTTCTTCCCCAACGCTGGTCGGCCAACCAGTGTTAGAAATTGATACAAAATACCACATTTCTTGAAAATGTCAGCACACCCATGTGCTATGATTTTATAGGATTCTTAAGACTGTCATTCACTAACAATCCAGTAAGGTTTTTTTTTTCAAAATAATTTGGTAGTTTTTTTTTTGGGGGGGGGCAAATGTTGTATATATATTCTCTTTAAATGCCAAAAAAAAAAAAAAGGAAAAAAAACAATATGTTCACAAGCTTGCCGAGATGGAACTCAAAATTTAAATAACATGCGATCCGGTCAGGTTTGTTTTTCAACGAATCAAGGATGTTGGGAAACCACAAAGCAACTGAAACACATGAATGCATACATCGCATCCCAGGTTTTTTTCATTGACAATCATTGATGTACCACATGTACACGCACCGAAACAATACTGAACCAATGCTGATGTGTTGGGTTGGAAGATTTGTAGCGTTGGGTACCGATCAGATATTGTATTTGACTTCCATACCCTCTTCACCCGAAACCCAAGCTCACCTTTACTTCCGTGACAGTTGAGGCGTTTTTGTTTCTGATGGAAATATTGTGACTCACAAAAGGTTTCCTAACCTCTTCTCAGGGTTGTAGCTATGCTGGCCAGTGCTGGCCAGCGTTCCAACTCACCGGCCAGCACTTGGGGTGAAAATGAAGCTTGCCGGCAGGCACAAATTTTTCTGCCATTACGTGGCAATTTTGAAGTTTTGACCGAGAAAATAGGCTTAAAAACTTGGTGTTGTCTCACTTTCCTCCATTTTTGTTTAAAATGTACTTTTTTTAAATAAAAATTTAAAATGAAAAATATGAGAATTTTTGGCTTATTTTTAACCAAAACAGGAACTAAATGGGATCAAGATAACAAATGTGTAGGTTTTATCAATGCAACTTTTATTGGAGTTTGTTACACATAAAGTATCATTATCTTTAATACAGTTCCTATTTAGAATTAAACGCAAAAAAACCAAATGTTACTATTGGACCCCTAATTTATAGAATGACCCAAAACCATCAAGAATTTAAAACCTCATAATTTGCTCAAGATTAAAATTACAGTTAAGCACAACTGCACATATATGGCATACAAATGTGTACATGTGCTCGGTTGGCCGGCACTAAAAATTTTCTAGCTACAACCCTGGCCTTCAAAAATGCCTGGTCTACCCTCCGAGTGGAAATTGATCTGAATGGTGGCACCATCTCTTACCTCCCCTCCCCCCCCCCCCCATTTGTCTCAGCTGGCCTTATTATCAAAGATGACACATTTCGCAGGTCTTTCCACCGATCACTAGAACCATTTACACAGGCGTGATAAGGGCAGTGTTTGAACACTGGCACTTGGCCTGTACTCATGATCGCTCTGTATATAATTTGTAAATACATTCATGGTACAAAAACCTTTTTTTTCCCCTGAATGCCAGCTGTGCGCCTAAAATTGCTACTTGAACAAGTATTTGCACAGATCTAGCCTTTTTTCCCCCAGAAGTTGCCAAAATGTGACAGTGAAATACTGTAAGTCTTCCTGTACAATTGTAGAGGCACTCTTGCAGTTTCAACAAAAAAACATCAAGATCCCCGATCTGGTTCAAATTTGGGCATATATCAAGGCTTACATTTGTGAGACAGGGCCAGCTACTGGTATATACATGTACATTTACTTTGTCTCCTGTATTTTCTAAGAACTTGTAGAATATTACAATTACTTGTACTACCAATATAGCAGGTTTGTGCAATACAGGGGGAGTGTGGCCAAGTGGTTTGGGTTCGACTGACTCATGTTCAAAGGTCGGGGGTTTGAATCCAGCTGCTGGCCATTGTGTTGTGTCCTTGGGCAAGCCACTTCACCCCCACTTGCCTCACTCTGCCAAAGAGAATTAATGGGTACGGGCATTAGCTGGGGAGTATACCTATGACGGACTGGCATCCCATCGAGGATTTGGAGGATTTGGGAAGGTTAGGGTTAGTGCCAGTAGCCCTTACCATGCAGAATTCGACAATATCCTACATGTATGTAATTTACAATGTGCATTTCGCCCAGAGGTTATGGTTAAAGGTACATGTAAGGCCAAAAAAAAAAGTCTCCGGTTTCTGGTATGCGCGCGCGTCGCCATAGCCATGCGCGTCGGCAAAATGAAAAAGTTTTTTTTCAATGAAAGATGATGTCTCAAAACCGCCAAACTCACTGGTTTGACTGGAATCAACCTGCTGCACAATTTTAACGTGTTTTTAGATTGGGTTATGGTCGAGAATAAGCTTTATGTGGCCTCTGTGGACTCCCATATATTTGCACTAAGTTTAGTCGGGCACCATTTGCAGTCATCAGCCGACATTGGAAGCAAAAAAATCAGGTAAAAAAAAAAAAAATGCCGCGTCGCCGCACCACTTTTTGGGCAAGCTCCATACCAGAAACCGGAGACTTTTTTGGGGGGGGGGCCTAATATACGGTACAACATTTGCAAACAGCAAAAAACAAAACTACCAAATTATTATGAAATACCTTACTTAACTGTAATACCTAACTTGACTGTAAGTCAGCAATAGTCTCAAGCATCCTGTGAAATTATGGCACCTGGTAAGCTGTCATTTTCAAGAAAAGTGGAATTTTTATATGAATTAAAAAAAACTGACCTTTTCCCCCCAAATCCGCTCCGTTCACAAGTACCCCCTCACCGGCAAAGAAAGTACAGTTGGGGGTGACCGAGCTACGCCATCTTGACTGCAATATTTTGCCGCGAAGCCCGGCCACTGCATGTACATAGAACAAATCCCCTGGTGTACGTGCGTCACACACAAGGAACGGTGCGCGTCAACCAGCTAAATGTCCCGCCCATGGGACGTCGTTGCTAGGTAAAAGGGCGCCCTCTTTCGTTGGCGCACGGAGCCCATAGTGCCCCCAATACCAAATTTGGTTAGTCCGCCTATTGTTTGCAATCGGTTACACATCTGTGTAAAAGCAAATGTTGTATATTACCTTTAACCCTAACGTACCTGAATCCATCAAAATCTACACCCCTGTTTCGGGAGATTTCGGCGGATTCAGGATACCTCCATATTGCACAAACTGCAGGATTTTGATGGATTCAGGATACCTCTATACTGAGCTGTTTGGGGACTTTGGCGGATTCAGGATCTCAACAGATTTACTCCCGCCTAACTGGTGGATTCTGATGGACTCAATGGCCACCAACATTTTCTTGCATGGCCAAATGGATGGATTTTGGTGAAATCAGGATACTTTCTAGTAAAAGAGCCCAAGGGGTTAGGGTTAATGTGCCAGTTGTATCAGTGTTGATCTGCAGTTATTTTTCTTTGACGCTCTTATCCAGGCTGAAGACCATGTCCTCCATGCGAGCCTCAGATGAACTCGACGAGGACCAAATCAGACAGATGCTCCACGACCTGGACTCGGCCTATCAGAGCTTTATACGGATGCTCGGAACCGGTTCGTGAGTGAATACTGCGAGGCAGTGATTCTCGGTTACTGAAGAAAATATTTGCAATATTTTTGCTTTGTTTCCCCCCCCTTTTTTTTTTTTAAGAAATTGATTGGTACTGCAGTCCAATTCAATTCAAATCACAAGTCTGGTTACATTAAGTCGCAGTTGATAAACAGTGACAAATGAATGCCATTTATGACCGACTGGTGGGGACTTCTAAGGCACCCGACTAAAATCCTGACAACTGTCATTTTGATTTAGACATTTTAGTGTGTCCATTCTTTCTTTAATTTAACCCTAACCGCCCCGAATCCTTCAGAATCCTCTTTGCCAAAGTGAAGGAATTTGGAGGATTGAGGTTACATGGCAAAAGTGCGTTTACTGATTTCGTAGGATGCACTTTGTCAAGGTCTTGGACCAGACTAGTGTTGTTTTTGCTCAGCCATGCATAAATATAGGCCTGGATTATGCTTGAAATCCTCCGCACTGCTCCAGGATGTCACTGGCCAAGCCTCGACATATTAACAGTCATTGCCGCAGGATTTTGCAGGATTTAGGCAGTGGTCACCCCTCCACGGACCATATTCAAGAAATAATGGAGGAATTTGCAGGATTGAGGCTTTATGCTATTTTTTTCATGAGGCCAATTGGAGGATTATTGCAGGATTGAGGCTACGTCCTAGCAAAAAAGGCCTAGGGAGTTAGGGTTAAATATAGGCCTACATTATGAGGCTAAAAACCTTTGTCTTCAGTAAAGATCCTGTTCTAAAAGTTTTGTGCAAATTTATATCAAATGAAACTTTACACCTGAAATTGTATATTTACCTCACATGCTTTCCTCTTCTTCATCTCGGTTGACTGATGTGTAGATAAACCCACAAGGTGAATAATTGTAGGGCTTGACACTTGAGATGGGTTCGTCACAAATTCATGAATTTGGGTTAGGCCAAAAAAAAAAAGTCTCCGGTTTCTGGTATGCGCGCGCGTCGCCGTAGCCATGCGCGTCGGCAAAATGAAAAAAAAAAATTTTCAATGAAAGATGATGTCTCAAAACCGCCAAACTCACTGGTTTGACTGGAATCCTGCTGCTGCACAATTTTAATGTGTTTTTAGATGGGGTTATGATCGAGAATAAGCTTTATGTGGCCTCTCTGGACTCCCATATATTTGCACTAAGTTCAGTAGGGCACCATTTGCAGTCATCAGCCGACATTTGAAGCAAAAAAGTCAGGTAAAAAAAAAAAAAAAGCCGCGTCGCCGCACCACTTGGGCAAGCTCCATACCAGAAACCGGAGACCTTTTTTTGCCTTATACAAACCTCAATTTTTTTACAAACACTGACAAAAAGCTGTTTTGTTTCACTCATTAGCACCCCCTCTACGTTGTATTACATTGTATCTTAGACGCTGATGAATCCACAAAACTAACTGAGCGCTCGGGCAGTTTTGGGCGATACTGGGAGTAATAGAAAGAGCATTTGCAGGCCCTACAGGGAGTAATAGGCAGGGCGTTTGAGGGCAGTAACCCTATCCATCAGATGTGTATAATATCACATATAAATGTCAGTATGACAAGAGATACGGATGTAAATGCAATGTGATACGTATCCTGAGTGTGAAGTTACATCATTCGTCTATAATTCACCTGTTTTTGCCCCAATTCTGAACTGTAAGGGCATCCTAATAGCACTTTACAGCTCATAAGTCATTTTTTTTTTCAGCAGATGTAGTTAACTTTCTCTTGTTTCACCGCTAAGATCCATTTTCAAGTTTTCCATCGACTGACAGATGGTCTTTTCAGAGATTGTGTTAACAAAGTTTGTTGATAATTGTCTCCGGGATGATTAACGTCCTTGCTCCGCTCACCATTTAGTTAATGGTCTTTGCAAACTCTTGCAGAAATTGATGCCCTAGATCGGCTAGCGTATTTCAAGGTTAGTGATTAGTTCTTGGCTCGTGCACATATGTAGTCCAGGCGTGCAACTTTTCCTCGGATCAGCTGATTTTTCAATTCACGCTTTTGCCATTACAAAAAGGAAAAAAACACTGTAAAAAGTTTTGTACGGCAAGGAACTTCCCCCCTTTTTTTTGTTACTTCCAAGTTGAATGCATTGTGTACATGTTGTTTGTGATAAGAGGATTCTATGCTCATCCGGTAAAATTGGAATTTCTTTGTCTGCATCCGATTTTCATGAAACTCAAGTTTACCATGCATCGCACCGCTGCGACGCGTCGTATCCCAACGTCGGTCGCAGCTGCGACACTTACTGCGATCCGTTTCACAAAACACGTCGTAAGTGTGACTGTTTTGTGTATTTATTCAGCCTACAGTAAATAGTCGTCTGATATTCAACAAAGAGTCGTTGGATCTCCTCTCAAAATTTTTTTAAACGTATAACAATATGACAGACGTGTGATTCAATTTTAAATGGAAAACAAGTTCTCTGTGGACTGTATAGCTACTTTGAAATTTCAACTGCAATATTCCACGCTAATTCATAATTATTCTATGCATTTTCCATTTACAAATTTACACACATTGTCTCGGTATTATAGTCTTGTTTCTGTATTTTTTTATGGCACGAAACAGGCTACGAAAAGGACGCTTCTTATTTTGCGATGACCACTAGACACGTCGTAACTTGCGACATGTTTTGAGCGGTTGTCGGGTTGCGACGCGTCGCAGCACTTCGTGAAATTGGGTGCAGGACTGTTATGAGCACATACAAGGATGTACATGCGTGTAATTTTATTTTTTTATTCAAATGAAATTGAATCCAGATCGACACACTTAGGTCAATGTATTTATTTGTCTTTAATAGACGGGGCTAAAAACAAACACCCCCTCCCCAAAAAAGAGTGTTTAGGGTAATTAATGAACCCAATCTACCGAGATTTTTTTAGGCCAAACCAAAGTTTGTATTTTCACATTTGGCCAACAATGTAAAATAAAGTATAAAGGAATTTAATTATTTTTAACTTGTGTTTGTATGTAATTGGTTAATTAAACAATAAAAGAGGTTAATTAAAGGGAATATACAACATTTGGTTTTGCTCTAATTTTCAGAAATAAATGGATTTGGAGGATTAGTATGCTATAGAAAATATTGTTAAACTGACTTGTTTCATGTTTTGGGCTTGTAAATGCTGGGAAAAGTAAGAAAACCAATTTTGTTCTTGTAGTCTGGCTCCCTGATCCCACTTAAGATGAAACGGAGCAATTTACAGACTTTGGAGAATTGTAAGGTCAAAGAATCAGTCTAGCAGGCTTGTACCCCTTCACAGGTGTGTAATCAATTGCAAAGAAAAATGCGGAATAACTAAATATAAAAAATTAAAAGCAATTTTTGAAAAAAAACCCAGTTTTCTCCAACGATGGTCGGTCGACCAGCGTTGGAAAAATACAAGTTTTCTTGATAATGTCAGCACACCAGGAGCCACGATTTTACAGAATGCTTTAGAATGTCATTCACTAACGACCCAGTAAGATATTTTGTTATAATTTGATCATTTCGTTTTTTGATGTTTGCAAATGTTGTATTTTCCCTTTAAACAGAGTACTGTTCAATGCATCCTTATGTTAACAAAGTAAGTATGAAAGACCGACAGACAAAAACAAAAAAAAGTTAAAAAGTACCGGTAAAATAATATGCCTACCTTTCCACCTGGATAATTTTACGGTCTTTAACGGAAACACAATGCCTCTTTGGCCATCCAATACTGTCCTCAAATAAACACAAAGTGTTACAATAATTTAGTAATTTTTTTTTTTCACTAGTATAAATATGATACGAATGCATGAACGCCAGGGTTCGACTTCAGCGGTAGCCTGCTAGCCAAATGCTAGTCAAAAGTATTACCACTGTGACCGATTGTGTCACTGAACTCTCAAGAAATCCTTCAACTTTCGTCCTGGTTGTAAAACGAGTGCACTTACACGACATACTTTTTTGTAATGGGCTCCAAGATTACTGACACAATGTACTTTTTTCAGCGGCGGCGGAACGGGTTTGAAACTAGGGGGGGGGGGGGGGGGGGCATCACCCAAAAGGGGCACTTGCTCAGCATTTTTTTTGGGGGGGGGGGGGGCTGGTACCATCTTCCAACATAGGGGGGCGCTCTTCAAAACTGATGATTATATGCTAACTATGCATTCTGTGCCCCTTTTCAGGGCGTATTGTGGGGCTTTGTTTTCATATTCCTCGTTTATATCAAAACTATCTATACCATTATTGGGAAATGGTTACTTCTAAGAAATAGAAAGATACTTTAAGGGCATTTTTCTTATCTCGAAGGGGCACTTTTATGCTCGAGGCGAGGGGGCACCTTTATGGCCGCAAAAGGGGCACTTGGGCAAATCTGGGGGGGGGGGGAAATGCCCCCCCCCCACAAATTAACAAAGCAAAGAAGGCCAAATCTGGGGGGAAAGATTTCACAAAAATAAAACTGTACAAAATTTGTATGTGTGACACTGTTTTTCAAGCTCAGAATCTTGCTAAGAATTTTTTAATTATTTAGTAGATTAGCTGCCTGTAAATAGTGTATTGAGTAAACATTGATAGTGACATATATGATATTCTTCATAATCTTTGGAACATTGTAAAGAAGCATGTAAATAAATAATATTACACTGTAATGACGTCTCGGATTGAATAATTACAGATCATGTTGAATTCCGACTTGGACATGAGTGGGCACTTGCTGGCACCTACTGAAAATAGACACCGCTGTTTTTCTGTGAAAATCTGACACAAAGAGAAAAGAAATTCCAATTAGCATCTATACTCCAATACCCTGTGAAACTAACGGCACATATATATTAATTCATGTAAAACAAACCGAAGTAAAAAACCCCTAAAAATTGAATTCGCAAAACTAATTACCTTGGACCTTGATCCACCTGGTACCAACACGTTGCCATTTTGCCACCCCCCCCTCCCCCCTCCCTCCCCTTCTATCCGCTGTCAAATTCAGACACCCCAACACTACGAAGAACCAATGGTTAAAAGACTTAACTAGCCACTCCTTAGTCCGAGGGCATCTTTGTCTGCATTGGGACGGAGGTGCGAAGTTATTAAACCAGTGGCATTAAAAGACGTGATTGGTTGACACCGCAGCGTCAGTAGATGGTTAGTGCTCGGTCGGTCGGTATCGGAGTTTTGGGACAGTGTCTGCGAAGAGAAAGGACGGGATCGTTGTCAAGTGGATTTCATTTTGAGTCGAGAGGATTATACATTGTAAGTGATACAGTTTCTTCTAATTTCTGTGTTTGAGGTTTTGCTTTTTAAGTTGATCGAAGAAATTGATTGGAGTGGGGTTTGAACCTACGAACTCCAGAATGTTGTTCCGGTGCTCTACCAACTGAGCTCAGTGTCCAGCCCTATGTAGCGGTTCCCCATTTCGTCAGTGTCTTTGTCATTTGTGTTTAATTTTAACACACGATGACACAATTTCTGGCAATGTACATAATTTTTAAGTAAACCCCAATGGGAAAAAATGACATGGTTCACTTTGACCAAAAATTGGCTCGGCCAACGAAATAGACTGGAGCTAGGTTTAAATCTGAAACTTCTGATTCAAACCCTGCACAAATCAGTGTCTTTTGCCTTGGATAGAATCTGTCTTGGAAGCAAATGTAAATGAGATGCTTCGTGAAATGACCGTTTTGGGTTGAAGAATTGACATCAATTATTAAGTTAGAACTAGACTTTAAGGTAGAATTGAAACCAACTGAAAGAGACTCGCAAAAATCTGATGGTAAATATTTTGAAAACAAAAATATGCATATGATGAGAAACAGAAAGATAAAAAAGCAAAATGTAGCCACACAAAAAAAATCCCAGAATATAAGAAGCGTAAACTCCAGAGTATGTGTTATAAACTTCTGTGGCAGTTTGTAACATAATTGAAAGTAGTACTTCACAAAATTGTTCATTGAAATTCATTTGCCAAAGAATTAATGATTTTTTGAGGAAGTATGTTTCACTATGAATGGTTGGATTAACCTTAATCCCCCTTAATCCCCCTTAATCCTCAGCCGTAATCCAGTATGGGTGATGAGGAGAACGCAGCGTTGGTCATTGACAATGGATCAGGCATGTGCAAGGGTGGATTCGCCGGGGACGATGCGCCGAGATGCGTCTTCCCCTCCATAGTCGGTCGCCCCAGGCATCAGGTAAGCTGCCCCTGTCACAGTGTTTATATTTATGTATTAATAACACCCCTGCTAATTGTGCCCCAACTCGGCTCCCTGGGGAGTATAAAATACAGCTCAGTGCTGCCATTTTTCATTCTGGTGCAAACACAATCTTTGCCCTCAGAGGTAAGGTAAAGGTTAAGGTCCCATAGCCATTACTGGCCGTAGGGGCAGTGGGATGTTAGAGGTCCACTGTGTCTTGGGCGCGGCATATGAGTGGCGGGGTCCAGTCCTCTCCTCTCGCCGTCTTGTTTTCCCTGAACGAATCAGGTACCCATTTTACTGCTGGGTCGTCAGAGAGAGTTTTCCAGTTTTTGGTCCAAATGGGATTCAAACCGCCAACCTTCCACTCCATAGCTCCACGCTCTAACCGCTCGGCTACAAGGCCCTTCTCAGGTACTGGTACCTATATCTCTCCTGGGTGGAGAGAACCTATTAGTGACAAAGGGTGTTGCCCTAGGTCACATGCACCACTGCAAATATTAACGCAATTTACACTTAACAGTATTTTAATCTTTGCTCATTGTAGTTAAGTATTATTATTATTTTAGTATTATTTATTTCTGGTAATGAAACCAAGGATTCCTAAAAAGCGCCCTAGGCACTGTAGATCACAAGCCTGAAGAAACCTGTAGAGAGGAGACAATGAGAAGAAATTACAGTTTTAGAGGTGGGAGGAAAACCCCAGAAGATATTCTGGGGAAAACCCACGGAATCAGGTAGGGACTGAAAACCCAATCCTTATTGGCCCAGGCAGGATTTGAACCCGGGTCACAGCGGTGGAAGGCGAGGAAAGTACCACTCCGTCAACCTGACTCCATTACAAGTCAACGGCAAGTCAACATACAAGCTATTCAAGTGGTATTCAATGTGACATGGGCATTCTTTTTGTCATTGTTGGTTATTGTGATGGCCATTGTCAGATGTGCAACATGTGACCATATGACTTGTGATTTTAATTGAGATTTTCATTGTGATTCCACTTTCGACTTATGACTGACTTGTGATCGACTCGATTACAATTTTGTCTCAGCACAGATCATGATCTATCTTGTCAACTAGCAGTGTTGTAGGACTCGAGTCCAGAACTCGGACTCGGACTGATTTTAGCTGCCTTGCACTGAAATGGCTGCATCGAACTGTATACTCCCCAGGGAGCTGAGATTGTATTTGGAATGTTTCATTGGCCCAATGATCAGGGGTAATAACAATGATCTTTAAAGCGCTATGTAAAAAGCTGTTATTATTATTGTACATCATGGGTTTTCCAATGGAACTTAAAATAGATGCTGTTTTGAATTGAAACAGGGTGTGATGGTCGGCATGGGACAGAAGGACAGCTACGTCGGGGAGGAAGCCCAGAGCAAGAGAGGTATCCTGACCCTCAAGTATCCCATCGAGCACGGCGTGGTCACCAACTGGGATGATATGGAGAGGGTCTGGCACCACACCTTCTACAATGAGCTACGGGTGGCCCCAGAGGAACACCCCATACTACTGACCGAGGCTCCGCTGAACCCAAAAGGCAATAGAGAGAAGATGGTCCAGGTACGATTACCTTAAAAAAAAACAAATTAAATATGCAAATATTTCTGGCAAGATTGTGCCTTGTACATGATTATTAACTCTGAGCAGTAGGACTGTACAGAATTCTTGAAACCATGTCCACTCTTTCAATAAACATACAGCTAAACTATTAAAAAATTCAGTTGAAATGAGGCCATATCCTAATCAGGATTTAAACCTGACCGGCATAGTACCTATGTAGATATGTATTAATTGTATTAATGTCATCACAAGTCAATCGCAAGTCAATTACAAGCCAATCACAAGTGAATTACAAGTCAATCACAAGCCAATCACAAGTCACATCAAAAGTCAATCACAAGTCAATGACAAGTCAATGACAAGTCAAACACAAGTCAATCACAAGTCAATCACAAGTCAATCACAAGTCCATCACAAGCCAATCACAAGTCACATTGCAAGTCAAGTGACAAGCTATCAAATGAACTACATTGTATAACATTCCTTTGTCATTGACCTGTAATTTGACTTGTGAATGACATATATGATTAACTTGTGATTGACTGGTGATTAAGTTGCATTTGACTTGTGATTGTGTTTGACATGTGATGGACATGTGATTGTCATATGATAGACTTGTGACTGACTTATGATTAACATGTGATGGACTCATGATTGACTCATGATTGACTTGCTTACAACTCTGGGCAGATGGTTCTTCTTGAACCTAACATCCAATTTTCAAAGTCTTTTCCGCTTTTTTTCCCTCCTACAGATCATGTTTGAGACTTTTAATTCGCCAGCCTGCTATGTTGCCATCCAGGCCGTCCTATCGCTCTACGCATCGGGACGCACCACCGGAATCGTTCTAGATTCCGGTGACGGCGTCTCACACACCGTACCCATCTACGAGGGTTACGCTCTGCCCCACGCCATCTGCAGGCTGGACCTGGCTGGCCGGGACATGACCGATTACTTGATGAAGATTATGACTGAGAGAGGCTACTCCTTCACGACAACAGGTTAGCATTAAAAATGTTGGTAATTTTCCCCCCACTTTTTTTGCAGAAGGTACCAAATTATAATTAATCAAAATCCCCCCCCAACCAAAAAACATCAGTTCTTCAAAATTTGATAATTAAAGTCAACATTCTTTCAGTTCTTGTTCCTGCAAAAAATAAATCAGTCCAGAACTGCCAACTGCCATGGCATATATACCATTTTCATGAAATCATCTACGGTTCCGTACCTGTTTGCAAACTTTCAAAGCAAAGTTGTCTTTTCTTTTTTGTTTACAGCTGAGCGTGAGATTGTACGTGACATTAAGGAGAAGCTGTGTTATGTGGCAATGGACTTTGAACAGGAGATGAAAATTAGCGTCGGTAGCTCCACCATCGAGAAGAGCTATGAGCTACCAGATGGGCAGATTATCACTATAGGTATGTTCGCAGCGTAGGGCTTGTAATACTAATAAAGTACTTTTTTAGGGGGGGGGGGGTGGTGGGCTAGTGGTTGGGGTCTGTGACTCACGATCAGAGGGTCAGGGTTCAAATCCAGCTGCTGGCCATATGTTGTGTCCTCGGGCAAGCCACTTCAACCCACTTGCCTCTCTCCACCCAGGAGTATAAATAGGTACCACCATTAGCTGGGGAGTTACCTGCGATGGACTGGCATCCCATCCAGGGGAATAGAAATATTCTCATCGTTTTATGCAAAAGGAAACCGGAGATGGGCCATATTGGTTGCAACAAACTTTATTATTAATTTTTTGTGTGTGTGTGCATTTTTGAGCATCAAATTATTAAAAATGCTCTCATGTGCTTTACATATCCAATAATGATTAAGAAGATGGAAATAAAAAATAAATATGAGATAAAATAACTAAAATTGCCTGGTAAGGTGCTGTGAAGGATTTTTTAATAACAGGTTGATTAATTGTCTTTGTACGATAGAATGTTGCTATAATAAACATGATGGGGTCCACAATAGGTTGTTCGGAAAAAGTGTTGCAACCTGACACCACTTTTTTTCTTCATATATTATCTCAATGAAGGTCAGTCATTGCAAATATGATGATAAGACATGAATCTGTTACTGAGAAAAAAATTCCAATTTTGTTAGGAAATACCCTGAAAATTTTCTTGACTCGCCATAGACTTTGTACACAACCGCTGAAGTGGCATCAGGTTGCAACATTTTTTCCCGATTGTTCAGTGTAGCTGTCATTCATTATGCCAGGGTGCCAGTGACTAGTGCAATTTTTCAACTCCTCCAAAAAAAAAATTGTAGTCTTGACTTCTATTACTTTTTCTCGGATTGAAAGATTCTGCTGCCCAAGCACGTACATATTTATACAATATTGAACTCATAAACAAACCACCTAGTGTCAGTTGGAACATTTCAGGATTTTTTCATCCTCCGACACCTCAAACCAAATTTACATTCTCGGTTTTTGTTTTTGTCGTCACCCTCTCCAGGCAACGAGCGTTTCCGCTGCCCAGAGCTCATGTTCCAGCCGTCCTTCATCGGCATCGAGTCGGCCGGCCTCCAAGAGACCACCTACCAGAGCATCATGAAGTGCGACGTGGACATCCGCAAGGACCTCTACGCCAACATGGTCCTCTCCGGCGGCTCCACCATGTTCCCGGGCATCGCCGATCGCATGCAGCGCGAACTGACCACCCTGGCCCCCAACACCATGAAGATCAAAGTGGTGGCGCCCCCCGAGCGCAAGTACTCGGTGTGGATCGGGGGCTCCATCCTGTCCTCCCTGTCCACCTTCCAGCAGATGTGGATCAGCAAGCAGGAGTACGACGAGTTGGGGCCAGGCATTGTGCACAGGAAGTGTTTCTAGTACCCCATGTCACGGTAAAATCGGCTTACATGTACACCCAAAATTTTTCCCAAAATCCAAGATACGTTGTAAATCTTTAAAATTTCTGTAAGAAATCTGCAACTCTAAATTGCCCAGTCCCTGAATCTTTCTATAAGTGATTCTCTAGACTCCTACTGATTCTCCCCCCCCCCACCGCCCCAGTTCAGAAGCTGACTAAAATTATACTAGTACAATGGGGGGCGTAAAATCAACTTAAAATGGCATGCTCAAAGTTCCTAATTTTAATTTCAAATTGCCTTTTAATGCATGACCATCATAGATATATTTCAAACGGGACAAGTGCCGAAACTATCCCCCCCCCCTCTTTCTTGGAGCTTGATCCGCCCCTACTAATATTGCCAAGTGTAGTCTTGCAAAGTGGAAGGACCCAAAACCACCTCCCACTATCTATCCCAAATTCTGTATTAACCCTAAAAGGGCTGGGTTATTTTGACCATCTCTCAGCGCGGGGGGGCATTGAGTGACGAAAAAATGTGAAACTCGGTACATGCATAGAGCAGCTCGTCATGAACATACCCAAGAAATTTCATGACTATAGGTCAAAGGGTTTTGGAATTTTGGCTAATTAATTATTCATATGTATGAATGGTAATTGTGCTCTGTGTACTCGACGTATATGGGAAAATTCAGTTTTCATGGTGCGTAGCGCCAAAAATTTGTGAAGGGGGGGGCGGATTCCCCCCCCCCCCCCCCCCCCGGCCCTTTTAGGGTTAAACTACATCCCCCTAAGTCTGCTGGGGTAGCTAGTGCTTATCTTTTAAGGAAGAATTTGTTTGCAAGGATTGATGCAGTATGGCCTAACTTTCCCAAAGCTCAAACTTTTTCTGCAATTAAAAAAAATATGGCATTTTATTCCGCACAAACAATTCGACTGAAGTGGCATAAAATCTTGACTGTACTTACGTGATCACTGCTTTGTGTAATATGCTTCTACATAGATGTTAATTTCTGTACACTTTACTTGTAATATCTCTGTATAGAAACCATGGCTGTATTTTGTGACGGGTTAATTAGTTTGACATTTGAAACAGTTATAAGCAATGAGCCAGTTCGGCATTCCGATGAAGTAGTCCAGGTCAAAGGTCACTCCCGATAAAATTGCCGACGGGATGTTACGCAATGTTACGCGAACGCCCATTCTGTTCGTAGTTAACACGCGAGCGTCGTGCGCCTGTCTACGTGCGCGTTCATGCGCCTTCGATGATCATTCGACCCGTTACCCATATCGTTGTGCGCATGTGCAGTTGAAATACGAAACTGGCTTATAATACATGTATATTTGCAAATTGTTTAAAGATCGACTGTTTTGCGGTTGTTTAGACTGACTCGAAAGACCAATCATTGTCTTAAACTGAATTCTATTTGGGACAATCTGTGTCGTTCCTCATGCTATTTGGTTTGGCGCAATGCTGGATTAACGTATGAAACGCCAATTTGAAAAAGTTGGCCGTGATTTGTATAGAACTAGTTTGGTTTGGTTTTACGCTAAAGGTTAATATGTGTTTTGTCATCTAATTAAAATAAATTCCTGTGGATATTTTCAGATTGGCAAATTTTCAACTTGGTTTATCTGATATTCAGTCACATTTCACTGTTAATTTATTTAGTTTGTTGAGAATGGCAAATAAATCTTTGCATCATAGAAAGTATCCGACTAGTCTCTCCCTGTGTACTGAATACAAGTCCTAGTCTGGTATCCAATGCCCTAATGTATGCTCAGTTATATATATAGCAATGAAAGGTACTGATGATCTCTTGCGAAATTTTCTAAGTATGAACCTAATCTTTATATATAAGAAACGAACGCTTGTTGTTGGGGGGACCCGAGTGGCTCAACAGGTTAAGTCGCTGCCTGGCAGAACTGCTCCGGTGGCCGAGAACCGCTCCCCAAACAGGATCAAGCTCCAGCAGGGTAACGAGCTAGCTAAATGAGCTAGCTTGAAGAAGAGTTTTGCTTTTATTTTATTTATTTAATATGCCCAAGTAAAATAAAATTTCCCTTACCAGGATTTGAACCCTGGACCATGCGGTCCAGAGCCCAGTGTCCTAACCACTGGACTACTTGATTTTCTTACTAACATATGCTCGGACCTTATATTTATCTTACAGCATGGAATACAGATAATATAATTTAATTAAAAAAGTACATTGCTGGGGTTTGAACCCAGAACCCCTCAGTCCAGAGTTCAGAGCTCTAACCACTGGGCCATTTGGTTTTCTTAGTAAGATGTGCTCGGACCATATACTTATCTAACAGCATGGAATAATGGAATTAAAAAAAAAAAAATAAGTAAAGAAATTACACCTTTCAAACTCTTTCATTCATTCACACATGTTAAAAACAAAAATTCATATCACAGCTTCAAGTCGTTTTAATTGTTTTTTAAGGCAAAGAAAATATTACAAACTTTTATACAGATATGCAGAACTGACATACATATATATATGTTTCAGCTTAATATTTTTTAAAAACTAAGTAAAGAAAATCTGAAAATTGTAGTTTCTTAAATCCCAGCAACAAAATATTGGAAAAGTCAAATAGATTTATCTACACTTCATTAACAAATTTGAAATAATTTAAAATGTTAAATAAGTTAAAATAGAATTTATAAAATAAACTATTCACAAGATACAACTTACTCCACTATTTACAAATATATCCTCTGTAGTATTTTTTTCACATGGCAGAAATGTAAAAACATGACTTTTTTTTACAATAAATAATACCAATATAGTATTCCTTTGGCAATAAAAAATATCTGAATTTCAATTTTTAAATCAGTATTCGAACTTGCATAGATGGGTAAATTGATATATGTGACCAGTCACTGCAAAATCAGCGTGAAGTCATACTTTTTAGGCATCGAGATATTGTTATTTTTGGATTTTGCAGAACAAAAGCTTTCTAATGCATATAACATTTGGGGCTACTGAGTTCAGTAACGGAAATATAGAAATATAGTAACAGAAATATGTAAAAGTAATTTCCCTGTGTTGTATAACAGTTAATGAACAGTCAACTAAAAAGAAAATAGCACACCGCTTCCGTTAAATTTGCCCATGGATTTAGGTGGTCGTAAAATCACAAGATAGACCGAGTGAGAATGCACTTATCTAGATCCATCCTCCATACTTGATCTTGCTAGGGACGTAGACCTTGGTCAGGTAGTCCCTTGAGATGGCTGTCAAGCATTGGATCTCGGCTTTTCTACCCAGGTCCAGCAGAACCTGCATCTATTGAGAAACAAAGTGCAAATTTACGGCCGGATATTTTAGAGGGAAAAAAAATCATTATTATGTCCAGAAATCGTATTGGAATGTGTTCTAGGGTCCTATAGGCATCTTTTCAGCAAGTTTGAAGCAATTTCATTTTTTGACCAAAATTGAAAAAAACACAAGGGGTAGGCCTTACTTTTTTGATGAAATTTGGCCAAAAAATGTTTTTCCTCCAAACTATGCAGAAATACCTTTCAAGGCAAGAGGAGCATCAATCAATATTCAAACACCCAATATATTGAAGATTTGGACAAAAATCTTTGATTTTTAGAGGGGAAAAAAAAATCATTATTTTTGCCTGATTTCACCCCAAATTTTCGTCAAAATTTCAATTTGAAAAGCACATCTGTCCAGAAATCGTATTGGAATGTGTTTTAGGGTCCTATAGGCATCTTTCCAGCAAGTTTGAAGCAATTTCATTTTTTGACCAAAATTGAAAAAAACCACAAGGGGTAAGCCTTACTTTTTTAATGAAATTTGGCCACAAAATGTTTTTCCTCCAAACTATGCAGAAATACCTTTCAAGGCAAGAGGAGCATCAATCAATATTCAAACACCCAATATATTGAAGATTTGGACAAAAATCTTTGATTTTTAGAGGGAAAAAAAATCATTATTTTTGCCTGATTTCACCCCAAATTTTCATCGAAATTTCAATTTGAAAAGCACATCTGTCCAGAAATCGTATTGGAATGTGTTCTAGGGTCCTATAGGCATCTTTTCAGCAAGTTTGAAGTAATTTAATTTTTTGACCAAAATTGAAAAAAACACAAGGGGTAAGGCTTACTTTTTTGATGAAATTTGGCCAAAAAATGTTTTTCCTCCAAACTATGCAGAAATACCTTTCAAGGCAAGAGGAGCATCAATCAATATTCAAACACCCAATATATTAAAGATTTGGACAAAAATCTTCGATTTTTAGAGGGGAAAAAAAAATATTATTTTTGCCTGATTTCACCCCAAATTTTCGTCGAAATTTCAATTTGAAAAGCACATCTGTCCAGAAATGGTATTGGAATGTGTTCTAGGGTACTATAGGCATCTTTTCAGCAAGTTTGAAGTAATTTAATTTTTTGACCAAAATTGAAAAAAACACAAGGGGTAAGGCTTACTTTTTTGATGAAATTTGGCCAAAAAATGTTTTTCCTCCAAACTATGCAGAAATACCTTTCAAGGCAAGAGGAGCATCAATCAATATTCAAACACCCAATATATTAAAGATTTGGACAAAAATCTTCGATTTTTAGAGGGGAAAAAAAAATATTATTTTTGCCTGATTTCACCCCAAATTTTCGTCGAAATTTCAATTTGAAAAGCACATCTGTCCAGAAATGGTATTGGAATGTGTTCTAGGGTACTATAGGCATCTTTTCAGCAAGTTTGAAGCAATTCCATTTTAATTAAATTTTAATTTCTTAAAATGTTTACAACAAAATTCACCAGAGTTGGAATGTGCTGACATTTTTAGTGAATGTGAAGAGTTGATTTCCAAGACGTGACATATCTATTTGAAAAAGGTAAAAATTTTGCACATGTATGAAACTTTAAAGATTAAAAGCCGTTTCTAAACTTCTTTTTTCGCTTAATTGGATTCTAAAGTTGTGTTTAAGTATATAACAGCCGTCAAAATTGCTTCTGGGCAACCAGCAGAGAGCAGGATTCTAAACAGGAACAAAATGGCGTATATAGCGTATATCGCATTTTCGAAATAAACTCTTCACTTGCAGTTCAGATATACTTGCTGAGATGCAACACATCCTTCGCATCACGTATATAAACCGGCTTAAATAAGAAAGAAATGGAAGTCGTGTGACCTGAATTTTTTTTTTAATACTAGCTTTTTGAGAAAATTACTTCACTTAATGTCCCTTAACATTTAAAAAAAATTTGCACAGCTGAGAAATAAAAGGATTTGTGTGTGTGTGTGAAGAAGACAATGTCAGACAGAAAAGGGAGCGGGGTGGGGTTGGGGAAAGGGGGCGGGGGCGGGGGAAGGAGGAGCGGCATGGGTGTCGCAAGGGGGGCACTAGCCCCCCCCTGGAAAAGCAAAAACAAAAGGAGAAGAAAAAAAAGGAGGGAAAAAAAGGGGAAAAAAAACAAAAGAAAAAGAGGCGAAAAGTCATATTGCTGTTAATTTAATTGGTGGGGGGGGGGGGGGTGGGCAAATGTCCCTGCCCACCCTTGAAAAAATGATAAATTGAGAATATGCTGGAAAAGTACAGGGATTTCGGGGAGAAAATGTGCTTTGCCCCCCTCTAGAAAAAAATCCTGCCGACGCCCATGAGGAGGGGGAAATGGGGGTGGGGGGGGGGACCAAAACTCCTCTGAGTCCTATAGAACTGCCCCTGGCCCAATTAACCCCAGTTTATCCCCTACAAGTCCTTACCTCTTTCATCCAGTCTGGGAGATGTTTATAGTAGGGCCTCCTCATCAGTTCCTTGGCCTTCCTGAGGTCAGACTTACTGAGTGGGATCAGGGCATCTCTGGGCACTTGGAGTCGATCGATGTCTGAGGGAAGGATGCCCAACCAGCGGATGCATGGAACAGTCAGGCTGTGAGACTCGTAGGACATGGACTGTATAGTATTCATATTTGAAAATCAGAAAAACAACATCAATATGAACATAAAATTGAAGATATTTCAAAATGAAACGAGAAATTACACACAAACTTTTATTCGGGGCTTTGTTTTATAAAAAAAAAATGGATTTTCCTTTGCCCAATTATAATGACAAAAAAAAATAAAATAAAATCTTAAATTCTGTTGAGTGATTTTGTTTCCGAGGATTCTCAGAAAATTTAGGTTACACTTGAAATCATGAAAAGGGGAAATTCTCATTTTATAAATTTTTCAAGAAAACTGGTTTTACCTTGGAACCAAACTTGTAAACACAAAGTATCTCCAGACCTGGACAGAAAATCAGATCATCGATGGATATGTTAAAATTTATATTTTTCTTAATCCTAATTTAAAGGAGCATTTACTTGCTGCTCAGAATTTTGAAATACACACTCAATTGCGAAGATAGAATAACAGTATTTAGTCCTTGGAAAGACTGAAGAAATATGATTACAGTTTATCACAACTCTTTTGCTCTGTTGCCCAATAAAATGGAATTTAATATACAAACAGGAATTGACCTATCGCCGTTTGCGAGTTACCCAAGCCCCTTAGACAACCCTATGGAGTTTTTGTACACTAATATCTGTTTGTCTCAGATTTTTCGCGTTCCGCGTCCATTTGTATATCATGTAATTGGACAATATTTCACAAGCTGCGTTGACGCGATTCTAACGCGGTTCAACCGCGATAAGTCAATTGCTACCATTCTCAACATTTCTTCTTCATAGTTCTTACCATGAGGGTCAGCATCAACCAGACCCAGGATTGGTATCTGTAAGGTGGTCCACAGTTTCCTGACCATCAGCCGAGTGTTCACATCAGGAAACCCTTTCCCCTATTCGAAGTAAAGCAACAAAGCTGGGTATTAGTGCAGGTGACATCATTTTACATGAATCAATTTGTATTCAAAAGTGTTGCATATTGGTGCAGGGGTCCTTAAAGTTTTTTTTGGAGGACATCCTGTTTTGGGAAGAAATTTGCAGATACACCATGTGATGTGACTTATTGTTAAACAAAAATTGGATTTTAGAAGGATCAGAGGTTTTCTTTAACTTAACATAGTGAGAAATTTTAATTGAACACATTTTATGGCTCCACCCGCTGTTTGACACTTTTAAGTTCACATTTACAATATTGGCTCAAGAGTGTCCCCATTGTTTTCTTATTCCGTAACTATGCTACTGCACCTTTAATATTTTATGGCAATAAGTTAGAAAATGAGGTCTAAGTCAGTGCACAATTTTAAGATTCTTTACAATGATTTTCTACTGGAACAAAATAGGAAATGAAAAATAGAATCTCCAATCTGCATTGAGTCTGTACTCGTACAAGCTAGACAGACCGACAGACCAACAGACTGTAGGGCACACACTCACAGTGATGATGATGCAAGGCCACATGTCTTCTAGCATTCCATCATCCAGTAGTTTCTGAAACGTTGCATCCTTCTCCACGACAAGCACAAACCTGGCTCGTGATTGCACGTCTTGAACAGAATACTTAAAGAAAATTATCGGGATCACAAAACGTCCTTTCTCATAACACAAGAAATATCTGCTTTAAGTCTCAAATATTGAGGCCACTGTGACACTGAGCAATAAAGTAGTATACAACATTTGCAAACATCAAAAAAAATAAAAATAATAACTACAAAATTATTATGTAATATATTATTTGACTTTAAGTGAATAATAGCCTCAAGTATCCTGTGAAATCATGGCACCTGGTGTGCTGTCATTTACAAACAAAGTGGAATTGTTGTATCATTTTCAAACGATGGTCGGCTGACTTTTTTTAAAAACTGCCCCCAATTTACCAAATTTAGTTAGTCCACATTTTGTTTGCAATCGGGTACATACCCGACTGAACGGGTGCAAGCCAGCTAGTCTGGTTCCCTAACTTGACAATTCCCCGATGTCTATATAAATTGCTCCGTTTCGTCTGAAGTAGGGTCATGAACCAGACTACAAGAACAGCATTTTTTTCTTAGTTTTTCCAGCATCTCATGAACACAAAACTTTAAACAGATCAGTGTAACAATATTTGCTATAAAATACTAACCCCCAAATCCATCCATTTCTGAAAATTACAGCAAAAGCAACTGTTGCATATTACCTTTAAAACTTGGTTTGAAAACTGCAATTTATTTTTCAAAGGATACTGCTAATGTCCTGTACATGGACAGGTACAAGTACGCCCTGGAAGTAAACCAAATATTTTCGACGTGAATAAAATATTGAATTGATAATGAATTTTTTTTAAATACATGACTGATGAATTTTGAACTCTATAACAAAATTTGGACACTTTAAGTCAGTTTTTAGAATTACAGTTGAATGTTTTTGTCCTGATGTTAGCCACTTACAGTTTTTGAGGTGCTACAGTCAACGTGATTGCCATCGACTTCAGTGAACTTCAGATCGCCAGCAATGAACCCTTTTGAAGTGGCAAGCTAAAAATACAATGACCATAATTTTAGTTCATTTCTTTACTGTCAAGTAGCTGTACATATTTATTCCACCTCGAAAGTGACTTCAGAATATTATGAAATGATCACGCACCACATGCAAACTTCTCCTTGGAACATTCAACATGCAGCAAATGTTCTCCATCGTCTCATCCAGCGTGGACTGGCTTCCAAACAACTTGGTGTCATTGTAGTACAGATCTCTGTGACAAATACAAAAAAGTCAACCGTATTTTTTTTAAAAAGATATTGGATTTGGTAAAAGTCCGTCCTGAGCGGATTGCTATTGTATGTTTTTAAAAAAAATTTAAAATATTTTTAGCAGGAAACAACTGAATCTATTTTGATTCCTTTTTGATAGGATGCCAGTCTATCAAAGGCTAATGCCGGTGCCGATTTGTATTCCTATGTGGAGAAAGGAAAATAGGGGTAAAGTACCTAGCCCGTGGAAACAGAACACTGCCATTAGTTGGATTGGAACCCCTGACCCTCCCATTAGACTTGAGGAAAAAAGGGGTAAAGTGCCTTGCTCGTGGACACAAACCGCTGCCATTAGCAGGATTGGTTAACCCCTGACCCTCCCATCAGACCTTAGGAAAATAGGGGTAAAGTGCCTTGCCCATGGACACAAAACACTGCCATTAGCAGGATTGGAACCCCTGACCCTCCCATCAGACTTTAGGAAAATAGGGGTAAAGTGCCTTGCTCGTGGACACAAACCGCTGCCATTAGCGGGATTGGTTAACCCCTGACCCTCCCATCAGACCTAAGGAAAATACGGGTAAAGTGTCTTGCCCATGGACACAAAACACTGCCATCAGCAGGATTGGAACCCTGACCCTCCCATCAGACCTTAGGAAAATAGGGGTAAAGTGCCTTGCTCGTGGACATTTTTTTCTCTGGAAAAAGTAGCAAAGCCATATCATTGTATATACCACAGTTTTATACTCACCGTTTTGTTGAGTACGTGTTGCTTTGGACAAGTGTGTAACACATGGCCACGACTCTCAAAGTGATGCCTGTAAAGGAATCAATCAGCAAAATTAACAAACTGTGGAACATTAATCATGCAGCCAGAAAAATCAGGTCCATATTTATAATAGTCAACCTGTCAATTAAAAAAAACAAAAACCAACACTATTTAAACCTACAAAATTCAGTATGCTTCAAGAAAATGCCATTGGCTTTCTTTTTAGGTTAGTTAGATCCTACAACCTTCACTGCATGCGTACAACAGGGTACAGGTTATGCTAATAAGTAATATCTGCAATTATTTTTGCCTATAAGTGTCGGTAAGGAGCAAGAGCACTCCTACTGACAGTTACTGACCAAATTTCTTCACCGAGTTGGCTGCATCAAACCGAACCTCTGTGAGGGCTGGTTTGCCTTTCATCTCTAGACCTACGTCATCTGTGAATCTAAAAGAAAAATAACAAACATAGTGTTTTTAAACCTCATTCAAGTTTAAAAACAGTTCCAAGAGGGAATGGTATCATGTACCTTATATCATACAGAACATTCAGCATTTGGAAAAAAATGTATTTAAAAAAAAAGATGAATTTAGATGTCATCCACTTCGAACATGTTGGCGTCATGTTGTTACGGGCCCAGTTTCCTCCTGTAGAGAACAAAATCATTTATTTGACCTACCAAACTACTTGGCAACATTAAGAACATGCAAGTAAATCATAGATAGAGGGCAAGGTTTTGAATTTTTGAGGGAAATTGGGGGTAAAATGATGATGACAACGACAAAACGCAAAGATGGCGCTTGCCACAATGTACTGTGAACGGGCAAGGTGCGCTGAATCGCATGGCACCAACTGTAAACCACGTACCCCCTAAGAAACTGTTCAAATTACCCAAAAAGGTGTCATTCTAATTGAAAGAAGTCCACTGTAGGTTGAAAAGGTCATTTTTTAATGATAAAAAACACTTGTGACTGTAATTTGATCGTAACTACACGATCATCAACACTTTAATTAAAAGCAAGAACATTCTTTTCACAAACTTATGTTTGAAATTTGCCAACTACAACACTACAGTAAATCAAGTTCCTTAAGAACTTACTGAATATTATCCCATCTGCTTCTGCTGTTGTACGTCAGTAAGGGTGGCTGTTGATGAGATATGCTCGTCAAAATATCCTCAATCACACTTTCCAGCTGTCTCAAAACATCCTCTCTGCAATTAAAAAAAAAAACCCGCATAAACATCAACAAAGTGTCATTAATTTTTCTGGAATGAGTTGTCATAAAGGTGTTGGAATTGGAGGAGAAAATTAAGACATAGGCGGCCTGGAGAGTCAAGAAAATTTTCTAAGTATTTCCTAACAAAATTGAAAATATTTCTCAGTCCCAGATTCATCATAATTTTTGCAATTGAATGACCTTCATTGAGATGATAGCCTAGCCTTTATGAAGAAAAAAGTGGCGTCAGGTTGCAACATTTTTTTCCTAATTTTTTTGCCGTCCAGTTTGGGTTTATGGAGTCTCGAGCGGGAACAATCTGGACAAATTTGGACACAAAGTTTACGGTAAGGCCGATAGTTTTGAAAAGTTCAAAAGCAGTTTTAATTGATTTTAAGTTTTGAGCCCCGCAGTATAGGCCTAGAAATAAAAACCGGCGACATTTTCTTTGGTTCATTTGTTGCTGTTACCTTGAAACGTTGCGTGTTCTCGTTGTTGAAAGTTCGCTAGTACCACTACCAGTCCCACAATTGTTATCAGAAAAACACCTCCGTTTTATCTGCTTGATCTTCTCTTCTCGTTGCAAAATCTCCTGCAATTCAATCAATTTCTCCCACTTACTGGAGCTACACTCTCTACTTGCGGCCATTTTGTTTTTGTCGTCTGCTCGGTGAGGTGACGTCATAAAAGTTTTGGACGAATTCATTTCTAAAATTAATAGGGTCAGAAGAAGCAGTCTCTTTAATAACGCGGGATAATAATTATAAAATAAAAAATCAATAACAGCTAGATACCTCTTTTATTTGAAAAACTAAAGATACCACGTTGTCTTTCAAATTAATATGTTTAAAAATTAATTTGATAAGGATACTACTATATGAGTGATATATAATGAACACCCCTCCTTACTTTTTGTTATGATGATCCTTTTCTGGGGAAAAAGAGGGCGCTATATCATGTTAATGGTTTCTGTCAGGAAGAATTTCTGTGGACTGAGACTTCATTAGGCAGTTTTGTCTCCGTGATGACAAAAATTAGTTTTCAATGAAAACAACATTCTTTTTTTGTCTTTATACTTTATAGACTTGTTCAACCAGTCATGCCCAATCACTAGGCGAGATTTCATATCAGTGCGACAGGTATTTAATAAGTTATTGTTCAAGTAACTTGAGTGTTGTTTCTGCGTGTTAAATAGTCATGAAGAATTTTTGTAGACTAGGACTTCATTTTAGGCAGGTTTTTCTTCGTGATGACAAAATTTATTTTCAGTGACGACAACCTTTGTTTGTTATAATACTTTATATGCTTGTTTTACCAGTCATTATCAATCACTAGCCGAGATTTCATATCAGTACGACAGGTATTGAATAAATTATTGTTCAAGCAACATGTGTGTTGTTTCTGTGTGTTAAATAGTCATGAAGAATTTCTGTAGACCGGGACTTCATTTTAGGCAGGTTTTTCTCCGTGATGACACAAATTTATTTTCAATGGCGACAACCTTTGTTTGTCTTAATACTTTATAGACTAGTTTTGCCAGTCATGGCCAATCACTAGGCGAGATTTCATATCAGCGCGACATGTTGTTAATACGTTATTGTTCAAGCAACGTGTATGTTGTTTCTGCGTGTTAAATAGTCATGAAGAATTTCTGCAGACTGGGACTTCATTTTAGGCAGGTTTTTCTCCGTGATGACCCAAATTTATTTTCAATGACGACAACCTTTGTTTGTCTTAATACTTTATAGGCTAGTTTTTGCCAGTCATAGCCAATCACTAGACGAGATTTATTATCAGTACGACAAGTAATGAATAAGTTATTGTTCAAGCAACGTGAGTGTTGTTTCTGCGTGTTCAATGGGCAGGAAGAATTTCTGCAGACTGGGACTTCATTTAGGCAGGTTTTTCTTCGTGATGACAAAAATTATTTTCAGTGACGACAACCTTTGTTTGTTTTAATACTTTATATGCTTGTTTTACCATTCATGCCCAATCAGTAGCCGATATTTCATATCAGTGCAACATGTATTTAATAAGTTATTGTTCAAGCAACATGTGTGTTGTTTCTCCATGATAAATAGTCATGAAGAATTTCTGCAGACTGGGACTTCATTTTAGGCAGGTTTTTCTCCGTGATGACAGCAAATAATTTTCAATGACGACAACTTTGTTTTTCTGAATACTTTATAAGCTTGTTGTACCAGTCATGACCAATCACTAGGCGAGATTCCATATAAGTACGACAGCTATTTATTAAGTTATTGTTCAAGCAACGTGTGTTTTGTTACTGCTTGTTCAATCATCATGAAGAATTTCTGCAGACTGGGACTTCATTTTAGGCGGTTTTTTCTCCACGACAACAACCTTTGTTTATTAAACTTTTTTTATAGGCTTATTTTCCTTGTCATGACCAATTACTAGGCGAGATTTCATATCAGTATTACTTGTATCTATTAGGTAATTGTTCAAGCAACGTTTGTTTTGTTCGCTTGGGTGAAATTTCAATCCAGCATACGACTGGTATTAATATGTAAAAGAGGGCGCTATATCAAATTAACGGTTCGTATTTTATTTTCTTCGTAGTGAATAAATGCAATTGATATTGAGGGCGCTAGAACATGTTAACGGTTTACACTTCCCTATTTTAAAAGAGAGGGCGCTATGTCAATTTTACAGCTTGTTTTCCGTTATTTATGTCCGACAAACGACAGAAAGGGTGCTACATAACAATAAAAAGTTTGGCATTTTTGTTGAGGGTAAAAGGCTTTCTCTGAGGCGCATTTCCTTATATTCAGACGGAGTAAAGTGAACTCTTCTTCCCAAAGTTCAGCCTGGCGACAAAGTGACGCAATTTATGTTAGTCCTGTCAACGCCAACATCGGTTCGAGTTTCATCTAACGCCCGGGGTACGCGTCACGTACAATCAAGAAACTATTCCAAAAACATAACAGCACCGTTTAAGTCTACCAGAAAATTCTCGAGGCACCGGCGGGTGCGAAATCCGCGAGTAAAATGTGCATTTTGTTTTCATTGCGACGTCAAGTGTTAGCAAACAACCACGGGCGGTACTGTTATGGAAATAACTTTCGAAGCCTGGAGAATGAAATACAATATGATGCTGTACTTTTACGAGGGTGTAGTTGCAGAATGCATGAGAGACAGACGATTTGGGTTTAATCTGAAAAGATGACAAAAAATAATCGATAGCTCTAGAAACTTCATCTAATATTGTTTAAACATTTAATTTGAACAAAAAATGAAAAGTTGAAGAAAGAAATTGACTGGAGTGGGGTTTGAACCTGCGACCTCTGGACAAGGGCGGATCGGGGGGGGGGGCAAAGGGGGCCATGGCCCCCCCCCCTAAAACGAAACCATTTTTTTTTTTTTTTAATGTGACATCGCAATAAAGGCAGGCAATGAGTACACCACCATCTTTTCCTCAAAAAACATTGGTTAAGGTGGTCAGAAATTGCCTCAGATCGCACCACAGAGCATCTAGAATCCAAAAATTTTTCGGGGCCCTTAAGCGGGCCCCGAACCCCACGCCGTAATTTTTTGACCCACTTTTTGGGGGGACCAATTTTTTTTTTTGGCTCCCCCCCCGAAATTGTGTTCTGGATCCGCCCTTGCCTCTGGATAGCCGCTCCGGTGTTCTACCAACTGAGCTATCCAGCCCTATGTTGGCGGTTCCCCAATTAGTCAACATCTTTGTTCAAGGGGCACTATAAGCCATCAACCCATATGCCATACAGCCAGGGATCATGCCCAAAGTCACGATACAGACCTGGGAAATAACAAAATTTAATGGGGATCACTCGGAGATGATACGGCTTTTTATGACAATTTTAATTTAAAAGTTTGGTTTATTTGCCCCCCCCCCCCAAGTACTACACGAACACTGTAATTAAATGAAAATAAATAGTAACAATAATAATAGGTTACATTGAGGTTAAATTGAGGTAACATTTTTTTACTCTTTTACTCTTTCAGCAGTTTTTTTGTAGGCCCCTCGAAATCCATTTAGTGAATCCTAAGAATAGGGTCTGAAAATCTTCTGCTTCACCGAACGGTTTTGATCCTTGCATTCATTTTCCTCTTGTTATACCTTACCTAAAATAATTCGAAGCTAATTGTATGTAAATGGAGTTACGATTTTAAAGGAGTCTTTTGCTCAAGTGACAAATATCGATACACAAAGAAATAAAAATAATGTTTACATTGTGTACTTGGATAATCTTCGACATTTTCTCCGCTCCTGTCATTCTTATAAAAACACTTTATAACTCTGGCTTCGAGTTTACATATCCCTGCAGAAAATCACTTTCCTAATAACTATTTAGTTGGAGAAAAATGGAGTATTAAAATCCCCCTTAGACAAACAATCACCCACGACTACGGTGCACATTCATCAACGTCTCCTCGCTGTCTGACTGATGCGGCAGTAATACGAAAATAATACGGGTAGAGTAAACACCGGAACGTTTAGCGTGAAAACACCGGAAAATGACCCGGTGGGATGAGTGCACTATACGGCGGGGTCCATCTCGCAAAGTACGCTGGCTTCGAAACTCGTGCCCCCGCTGCGACGATTGCCAATTACGTGTTGATGACGCATAATATAAGTGCTAAGTGGGCGAGGCTGCATACTGAAGAAGTGTTTTAAAGCACATCGTGAAATTTTCAAAGTTCAAGTCTCGGAATTGCTGAGCAGGCGATTTCACAAAGCTACTGATGGAGCTGAAATTGCTTTGATTAATTTATGCACTGGACATTCATGTACGTAGGCCTACTGCCATAAAACCTCAAAGAAGCATTTTGAAATGTAGAATATTATCCTTGGTTGTAGCGAGAGATTAATGAGGCAAGACCGAACCATTAACACCACGTTCCCAGGGCTAACTTTAGTTTCAACCTCCCCACTAAGAAATGGGAGCGTACTACACTCGACACCATGGGACCGAGGTTGAGACAACTAAGGCTAAAACAAACAATTTATTACGATTATAACTCGATTTGGAACGAAATCCTGACATACAGCTTAATATTGGAACCCCGGGCATGCAGAGACAACTGAATTTGGAAGCTAAATGCCAAAGGTCAAGATCAATATATGATGTCCAAAGGCCGGCGTGAAGAAGGTTGTGGTTATGGGACATTTATTTGGTAAGTTATAAACTCTCTGATTCTGCTAAACCACCCGCAAACCGGTCATCCAATCCACAAACTACTGACCGTACAAACCACGACACATGTTGTGTTTCATAACCCGCTCTACCGCAACAACAACTGCAGCGGGAGTGAGCGGCAATACCGCGGGTGGCCATGCCCCACATCAGAGAGCGGAGCTCAGGAAAGAAAATAATATGTAACCCGTGGATGCATGCCCGAAGGACCATTGACCCCCTTTCTTAAAACCACGATGCCCTCCCCCCCCAAAAAAAAAATGCATGGCACTTTTACCGTAAAAGATGCACTTAAAGGCGTGTGGTTTTGGACGGAAGCTCCGTTGACATGGGCTTTGGAAGCAATAGAATAAAACTATTTGATATTATGAGGAGAATGGAAGAATATTGCTCCCTCAATTTCTTTCAATATTGCTTGAAACAGTTTTTCCGTTAGAATCTGTATCTGTATCTGTATCATATAGTCGGCAAAGCAGAAACACCGGGGCGAGCTCCTTCTCTTAGCGATA